TGTTTGCTGTGAATATGATTGGATTGTGTCATTTGATAATGAGCATGAACTCGGAATAAAACTTGATCTCTCCCCCTCCCACCCCCCAGAATTTGGGCTGTCCTATGTCCCCAACCTTTGACACACTTCTGATGTATTTGTCCTGGAGAGAAGACAACTCATTAACTGAATGTCACTGGAGCTTGGGAGGGTAGGCTATTCAGTTCATGATCGGTTTCAGCTGAACATTTGACATAATGAAGAGTGCACTGAAGCTATATCTAATAGGGGCTTTGGTCTACCTTACAGCAGCCTTGGTTCAACTGACGAATGCATTTCGATTGCCATATCAATGCCCAAGAAAAGATTGTGTGCAAAGTTGGAATAACGGCACTAAACAGAGATCATTAGAATAACGTGAGTCCAACACTGACTCTGTTGGTACATCTGCTCCTACAGAGATCTGGTGTGTTCCGGTGATTTCATTGCTTTTTCAGTTTAATTTGCATTCTCCAAACTCTTTGAATTGGTTGGGAAAGACGGGAGTGCAAGGAGAGTGAGAGAGAGAAAAGGAAGGAAGAGGATTTTGCCATTAATTCGATGCAAAGATAGATACGTCCTCCTGGGCAAGATCAATGAATGTGTTGTTGTTAATTACAAATTGTAAATTGGTTGGACAAACAGAAGTCGCACATGAAATATCGCCCGCTGTGTAATAGAAGAGGAAATTAAAGACATAAAAGGTTTCACTGCTGTGCCGAGATGAACACCATACCAAATGCCCAACACATTGATTTCTCAGTGAAATACAGGTCTGTGTATGCTGGCTGCACAAAACCAACACTGACAGATTGTAAAGTGATCCTTGAAACAACAGATTGAACAAGCCTGAAGGATTGGAATTCAGAAGTGAGAAGAGACTAGGTAAAATATCAACATAGCAGCAATATAGCGCTCCGAGATGCCGTCCAGTGTGAAGGGCGATATATAAATGCAAGTTATTGTTGTCATTGGTTTGTGATGTGATGTGACTTCTCCAATGTCCTGCTCCCAGATCTCCTCAACTGTATCCTCCACAAGCTCTAGGTTACTAAACACATTCTCCTGATTATTCTCTTTGGGGGGAAGTAAGCTAGGTCTCCTTGGAGACATGGAGTCAACCCACTCAGCTCCTGTTAACCCTAATGGGTAAGGTGGTCCTAACTGAACAAGTAGTGGGAAAGCTTGCCATACAGTAATATCAATGGCAAGCTATGTGGTTTCAGCTGTTTAGTCTCCAGCAGTACCACAACGCACACACTGGGGACGCCAAGTCCAACCTGCGCCTAATACTTTCCAGAATTAGATAAGCGGGATTCATCCCTCCAGGGAGCGAGTGCGCGTTCCATTCTGGGATTTCTATGCGTAGATGGGATGCGTGAAATCCTCAGTTTGGTTTGGATACTCTTAAACACGGTGATGGGTTTCCGCATGTGTCAAACACTCGGCTGACAAAAAAATAATCTTACATTTGGCTCCGCAATGCCATCACCCTCACCTCACCATGTCCACTGATTCCTTATCCCCTAACAGATCAACTTCAATATTCCCATCATGACAACAACAACTTGGATTTATATAGCGCCCTCCATGCCGGACTTCGTCTCAGAGCGCTTCACAGTAACGATCGCGGGGCTGAGCCAGGGGGAGGGAGAGAAAGGTGACCAAAGGCACGGTTGAAAAGGAAGGTCTTCAGCCGAGACCTGAAAATAGGAAGAGAGGGGGTGAGGCGAAGGGAGTGAGGAGGGAGTTCCAGAGCCTCGGGGTGTAGTGGCTGAAGGCACGGCTGCTGATGGTGGAGCGGAGGATTTGGGGACAAGGAGGAGGCCAGACCCAGAGGAGTGAAGGCAACGGGCACTGTTGTAAGGAGAGAGGAGGTCAGAGAGGTCGGGGGGTGAAGAGGAGTGGAGGGATTTGAAGACAATGGTGAGGATCTTGAAGGCGATCCTCTCTGGGACAGGCAGCCAGTGCAGTCTGGCAAGGACTGGGGTAATCGGGGAGCGGAGTTTGGTGCAGGTAAGAATGCAGGCTGACCTGGATTTTATGAATGGTAGTGGAGGGGAGACCGGCGAGGAGGGCATTTGAATAGTCCAGCCGAGAGGTGACAAAGGCATGAACCAGGGTTTCAGCGGCTTTTGGAGTGAGGTATTGGCAGAGACGGGCGATGAGTCGGAGGTGGAAGAAAGCGGTGGTGAGGAACCGGATGTGGGGGAGGAAGGATAATTGGGGTTCGACCCTGACGCCTAGGTTGCATACGGGTTTGGAGAGTTTTAAGGGGAGGTCGGTTAGGTGGAGGAGGTGAGAACCATGTGATTCTAGATGTTGACGAGAGCCAAAGAGTATGGCTTCCGTCTTGTCAACATTTAGCTGAAGGAAATTTGCACTCATCCAGCTCCTGATGTCTGACAGAGTTGGGTGTTGTCTGCAAACATGTGGAAGTGTACCCCATGTCTGCGGATGACATCCCCAAGAGGAAGCATATAGATTAGGAAGAGGAAGGGGCCAAGGATGGATCCTTGGGGTACCCCGCAGGTAATCGGGTGAGAGCGGGACGAAAAGCCATTTGTGCAGATGTCATGCTGGCGGTATGTACTGCTGACCTTCAAATGCCTCCATGTGCTTGTCCCACCAAATCTCTGTGATCTCAAGCAACCCTCACTCCCTCAGCCACTCCCTCTACTCTGGCAACTCCGGGTCTTTCATGCCTCTTGCCCACTCAGTCACTTTGTTGCCACCCTCAGAATCTATCTTCTGCTATCCCTCTGCCTCGCCACCACACTCTTTCTCTCTCTCTCTCTCTCTGCTTTCGAGGCCTGTTTAAAGATTTATTTCTTAGACTGCGCCTTCGGGAGTCTCCGTCTTATCTTCGGCTTCCACTCAAGTCTTTGAAAGGCGCTTTGAGGCGTTCATTCTCCCTATGTGAAAGGTCTATATAAGCGCAAATTGTTGTTGCTGTGCTAACTATCTTCAGTGGTAATAATCACATACCACATATTCCACCCAAATTGCTTGCAGAGTTAAATAATCACATCCCTCTTGTTACAGCGGCTTCTGAAATTATTCAATAACCACAACTATAAAAAATATCAAGATCTAAATACGAATGTTGTTTGTAGTATGAGGTTTGTGAGTTGGTCTTTTGAAAACCATATCCTGCCTGTGAAGATTCATGCTTGTTTGTTTAATTTGTAACCAAACCATAATATATACCTCTGAAGTTTATCATTGTGGCTAAATGGCGGCTGGGGCTTTTGTGTTACAGGCAGAAATGGATTCGACCTCCTAGGTCCTTTGTTCTGCTTGAGGTGAGTTTTGGGCAGGATTACATATTATATATGTGTGTTTTGCTTACAGCATACATACATACATACACACACACACACACACATACATACAGTTCTCGTCAACATAACAAAAGGAGCCTGCCATGTCCTGGGGGCAATGCAGAATATGATCCTGTGTTGGAGGAATGAGCTATGAGCAATGATCTTTGTGACGTCTCGAAGATGCAAGGATTATTATTATTATTATTATTATAGGCTCAGGCTCTTCAGTCTTGAGAGAAGATGATTCAGAGGGGATCTCATTAGACTTGTATTGAATTTGAAATGGGATGGAAACAGTAAACCTTATTGTTTACCAGAGCAATATTATTGTACAAATGTATACCAAAGGTGAATTGCCATTGAACTTTGAGCGCTCGTTGGCCATTTGGAGTTTGGAACATGCAAAGGAATGTTCTGGAACCAAGCCACGGTGTATTTGTATGTTGTCTGTCAGTCTACAGGTTTTCTATTATTTATCTGGTTATTTTATCTCACATTATAATAGAGAGATAAGAGCAGCAGGGGAACATTTATCCCATGGAAGCAGAACCAACCGTTTTATTAGATTGTGGCAGATTCTTTAACCCCATGGGCTTTTCCCATACATTGGCTTTTCCTCAATATTCCTAAAATAATTCACTCAAATATCTACATCCTTAACATCTAAACTAGACCTATATTCTCTAGAATATAGAAGAATTACAGGTGATCTTATAGAAACCTATAAGATTCTTAAAGGTCTTATACAGGGTAGATGCCTAATAGGTTTTGGAGGGAATAATAATCCCTCCAAAACCAAAAACAATAATAAATGACCAATAATGGTTATTTTCAATCTACGACTGTTTGTGGGACATTGCTGTGCGCAATTGGCTGCCGCGTTCGCCCACAAATATACAGTCAATTCACTTTAATGTGTTCTGTGAAGCGCTTTGGGATGTCCTCCCGACGTGAAAAGTGCTATATCAAATGCAAGGATTATTATTATTATTATTACTATTATGCCGTGAAACTGTTTCCCGGTTGGAGAATCTAACACTATGGGTCATAGTCTCGAGATTAAGGGTCAGCCTTTTTGAACTGAGTTGAGGAAACATTTGTTCACTCAGAGGACAGTGAATTTGTGGAATTCTCTACCCCAGAGGCTGTGGTGCTCAGTCCTTGAACATATTCAAGACTGAGATCGATAGATTTCTAAAGTGTAGAGGGATATGGGGATGGGGCGGGTAAATGGAATTAGGGGAGAAGGTCAGCCATGATTATTAAATGGCGGGACAGGCTCCAGGGGCTGAATGGCCTCCTCCTGCTCCTACATCTTATGGTCTTATCTGAGAAGAATCTGGTAAGTGCGTTGCTGTCTGAGAGGGGATTGGTTGGTGTGTTAGTGACGTATATGAGAGCTGATTGGTTGGTGTGTTAGTGACGTATACGAGAGCTGATTGGTTGGTGTGTTAGTGACGGATATGAGAGCTGATTGGTTGGTGTGTTAGTGACGTATACGAGAGCTGATTGGTTGGTGTGTTAGCGACGGATATGAGAGCTGATTGGTTGGTGTGCTAGTGACAGGGGATTGGTTGGTGTGGTAGTGACAGGCGATTGGTTGGTGTGCTGGTGACGCATCTGAGAGCTGATTGGTTGGTGTGCTGGAGGGGCGGGGAGGGGGGGGTGTACGCGCTGCTGTTTATGGCCGCGGTCGCGCGGCGGTGCATCGTTCGTTGCTGTTCGGCCGTGGCCTCGGCTCCGGGGATGGGCACCGCCGTGGGCCTGAACCTGAACTTCGACAACCTGGCGCTGCGCTCGCTGCCCGTGGACAGCTCGGGGGAGCGCTCCTGCCGCCGGGTGCCGGGCGCCTGCTTCTCTCTGGCCGGCGCCACCCCTGTGGACAATCCGCGGCTCGTGGCCTCCTCCCGCACCGCCCTGGAGCTGCTGGAGCTGCCGCCGCTGCCCGAGGCCCTGCTCGCCGACCACTTCAGCGGCAACGCGCCCCCCGCCGGCTCCCGCAGCGCCGCCCACTGCTACTGCGGACACCAGTTCGGCAGCTTCGCGGGGCAGCTCGGGGACGGCGCCGCCCTGTACCTCGGGGAGGTGGTCAACTCCCGGGGTCAGCGCTGGGAGCTGCAGCTCAAAGGGGCCGGACCCACCCCCTACTCCAGGTCACTGCCCGACTCCGGCCACCGGCGCCTTCAGTCTGTGTGTGTGTTTGTGTTTGTTTGTGTGTTTGTTTGTGTATTTGTTTATGTTTGTGTGTGTGTCTGTGTGTTTGTTTGTTTGTGTGTGTTTGTTTATGTTTGTGTGTGTGTTTGTTTATGTTTGTGTGTGTGTTTGTGCGTTTGTGTGTCTCTGTGCGCGTCTGCGCGTGTGTGTGTGTGTCTGCGCGTGTGCGTGCGCGCGTCTGTGTGTCTGTCTGTGTGTGTGTGTCTGCGCCTGCGCGCGCGCGCGCGTGTGTGTGTGTGTGTGTGTGTCTGCGCGTGTGCGTGCGCGCGTCTGTGTGTGTGTGTCTGCGCGTGTGCGTGCGCGCGTCTGTGTGTCTGTCTGTGTGTGTGTGTGTCTGCGCGCGCGCGCGCGTGTGTGTGTGCGCGTGTGTGTGTCTGCGTGCGCGCGCGTGTGTGTGTGTGCGCGCGTTTGTGTTTACATAAAAATGAAAAAAATTCCATACCTGTGTTTTTTGACCTTTTTTTGATTCCAAATATCCCGAAGGGATGAACGCGGTTGTAGTGAGTCATTACCCCGGGGAGCGGTCCGGAAATTCATGGTTAAAGGTCAAGCGATGTCCACTTCAGCCTCTGGGCTGATTATCACAGGATATACAATGTCTGACCTCTGATGTTTATGAGCTGTTCTGTTCCAGGATCGAGAGCCTCTTCCAACCACACAACTTCTGAGCTCCTTTAGCCGAGTATGTGCTGCAGTCGATGTCCCTATTGCGATATTTATTTTTGTGCTGAGAGTTGCGCATTTGAATAGAAACCTTCCACACTGAATAAAAGTCAACAATTGAGTTTAATGTGATTTTATTTTGTTTTTTTTTGTTTTTTGCAGACAATCGGATGGCCGGAAAGTGCTTCGTTCCAGCATAAGAGAATTCCTGTGCAGTGAGGCAATGTTCCACCTTGGAATTCCCACAACACGGGCGGGAACGTGCGTAACATCGGATACCAAAGTTTTGCGGGACGTATTTTATGATGGAAATTCAAAGCACGAAAACTGCACCATTATTCTTCGTATTGCGCCTACGTTTCTAAGGTTTATAGTATTTCCGAATTTTACACTGGGCAAACAGAAGTGTTGTTTTTAGGAGTTATTTTATGGGTCTTCTTTGCATTTCCTGGACCTAAATCTGCGAAAGAAATGTTTCTATCCCTCTTCCAATTTTTTTAAATGTTCATCACAAACATATAAACGTTTTGATTTCTTTCAAACTAGATTTGGATCCTTTGAGATCTTAAAGCCTGAAGATGAGCTTACAGGCCGTCAGGGTCCCAGCAGTAACAGGAACGATATTCGGATTCAAATGCTCGACTACGTTATTGGCACATTCTATCCAGAAACACAACAAGCCCACCCCGAGAACCAAGTGCAGAGAAATGCTGCTTTCTTCAGAGAAGTAAGAACATACGAAATATAATACTGTGGCTATAAAGTGTCAACATGGTTCAGTTGGTAGAACTCTCACCTCTGACTCAGTTGTGGATTCAAGTTTCATGTCGGGCATCGAGCTTATTGTCTATGCTGACACTTCAGTGCAGTTCATCTGGACTTTAAAGGGAGTTTGAAAAGAGCCTGGAGTTTTGGGCATAAATCCTCCACAAAAAAAGGTCATTCACCCATGACATGATTGCTATATGACATTGCAGTGTGCAGATTGGCTGTCGGATTTGCCTATAAATACAGTCGTTCCACTTTGCAGAAAATTCTGTGAAGCACTTCGAAACATTTTGATGTGATACACTTTAATACTATATTAAATGAAAAGATTACTACAGTATTTTTGTTACCAATTACAGTTGGCTGGAATGCTGTCCCTCAATACCAATACAAGGTTTTATAAACATTCTTCTATATCTTACTTGTAGAGTACATGGCGTATCTGTTCTGCTGTAAGTTAGTTGTGGGTTACTTTCTGCTTTCGTAATTGCTTTTCTGCTCCTAGTAGCTGTCCATTGGTATGTGATGGAAAAGACACTTTATTTTTGACACATGAAGTGAGAGACACAGGTCAACTTGATTTTCTCTCCACTTGTTCCCTGTCCGGACTGTGCAATTAGGAGCTAAATGCTTTCTACAGAGGGGAGAGAAATCAAGGTTACAGGCCCTTCAGGCGGTTTCTGGTGCTTCTTGCAGCAAAATGGATGGCAGTTTAGATGATTTAGTGATAACTTACAATGAAAAAGAAAAGTGGCTTCTCAACAGAGTTTGAATCCATTCAAGAACTAATAGGATGCCAATCCCTCTTCATGATCCTGTTTAAGTGAAATGAATCTGGATTGTCATTATCCAGATCTCAACCGAATGAAAGTTTGAGACATTTGACACAATGCCTCAAGCGTAAAAGTTATCATTCAACAATTGTATTTTGTGGCAGGTGTTCGTTCTGAAGGTTGGGTTGAGGCATTTGGCAGTAGGCGGAGGAGAGAGGAGGTCTGTGTTGCAATGGGAGTACTAAGGAATGTAAAAATGTTTGTTCTGCAGCTATCTGTATTGTTGTGTCTGCAAAAGCAAATGCAGTTGTGTATTTACGGGCTGTTTCATCAAATCTGACAGGTAACCCAGAGGACAGCCAGGCTGGTTGCTGAATGGCAGTGTGTTGGGTTTTGTCACGGTGTGTTAAATACAGACAACATGAGCATCATGGGGCTCACCATAGACTATGGGCCATTTGGCTTCATGGACAGGTAATCAGAATTTCAATGTAATTAAGGATAATAATGACGTTGTATGGGTTACAACTTTATTCTAGTTATTGAGCACTTTGATACACTTCATGTGTGACTGGCAGTAGCTGGATATTGTAGCCAGCTGTAGAAGTTGATCACAAGAAAAGGCTATTCAGCAAATACACTGAAATTCTAGTATACTGTGGTGGGTGGGATCAATAGCATCCTAACTGTCGCTGTAATGAGACACAATAGGCAGTTTCACTGTACATCCATATAACCCGCCCACCTCCTCCCTCACTTTTACTATGTATTTTTAATGATCTTCATCCCAGACATCCTTCACCTTCAAATAAACAATACGGCAAGCCTGATTTTTAAAGTTTACAAGGATACTCTTGACTGTCTCATGCTCTGATCTAATCTAATCCTAAAACATAAACTATTGCTGCTTTTGATGCATAATTAAAACTGGTAGGTTAAGCAGTATCTGAAACCGCAAACCTGTCTCATTTCAGAGTTTAAAAAAACTGACGTTTGACTTAATGCCAATTTCTCTCTCCCAAACATTTTAGGTTTGACCCCAGTTATATATGCAATGCCTCTGATAATAGAGGCCGCTATGCATACAACCAGCAGCCTGAAATCTGCAAGTGGAACCTGGGCAAGCTAGCGGAGGTCTTGGTCCCTGAGCTGCCCTTGAAGGACAGTCAGTCCATCATTGATGAGGAGTATGACACAGAATTCCAGAGGCATTATCTGCAGAAGATGAGGAAGAAGTTGGGACTTCTTCAGTGTGAGCAAGAAGATGATGACAAATTAGTTTCTGAGCTATTGGATATCATGTATAGAACAGGTATGGAGTTGATATCTGTACTGAGCTAGAAATGTTTTTAAGACCAAGTGCAGCAGAAAGACACCATCGCATTGAACGTTCTGTGCTCAGAAATCATGTGGCCTTTGGTTTTACTGCTTTCCCTCAATAGTTTGACTTTGCAGATGTATTACAATGGAGACTATTGTTCTGGACATAAGTGTCGGTTTCTGAAGCAGAGGTTTCTCAAACGGGCCACGCAAGTCTGATGGCCTCTATTTTCTGTGCCAATTTACAGGGGCCTGTTTGAAATTGTTGTATACAACAATTTAGTGATTTTTTAAATTAAAACAGCAGGAATTGTGCCAATTTATAATATAGGCATATGGAAGCAAGTTATTTATTTGGTGGCCACCCTAGTGTCTTTGACGCAAGAAGAAACCCATCACCATGCTTAAGGGTATTGAAACCAGACAGTTACGCATATGTATGGCTACACATGGAAATTTCCGGGTGTCAGGAATGGAATGTGCCCTCTCTCCCTGGAGAGACGCGCACTGTTTATCTAATTCTGGAAAGTATTGGGTACAGGTTGGCAAAAGACAAGACTTGGGGAAGCCCAGAGTATGCGTTGGGACACTGCTAGAGATTAACCAGCTAAACCCCATTACTTGCCATTGAAAGCAATATTAGGCAAGGTTCCTGCTGTTTATCCAGCTAGGTCCACTCTAACTGTTAGGTCTGTGACTTGCAGTAGTTAAGAGAAGCTGAGTTGTAATCCCTGCCCCCAGTGACTGTAGAATGGGTGCAACACTGAGCATGCAACTAAGTTGGTAAGAGATGTATTTACTGGTAACAAATGTCTGATTAATTAGAAAAATGGAACATTGAGCTTCCAAAAAAGATTTGTGCTACAGGAATGCTTAAACTAGCCCATACTTATTTTTCTGCATTTTAAAATCTTTAAAACATAATCATCCAAAGTAGAAGATGTGCGCAGTATTAGTATTCTGTGAAAAAGATGAATATGCTACATTAATGAATTCATAGTCCTGATTAAATTGATTTTATTTCTGCTGTTTTGTTTATTCAGGTGCTGATTTTACAAATGTCTTCCGTGTACTTAGTGGTTTCCCAATACCTGGAGTTTCTGCCTCTTTCACACTGTCAGACTTCCTTGAAAAGTTAATTGAACAATCTTCATCACTGGAAGAACTAAAGCTGGCTTTCACACCACGTATGGATCCACGGTAAGAATGGGCCGAGCAACTTGTATTATTTTTTGTTATTTTAAAAAATCGCATATTTTCAATTGAGCATATTTTGTGATTTTAGAAATGTTACCAGAACAATTAAACATATTCTTTTAGTCTCAGACCCATTTGCCATTATTAACTTGGCAGCAAAACAATAATCAAGTTACACCACAATATTGGAAGTTTATGTCCCATCCTGAGTAAAGGATTGTTTCACTAATTTTGTGGCTTTATATATTGCAAACAATTTTAGATATTCCAGGACACATTGCATCTGTTAATCTTGTTAGAATTGTAGGGTCATGACTTTTCCGAGTCTTTAAACACAATGTGCCAAAGGTTCCTTGTGGCATTTTGTGGATTTGGTATTCTGAAGATGCCCTGGTCTTAGTGTTAGAGGACTACATGATGCTCTAATAATGTTTTAATTTATCCCAGGGCTGTGAATGAGAAAATGAAGTTCTGATGGGAGTTTAATATTGAAATGGTTTTCAGTGTGACACTGTGTTCTTTATGGTGATCAATTGTAATAAGTGTCTAACATGGTTCATTTACTATCCTACTGGATTGATCAGAAGTGTTCATTGCTTTGTGTCGTCGTGATGTGGCATTATATTAATGTGTATTGTGTATCGTCAGATGTTTGAAAATGTAACTGCTAATTTTGCATATAACTATCAGGACTTGGGGTCCCCATGTGAACAATCGTATTACTAGGTGTTGTCCTCTCTCTGTTATTAGTTTTATCTTTTTAATACTGCTTTGTTTGTGTAAAACAATTCCTTAAACATGATTGTAACTGAACAAGTTTCTAACATTGTGCTCTGTCCTTGTCCACAGACAGCTTTCCATACTGCTGATGCTGTCCCAGTCTAATCCACAACTTTTTGAAGTGATTGGGAGCAAAGAAGGCATTGCTAAGGAGCTAGATCTCATCGAGCGCTCCTCTAAGCTGCAGCAAGCAACTGCAGAAGACATCCACAGCAACAATGCAAAAGTGTGGACTGAATGGCTACAGAAGTACAGGTTAGGAACTGTAACATCCCAACCCAGAGCCACCAAGGAACCAAACATTCTACAGTTTGCAAATCTAGAGTTCTGTTAAACCATTGAACTAAGTTGCAACCCATCTGCTCTCTTTACTTACAACCCTACCGAACCAGCCATGCCCTTCGCTCAGCAAGCACTGCCCTGCTTCATGTCTCCCACCCTACTTGCCCCCACTGTTAGTGGGTAACTTTCATTCTGCCCTCAACCTCTGGAACTCTTATCCTGGAGACCTTCCAACTCGCTCCCTCTGTCCACACATTCAAAGCCCCAAATGTACCTCTTTGTGCTTTCAGCCATCCTCTTTGGCTCCAAGTCCCCAGATTGGGTGCTCAGCCAGCAGTGTGAAGCACTTTGAGTCATTGTCCCAACATGAAATGTAAATTGCATTGTCTAATCCGTGACCAGGACTAGTCTCTTGTGCAAGTATTGTGTAACATTTAATAATAATAATATAATAATCCTTGCATTTGATATAGCGCTTTTCACGTCGGGAGGACGTCCCAAAGCGCTTCACAGAATATACTGTAAAGTGAATTGACTGTATATTTGTGGGCGAACGCGGCAGCCAATTGCGCACAGCAATGTCCCACAAACAGTCGTAGATTGAAAATGACCAATTTATTATTGTTTTGGGTTTTTTTTTTTTTTGGAGGGATTATTATTAGGCGTGTGGAGTAAGGAAACTTGCCCAAGGTTTCGCCCTGACTGGAATTGAACTCAGGTCTCTCACTTGCAAAGCGAGTGCTCTAACCACTGAGCTACAGGACTCCACTCGGTAAGGTTTGGTAAGGTTAATAACTTTTTTTAAGTTTGCAGTGACTTTAAACACTGCTGAACTCTTTTTCTTTAATGGATTGAAATTGTGTCACTTGTATTTGGATTGGAAAAAGTCCAAGGAGAGTTCTAAAGTACTCCCATTGCAAAGAGAGAAATGGTGCTGCTTTCAAGTGAACTTTAGAAATCCTGATTGTGGCTACCAAGATTGCAGCAGTGGGGGGAGAAACCAACAAGTAAAGTGGCTTGATGTTCCAGTGTGTCCCAGGCTCCGCTAGCATTATTTCAAATTGCTATAATTATTTTTTGGTCTTATCTCATTGTGCTTCCTTCTTCACGGAGGCGATGTCTGAGTGGAAGGTGCAGGCTCAGTGACACGGGATTATTGGTGCCACCAGTTTGCCTCCGCAATTTGAGTCGTGATATAAAAGCCACATTAGTGACCTTATTTTATTAATAATCAAAATAATTTGGTCACGCATTCCACGACTGGTTGTGGGACACTGCTGTGTGCAACTGGCTGCCGTGTTTTGCCCATAAAACATTACAGTGAGTTCACTTTACGGTTTATTCTGTGAGGTGCTTTGAGAATCTCGAAGTCGTGATAAGCTGCTATATCAATTGTAAGGATTATTATTTTATATTGTTATGATTTATAGCTCTCGATTGGCGACTGAAGCTGAAGGTGTCGACGATGTTGATGAACAAAATGCTGAGCGTGTAAAGGTTATGAACTTGAACAATCCCAAGTTTATTTTACGAAATTACATTGCGCAGAATGCAATCGAGGCTGCAGAGAAGGGGGACTTTTCAGAGGTAACTAAACTACAGTAAACTAACTTCAAACTTTGTGTGAGAAAACGAGTCTGAGAGTGTGTGGATCATGAATGAGAGGAATTGTGTAATCCAGGCATTTCTAGGAGCACAGCACTGCTATTTCTACACAACTCTGGTTTTATTTTGATAAAGTACTAATATGGAAGGAGACCGTTTCAATACAAAGGTCTCCTGTCGTGTGTTTATATTGCAGCTAAAACAGAAAATAACAGATTCAAGTAGTTTCCGTGAGTCTCTGGGGTTGGGGAAGAAGAGAGAAAGTACCTAATTCCTTCACACTCTGTGGATTATGGAGACAATGTCTTGACATATTTCTTACATTAAACCCACAGTTTCTGTTTTAAAGCCATTAACTAACATTTGTTTCCCTTCAGATCTCCATTAGAAACCTTTTAAATTGATCAATGCTTAAAATACATTTGAGCACGTAGGAGTGATTAAATAAATCTCTGCCTGTTCATGTGGGTGTTAAAGATCCTATGATACAAATCAAAAAAAAAAAGTGTTACATTGACTTGGCCAAACAATGCTGTAGATTAATTGGTTGTATAATCATGGCTGTTTGTGAGATGTTGATGCGTGTAAAATGGAAGCCATATTTGCTGAAAAATACCACTCGATAGCACTTACCTGTTGAAGTGGTTTGACGTGTTTCAATACAATAATTCCTGCACCTATAATACAAAGATATATAAAACCTCTTTTCAAATGGTACTTGGGATCTTGCGTGGGCTTGCTCTTCAGGTCAACCAGATGGACCTTGGTTTAATGTCTCGCCCGAAAGACGGACATGTTATAGGAGGTTTAGAAAGGCAAGGATTATTGTAAAGGTGAAGCACGGCAATGTCTGATTACTCACCTAGGATCTGAATTGGTGGTTGAGTTACTTTAACCTTGGTTACTCGTTGGATTACACAATAATGTGTTGTTTCTTTAGGTTAGACGGGTTCTAACTCTCTTGGAGAGTCCGTACAGTGAGGACAGCTGCCTGGAAGAGGAGACTTTACAAGATGCAGCGGCTACCGTGCAGGTCTCCGCTTCGTGTGATCTGCTCACAAGGACTAGAGTACCTTACAACAGCAAACCACCCCCCTCGGCTGGGAAACTTTTAGTTACCTGATCTTCATAAAGGCCTCGTTTTATTTTCTGGTTACTTCATAACTGAAGGAAATTGTTTTCTTCAGTTGTGGAGAAGTCAGACGAGGCCTGTACTAAGTCTACTTTTTCATTAACAGACATCTATTTTGGACAAGTTTTACCTGAAGATATTTTAAAGTCTCCATCATTATTTTCATTGGGTCACAGTGGCGTGTTTGGCTGTATTGGCTGAAACTCACATGTGACTGGGGAAGAATTGTTATCAAAGGAAGAAGCTACATAGATTTCAGATGAATGTATTAAATAGAAAAGAAACACAGATAATATCGAGTGTTTTGGGGAGATGCAAAAAGTAAAGAATTCTGCTGGTTTTCCCACTCTTGATTTCACTGTTAACCATGCAAGCTAAAGCCCTAAAGGGTAGCGTAGTCCTAACTGGACAAGCAGTGGGACAGCTTGCCTGACACCAATATCAATGCCAAGCTTCAGGGAGAGAGAGAGCACATTCCAACAATCCATCTGGGATTTCCATCGAGGTGAGATGCTTGGACTTCTCAGCTTGGTTTGGATACTCTGGTGATAGGTTTTTGCATTTGTATCAGACACCTGACACAGAAATTAACTTTGTAAATTGGAAAGCAGTAAGTATGAGTGGTATAACATTGAGTCAAGATGTAATGCATTTTTAATGTAGGTGAAACCATAAAGGCCACTTTGCTTCTGCTGCAAAGTTAGGTAGATTTTTTTATTCGCTTTATTGTCTTATTTTTAAATGGTTTGCACAATAATGAAGCTGCACACTTTGTAAATGGGTTTTAGAACATTTACCCACTAGAAACTGGTAACACTCAATATGTGAAATTGTCCCGATGATGTCTGTTACTATGAATACAAAAATATAAACTCTGACATTGAGCTATTTTTGTATGATAATGAAACTGTAGAACTTAAACACAAACTACCCTTAGGGTTTGAAATGTTAAACGCACAACTATTTGCTATTTTCATTTTGACTATTTTCTTGAAAAATATTTATACCTTTATTCCTTAAGGTCAAATATGTATTGTCAAAAGGCTGCACTTAAATCTATCAGATATTTTTAAATTGTGTACAAATTGAACAGTAAATCATGTAAATGTTATCTCGCTGTAATAAAAGAATCACTAACTGAAATGTTGCAGGAGTAAAGTTCATTCAAAGACGAGGTCAGACACCGAAGGGATAAGGGAGAGGGGAAATAAAGTCTTGGATCCCTCATTTCTGTTCCTTACAGCTTTGACCATAAAACTACTCACATTAAAGATTTATGCGTGTTAACTCTGCTCTTTTACTCCTTTTTTAAAATTTTACTCTTTAGCGTATACTTAATTTCCCTATTCTGCCTCCCAAATATATATTTTTACAAATGTGCCGCCCTGACCTCTGGAACTCCCTGCCTCAATCCCTCTACTTTGCCCCTTTATTTATCTTCAAATCCCATTTTAGGATCTACCTCTTCAACCCTGCCTATGGTCATCTGTCTCCTTTCTCCCTTGTGTGACATCCAGCCCCACCCGTGTGGGGGTGGATGTCACACTATCCTGCAAGAAGGGTGTTAAAGCAAGTTGTATAACATCACACTTTTCTGCGCTAAATTTCATCTGCCCAATCTCACAGGAACTAAGAAACATAACCTGGTGTAAAGCCAATAAATATAACAAACATGTAATAATTATAGTCAAATCTGTTCAGGCAAGCACTTTGGAACAGCCTGGTTCACCCACCCAATAAACCTTCCTCTGAGTCCACCCTTGTATAAAGGCCACTTTGGTCCTGTTCCCTGAGTGGTTGAAGATGTGTTTGACTGTCTATAACTCAGTGTATATAAAAAAAACAAGTAGAAGTGTAAAGGCAGTAGATACACACCTGCTCAAGCTCCACCCAATAGTCTTAAATTTCCAAATGACCTCACCACTGGTGTTAAAGTCTGGTCCATTATTGTTGTTTAGAGATGAAGGAACCAATGCTCCATTTACTTCAAATTAAAGTGGAGAAACTGGTTAGTATTTTAGCTGTTTCTAGTTTTGGAGATGTTTGATACCCTGTACTAGTTTGACTATGGAGTGTTCAGTTTAATACACAAAGTGTGTATCACTGACAACACGCTACTTTTTATACATCTTGGTTATTAGCAAATGCTTTTTTTGTTCTTACTAGATTTGTTACTGTACAATTCTCTCAGTTCACACTATAATTGGGTTCCCTTAACGTTGAATTTACCAAACAAGCGTTAAAATCATTGCTGGCTGGCAGTACTTTAGATTATAGGGTGGGGAAATGCTTCTATTCGGCAGTGCTTGAGGAGTTTCCATTATTTACAATGTGACATTAAATGAATTATTAAGAGCTGCAGTGAATAATCCACCCTTTCACCTCCCACTAGAGCCAGGGACTCTATTGCTGCCCACAATTGGTTAACCAACCACTGAAGTGCAGTGTTCCTGACACAGATGTGTGTTTGAAGCACATGAGACACAGCGAGCTCAAGGGTACATTTGGTACCAGTGTAGCAGCTTGTACCCAGCCTCTGAATGAAGAAGCGCTTGTTCCTGGGCATTGCACCAAATGTTCCAGCCTTGGCAGGAAGCCTGGCACCATTCCTTCTTGCAGACACCGGCCATTTCTGTTGAATGCGGTTCCTTTCAGCCTTGGGTGGATGTCGATGTTTCTCTTTTTGACTGCTAATATCTTCTCTTCAGGATTTCCTGTCACTGGGGATTGGTGAGAAGTCAAGTACCTGGCGGTAAAGCACATACTATATGTAGCTTGTATTCCTGGGATCAGAAACTGCATAGAAATCAGTAGCTGGTTTGAAGGGGATTGTGTCCCACAGACCACTCGCTGCTCAGTTTAATTGATATTGATTTGGGTTAAATGGGTGTAGTCAAGGAAATGTTATCTGTCACTTTTTTGTACAACAAATTATAGTTGACGGAATTTTATAATGAATGAAGACTGAGCATGAAAATTAAAAAAACGATTATTATATTATAAATATATATCTTTGTGTGTGTATAAAGTACCACATTTATGAAGCTCTCGTGTGAAGTGATTTAAATGTAACTAGAGAGGAGATGAAATGGTTTTATGTGACATGCATCCTTTTTTTAAACCTGTAAATTATAATAACGTTAAAATTTTGTGTATGTAAGAAAATAAAAGCCTGTTAACTAGTGGCAGCCCCCATCCCATGCCCGGAACTCATCTAGAATTAAGAGGGGACAGAAATCTAAAAATCAAAAAAATCTAAAATTAAAAATAAATGATTGCTGTTAAATATCTGAATAACAAATCTTGAATTTGCTGATATATGGATGGCACTAATCTGAATTTTCACTTGCATTTTTATTGTGTAAATGGTGCAACTTTGAGCAGAGGCTGCTGCAACTTTAAAAATAATTAAAAACGGGACCTGCTCCCTTTAAAAACTCAGTGGTTAGAGCACTGGCCTCACAAGCGAGAAACCTGGGCTCGATTCCCGGCAGGTTGAAACCTTGGGCAAGTTTCCATACTCCACACTGATAATCCGTTAAGAAAGAAAACAGTAATAAATTGGTCACTTCAATTCACAACTGTTTGTGGGACACTGCTGTGCGCAATTAGCTGCCGCATTTCGCCCAGAAATATACAGTGAATTCACTTTACAGTCTATTCAGTGAAGCGCTTTGAGACGTCGAGAAGATGTGAAAAGCGCTATATCAAATGCAAGGATTATTACTATAAATCGGTTTGTTTAAAACTCTGGTTTTACGCAGGTGGGGAAGAGATCAGCTATTTGTAAATTCCCAAGTGGATACAATCAGGGTAAGTGACACAGGTACATAATAATCCTTGCATTTGATATCATCATGTCATTGAGATGTCTCAAAGCGCTTCACAGAATATACTGTAAAGTGCTATGACTGTATTTTGTGGATGAAATGGAGCAGAAAATTGCGTATAACAGTGTCCCACAGTTGTGGATTGAGTGACCACATTTTTTTTGAAGGGATATAGAACAGAGAATGATTCCTGGCTGGGTGAAATAAAACAACTTGCAGGGTAACATCTTGGAGCACTTCACAGTGATGGAGTCGGATTCCCGATTGAGGGAGAAAGGGGAGGAGAGGTAACCATAGACACAGTCAAAGAGGTAGCTTTTAAGGCGTGATTGAAGACAGATGGTCTTTATTATAATAATAATAATCATTGCATTTGATATAGCACCTTATCATGTCTTCAAGCCTTTGAAGGACGTTTTCTTAACGTATATGGTAATAAAATAATAATATAATAATCCTTTCATTTGATATAGCGCTTTTCACATCTTTGAGACATCTCAAAGCGCTTCACGGAATATACTGTGAAGTGAATTGACTGTATATTTTGTGGGTGGAACTCTGGATGGTTTCCGCGTGTGCCAGACCCCGTCTGACCCCAAAAAATGAGAGTGAGTGAGGCGTGGGGGCAGCTCCTGAATCCGTATGTAATCCAAAGGTGACGAGGGAATTCTCGAGTGCTCCTCCAGTGTATTCACTTTGCAAAGCTCCGGTTCTGAGGGACTGTTTTACTATTGATTTCACCCCCTTTCGACTGTTGATTTTGCAGTGATCTGATATCACTGCTGCGTGTCTGAAGGCGCAGTTGGCAAGATGAAAATGACTCAACAACAACAACAACAACAAGATTCCATTTATAGAGCGCCTTTCACGTCAGGAGGACGTCCCAAGGCGCTGCACAGTTGGGTCATGACCCGAGCAGGGGGGAAATGGTCAGGGTGAGGGGAGGGAAGGGAGGGAGAGAGGAGGGGGGAAATGGTCAGGGTGAGGGGAGGGAAGGGAGGGAGCGAGGAGGAGGAAGAGAGTCGAGAGGGGAGCTGAAGGCTCGGTCAAAGAGAAAGGTTTTGAGACCGGCCTTGAAGGAGGAAAGGGAGGAAGCAAGGCGAAGGCACTGGGGGATGGAGTTCCAGAGCCTGGGGGCTGAGAGGCTGAAGGCCCGACCACCGATGGTAGGGCGGTTGGGGCGGGGGACGTGGAGCAGACCGGAGCCAGAGGAACGGAGGGTACGGGCAGGTAGGTAGGGGGATAGTAGGTTGGAGAGGTAGGAGGGAGCAAGGCCGTGAATGGCCTTGTAGGTGAGGATGAGGATCTTGAAATCAATCCTCTGGGGGATGGGGAGCCAGTGGAGGCGAGCGAGGGTGGGAGTGATGTGGTCCCGAAGCCTGGTGCGGGACAGTACACGAGCTGCAGAGTTCTGAATGACCTGCAGCTTGTGGAGGGAGGTGGCGGGAAGGCCGGCGAGGAGAGAGTTCCCATAGTCCAGCCTTGAGGTGACAAAGGCGTGAACCAGGGTTTCAGCAGCGTGAGGGGTGAGGTAGTGCCGTAATCTGGCGATATTCCGGAGGTGATGGAAGGCGGTGCCAGTTGTGGTGCGGATGTGAGGGAGAAAGGACAGCTCAGGGTCGAACAAAACGCCGAGGTTCCTGACTGGCTTTGAGAGGTGGAGAGTGCAGCCTTGGATGCTGATGGTGTCAGCGCCTGAGGTGCGGAGGCGCTGACGTGAGCCAATCAGGAGGGCCTCGGTTTTTCGCACGTTGAGCTGAAGAAAGTTGTCTCTCGTCCAGGACTCGATGTCGGACAGGCAGGCTGTCAGGACATCGGTGGTCGTGGAGTTGAGAGTAGAGGAGGAAAGGTAGAGTTGGGTGTCATCCGCATACATGTGGAAGTTAACCCCATGTTTGCGGATGATGTCACCAAGGGGGAGCATATAGAGGGTGAAGAGGAGGGGACCGAGGACAGAGCCCTGAGGGACACCACATGAGACAGTACGGGGGGTGGAGGAGAAGCCATTCGTTGAGACGAAGTGAAGACGGTGGGAAAGGTAAGAGCTAAACCATTCAAGGACAGTGCCTTGAAGGTTGAGGTGGGAGGACAAGCGGTGGAGTAGGATAGCGTGGTCGACCGTATCGAATGCTGCCGATAGGTCGAGGAGGACGAGGAGACAGAGGGAGCCCTGGTCACAGATGGTCAGGATATCATTGGTGACCTTGACCAGGGCAGTTTCTGTGCTATGAGCAGCACGGAAACCTGACTGAAGGGGTTCAAAAAGAGAATGGGTGGAAAGGAAAGAGCGCAGTTGGGAGGCGACAACTCTTTCCAAGACCTTGGAGAGAAAGGGGAGGTTGGAGATGGGCCGGTAGCTTGATGACTCATGACAAAGATGCAATTGCAGTGTGCGGCTAACAGGGCAATCAATTGTATCTGCCACTCATCTTGAGAAACAAACTGTTCCTCATATTATATAGCTAGAAGCTGTTCTCCATGTTGAAAACTACAACAGTGGGCCAGGTGGGACTCACCCCTGGGAGTGGCGATTGAAGCAAAAAGCATCAATTTATTTAAGAGGGAACTTGATGCATACACGAGAGAGAAGGGAATAGAATATATGAGGGGATTTGGAGAGGTGGAGAATATTTATTCTCTTTTCTCGAATTGCCTCTTTTCGTGCTGTAACGTTTTATGTAATATAAAATATATATCCATTTTAGGTCCATTGTGCTGATATCAACACGGCCCTTACAAAATAGACTCTTTGTGAGAAGGGATGCGATTAAAGAAGACATTTTATGAGACAATGTTCTGAATCAAAATACAGTATAAACAAGAGGGCAAGGATATCAGCTTAGAAGAAGGAAGGTGATCAGCTTGTTCAGATACAATTACTTTACACACAGATATAACATTTAGTAATATAATAATCCTTGCACTTGACATATTATGTTGTTGAGACGTCTCAAAATGCTCCACAGAAATATACTGTAAAGTGAATTGACTTATGTCGGTGAAACGCAGCAGCCAATTGCGCACAGCAGTGTCCCACAAACAGTCGTGGATTGAGTGACCACATTTTTTGGGGGAGGGTGATCCGCCTATCAACTAACAACCATGTTCCTACTTACTGCTAGGTAAACAGAGGCATGTGGAGTAAGGAAACTTGCCTAAAGTTTTGCTCCACTTGGGAATCGAAACCGGATCCTCTCACTTAAGTTGACCCACAAATCTAAAATGATACGATTCTCCACCCATTGCCAGGATTTGTTAATTCTCTGCTAAACTGAGAATTGCCTCCCAAATACGGGTTTTAATTATATATAGATGTTTTACATTTTATGAGGACTTTACCTACCCTACTCTAAATTAAATATAAATTTATTTTTCTTTACTTTAAAGGACTTGCTTGCGTTTTACAACAAATTAGCTTTGTCTTTGTGTGTGAGTGCATCAAAGAAAAGGAAAATGTTCCAAATGCACCCAGTTCTCCTCCTCCTAAGCATTGCTCTGTTTCTGTGCCCTTGTATTCACCTGGTCTGCTCTGAGGTAAGAATTTCAGTGATTTAACTTAAGATTGATGCCTTGTCCTGTCCTTTGATAATGCTTCATGTCCTGCTCGATGTGAAATACATTGTGTAGTTTAATGCTTTTAAATCTGATTATTTTACCTTAAATAATACGAAAAAAGTCTTATCAAACTATCATCAACAACAGTGCGAGTTAATTCTTTTCATAACTCTAACTAGATATGATTGATTGTATCATTGTTTTATGTGTAAATATTCATAACTGATGACCACATGGCTAAAGCCTTTTCAGGTTACGCTCTCCCTCACAAATAGCGGCACAACAACAATGACAACAACAAAATTACATTTGTAAAGCCCCTTTCAAATTGGGAGGACGTCCCAAGGTGCTGAACAGTCGGGAATCAGCATCCGAGCGTTGGGGACAGGGTTGGGATGAGGGAGGGCAGAGAGAGTAGGAGGGCGGCTGAAGGCACAGTCAAAAAGGAGGGTCTTGAGTTGTGCCTTGGAGGCAAGGGAGGGAGCGAGGGGAAGGGATTGAGGGATGGAGTTCCAAAGGGTGGATGCAGAGAGGCTGAAAGCCCAGCCGTCGATGGTAGTGCGAGTCGAGGGGGGAGACCTGGAGCAGGTTAGAGATGTAGGATGGGGCAAGGCCATGGAGGTCCTTGAAAGTGATGATGAGGATTTTGAATTCTATTCTCTGGTGATGGGGAGCCGGGTGGGGGTGATGGGGTCACGGAGCCTAGTGCGGGAGAGGACACAAGCTGCGGGGTTCTGGATGATCTGCAGCTTGTGAAGGGAAGAGTTGGGAAGGCCAACAAGGAGGGAAGTTTCCTCCGTAGTCGAGCGTTGAGGTGACGAATGCGTGTATGAGGGTTTCGGCGGCCTGAGAGGTGAGGCAGTGGTGGAGTCAGGCAATGTTGCAGAGGTGGGGGAAGGCAGAGCGGGTCATGGCACGAATATGGGGGAGAAAGGACAATTGAGGGTCGAACAAAACCTCCAGGTTCCTGACTGGCTTGGTGAGGTGGAATGTGCATCCGTGGATGCTGATGCTGCCGGCGCCTGAGGTGCAGAGGCGCTGGCATCAGGAGAGCCTCGGTCTTGCTGACATTTAGCTGTAGAAAGTTAGCTCTCATCCAGGACTTGATGTCTGACAGACAGTCTGTCAGGAAGCAATGGTCCTAGAATCGAGGGTGGAGGCAGAGAGATTGAGTTGGTTATCATCCAACTGTCCAGTGCCTTGGGAGGTCCTCCCGACGTGAAAGGCGCTCTATAAATGCAATCTTGTTGTTGTTGTTGTACGTGTGGGAGTTGATCCCATGTCTGCAGATGATGGCACCAAGTGAGAGCAGGTGGAGCTTGAAGAGTGTCACCCTCCCAGCCCTCTGGCCTCTTGATTCCAACCACCAGCTCAGGTGCAAACACGTAGTTCTCCAGCGTCCTTCTGACGTGAAAAGCGCTAGATCAATATTAATTTTGTTGTTGTTGGTTTTCTAAAGTCTCTATTTCTTTTAGAAACAGGTGCTGGTGGGCACAAATCTACCTGTTGAAGGGTGCAGGGATGGAGAATGTAGGGTGAAAGGTATTTACAGACAAGGTTTTGTTATATAAATTACTAGATGTTCTTGCTGGAGAGAAATAATTGTGAGTGCTGTTAATCTGAAATAAAATGTAGAAATCGACAGAGGAATATAGCTTTTATAAACAATGAGTAGGTTTGTTTATAATAATAATAATGCTTGCATTTGATTTAGCGCCTTATCACATTATTGAGACATCTCAAAGCACTTCACAGAATATACTGTAAAGTGATTTGACTGTATATTTTATGGGCGAAACACGGCAGCCTTTATGATAAGAAATCACCCTCTTTCAAAAATCACTGAATACGGGAGAGGTGCCGGGAGATTGGAGAAAGGCAGATGTTACTCCTATTTTTAAGAAAGGTATCAAATGTGACCCAGGAAACTACAAACCAATAAGTTTGACATCCATTGTGGGTAAAATTATGGAGACTTATTAAGCGTAAAATCATGGACCATCTGGACAGAAGTAAAATTATAAATGATAGGCATTATGGGTTCATGAAGGGAAGGTCTTGTCAATCGATGTTACTGCTTTTCTTTGACGATGGGACAAGGGAGCTTGAAAAGAAAAGGCTGTGGATGTTGTATATCTGGATTTCAGTAAGGCCTTTGATACAGTTCCTCTTGAAAGGCTGGTACTGAAAGTAAAGACAGCGGGAATCAGTGAAGATATATTACAATGGATATGCAATTGGTTGACCAGAAGAACCCAGAGATGGTGGTATAGGGAATGTCATCAGTTTGGGAAAATATTACCAGTGGAGTTCCACAAGGGTCTGTTTTGGGATCTCTTTTGTTTAACATTTTTATAAATGATCTGGAACTAGGAGTCTCAAGCACAGTGGCTAAGTTTTCAGATGACACCAAGCTCATGAAGGTGGTAGATTGAGAAGTTGAACAAGATACGTTACAGGAGGATTTGAACATACTTGCGAATTGGGCAGATCATTGGCAGATAAGAACATAAGAGATACTGCACGAAAAAAGAACTAGAGGGACCTTGGTCTTTTGTCATCTAGCGTTTCTTATGAGGTCAAGATGGGAGCACAACAAACTGCTATTCAATCTGTTTTTCCTCACTATGTTCACCTGCTCTATCTGATTGTTTTCAAATGCGGGTTCGTAATGAGCTGCTTATACAGGAAATTAGTATATAAAATTTTAAAATGGGACTGCAAAAGTAAACCCATAGCAATACTTTAGGATGGACCAAGACAGTAGAACAAGAGGAATTAGGTTTAGATTTTTGAATGGCAATTTCAAGGAAATTAGGAGTAAAGAAATACTTCAGGTAACTGTGCTAAAATTGGGCATCTCCTCATTTAGAGCATCTCCTTACTAGAGGCGTTTAAGGTGGGACCTAATGGAGATGTTTAAAATTGTAAAAGGGTTCAATAAGTTAGCAAAAATAGGTTTTTGGGATCTTGTGATACCTTATCTCGAAAGTAGACATTTCACTTCATCAGGATTGAAGATGGTCCTAAAATGGTGGATCTCAGAAATCAATATTTTATAATCCATCAAATACATTTGTTTCAGGTAGAGAAGGAGAGCTCTTTAAACAGAGAGGCTAGCTGAATTTGATGACAGGCTTGCTCCCACATTCAGTGTTCACATAGGAAATACAGGATTTAATAGCAAATTCTTCGAAACACTTTGAAATATCTTCTCAACTTCAAATGCAAGGATTATTCATATATTTTTAAAAATATCTTGAGCATAATGTTATCTTCTAGATCTGTGTATTTACGTATACTGTACCATGACATTTATTTTACCACGTCAACATGGATTAATATATGGTTCCATGCTCAATTGTATCTGACTGTGACAACATACTATATAAATACGTATTATATATAAAAATATATAAATATATATAAATGCTATAAAAATATAAAGTAGGTCTGTTTATACTGATTGGATTGATTTTGAAAATTTCTTTTGTATCTTGTTTTGAAGGCACAGATTGTACCCATATCAACAAGATATTTCCAGATGCACCAAGTGGAATCTATATGATTCAGCCAATGGGATCACCTTTTAAGGTATTGGCTTCCTTTGATCCACATGCAATACAACAACAACAACAAGATTCCATTTATAGAGCGCCTTTCACGTCAGGAGGACGTCCCAAGGCGCTGCACAGTTGGGTCATGACCCGAGCAGGGGGGAAATGGTCAGGGTGAGGGGAGGGAAGGGAGGGAGAGAGGAGGGGGGAAATGGTCAGGGTGAGGGGAGGGAAGGGAGGGAGCGAGGAGGAGGAAGAGAGTCGAGAGGGGAGCTGAAGGCACGGTCAAAGAGAATACGTTACATTTATACAGTACCTTTCATGTTGGGAGGATGTCCCAAGACTCTTTACAATAATAGCTTAGCACTTTAGCTGAGGATGGGAGCCAGGGCGGGGTGGGAGGAGGGGAAAGATAACTGAAAGCGCAGTCAGAGAGGTTGGACTTGAGATGGACCTTAGGTGAGGGAGAATGTGATGGAAGGTCTCTGGGATGGATTTCTGGAGAGGGGGCAGATAGGCCGGAAACCCTGACCACTAATGGTAATAGTGATCATCATGTCATTCTTTCCAGAATCCGCAAGTCTAGTTTTTTTGGAGGGATATGTGTGCATACACCAATTCTTTTTTGTTAAGAGTAAAACAGATAGTACCTTATTTTTCCAAAATGTTATATTGGCCCAGTGATCCTGACCGAAGCTGCCTGAGTCTGACCACAGATTGATTTGGTATCTTGATTGTGAGACTATTTCACTGACGTGTAGCTCAACTTTCCTCCAATAGCTCAGCGAGTATATTCAAAGGGGAAGCTGAGCCACACAGACCTAAAGGTTGCAAATTTAAATCCTAGTCTGTAATGAGATAGACATTCAGAAGGAGCGCCCAAATTGACCATGGAGCCCTGTTAGGGAAGGGAAAATTGGCCTAGGTTCCCACCTCTGAGCATTATCTAGCAATACCCACCCCTGGCTGGCTTTTGTAATCATGATTAAGATTGCAATATTAAAGCTACCACTGATATTGAATGGGATTACTGCAACAATGTTCTTCGGCAACACAATGCAGGAGCTTAAAACTAGGAAGCAGTCAGCCGAGAGGGACAGAAAAGTCTCTGCCAGTTATTTGTTCTGAGTGGTCACGGCTTATCTATGTGGCTTTTTTTTCCTATTGTAGGTGTACAATATTATGTATAACATCTCAGCAAGTTGAACTATGTAGCCGTATGAAGAAGCTTGTCTTCTAGGTTTAGCATGATTTCCTTTCATTTCTTAAAAAAAATTCCCATTTTGTGACTCAACATTAATTGTGAAACTAATATCATCAATATAGCAATCTAATATATCTGATCTACATTGATAAAGCACCTCAATTGTGCTGGAACTTAAATCAATCTGGATGAGATGTACCATGTACAATAGTAATAATGTGTTGTTTGAATGCCACCCTAGGTATTCTGTGACATGCAGGATGATGGAGGATGGACTGTAATACAAAGCAGAAATGGTTTAGATTCCTTGAATTTTGACAAGCTGTGGATTGACTACAAGGAGGGTTTTGGACATCAAAGTTGTAAGTAATGCTTTGTTGATGTGGATTATGGCATGGTACAGCCTGAGGTTGCCTAAACTGGCCAGAGCTAGCCTGAGGATTGCTCAACCAGCAATAACATCACAATTATGAGGGGTTTTGATAGAGTAGACAGGGAGAAACTGTTTCCACTGGCAGTTGGGTCGGTAACCAGGTGACATAGATTCAAGATAATTGGCAAAAGAACCAGAGGGGAGATGAGGAGGAATTTTTTGTTTTACAGAGTTGTTACAGTCTGGAATGCACTGCCTGAAAGGGTGGTGGAAACAGATTCAATAACAACTTTAAAAAGGGAATTGGATATGTACTTGGCAAAGGAAAAATTTGCGAGGATATCAGGAAAGAGCAGGAGATTGGGACTGGTTGGGTAGCTCTTTCAAAGAGTCGGTACAGGCACGATGGGCCGAATGGCCTCCTTCTGTGCTGTGATAATTCTATGACCAAACAGCTTTATTTCAGGAATTAATATTTCCATTTATAAGGTGAACACTGGCTGGGACTGGAAAAGATTTATGCACTGACAAATCAAACCAATAAGAAATTCAAACTGCGAGTATTTCTGAAGGACTTCGAAGATGGGAATGCATTAGCAGAATACTCTGAATTCTGGATTGGCAGTGAAAGAGAATTTTATAGACTTCACCTGGGGAATTATTCAGGAAATGCAGGTAGGAACCTTTAAAGTTTGGCATAGAACAGATATGAAATGCTGCAACAGATCTGATGCATAACTCATTTATGTTTACAGGATGTTCCTGGTACAGATTAGCTCCTGGTTTAACTATAAAACATTATTTTCATTTTTGACCAGTTAAAATCAAATATGGTAGAAGTCAGTTAAGTCATACACATCGGGGACAGCCATTTTGTCTGGTTTAAGAGGTGTCCGAGGTTAGCCGAAATGCCACGTTTATTTTGCAAAGTGCTTTGTTATTTCTTTTTTGTGAAATACAAGTTTGCCTACAATTTACACTGTTAAATGCCTTGGGACATCCTCTTGACATGAAAGACACTATGTACTATATACACTATATACAGTGGAAGCCCCTTTAGCTGGACGCCAGTTAACACCACGCCCGGCCCATGATTTTGTATTCTTGCCTGATTTAAATCTAATGGTTAATTCAGACAAAAATCCAGTTAATATGGACAAAATACTGTGCTGGTCGCCGTTGCAACTACTGAGTTTCTACGAGCGATTCAGGGATGATATGAGGAGTCAAATTGTGATTGATTGACAGTGGAATCCAGCCATTCACAAGCAGTATCGGGCTGTCAATCAGTCAGGGAGGGACGGAAGAACAAGGAAGAAACGAGGGAATGGGAGGAGTCAAATCCCGATTGACAGCTGGAACGCTTGTGAATGGATGGTGTTCCCAGGGTGTCAATCACCTCGGAGCTGCTGCTAATTTGTCCCCTTCCTGACAAATGGGAACGGCAGTGGGAGGGAGGAGACCCCACCATGACGTTAACTTCGGACGCCGCTTAAGCCGGACAAAACGTAAGCTTAAGCGGCTTCCACTGTCTAAGATGATTAAGAAATCATTTTTGCGATCTCAATGTGATTTGTACAATCATCATTCAAAATGTCTGCATTTTATAAAATACAACTGCTAAAATACTCTGCTAGCTCAACAGTTGTGTCTCACATCAAGAATGGAGAACTCTGTATTAATAACAAAACCTTTTCTTGTGTGTTCAGGAGATGCATTCAGAGGAATTGAACCTTTTGAAGATGATCAAGATGGTTGCATGTTCAGTACATATGACAAAGACAATGATCGCTGCTCACCTTGCATCTTTGGAGATCTTGCGATTGAAAGCTGTAGTGATATGTTTGGTGGTGGGTGGTGGTTTAACCAGTGTGGAATGGCAGATCTGAATGGCGACTGGCACTCAAAGGATAACCATATTGGCTGGCAGTCTGGAGTTCACTGGAAAACTTGGAAAAAGCTTCCATATTCATTGCAAGCCAGTCGGTTAAAAATTAGGTCTCTCTAAATTCTGTAAAACAGGAGACTTCTACTGCAACAAAAAAGTACATTTAACATATCTTTCAATCGCGTAACCTTTACATGTTAAAATTAATACTGTATACACTAAGCCGTGTGTCATTTAAACAGCAATCCTGAAGCAAACTTCATTAACATTTTACTGTTTTATTGTTGAAACTTCAGATAACTGGTGTCACCAAATCTGTGGTAAATCAGAACCATCCAACTGGTTTCTGCGTAATGGTGATTAATACTGTTCTTGGTGTTAAACTCAAAAATAAAATCATGAAGTCGTGACTCATAGTTTGAAATTATAAATTTATCTTGTGACTTACATTTGTCAAATGTAGAAAGGTGCCAGCCTGAGCAGTTTTACCAATCTGTAGCACTGAAGTATAGAAATTAGTAGTGTTTCTGCTAGCATTTGTTATGCGCTCTGAGACGCTACCGTGTGGAGGGTGCTATATAAGTGCAAGTTGTTGTTGTGTTGATCGTTTTTTTAAAATAGATTTACGTTCCTAATCGTCTCTTCATACTCATAATAACTCATAACCCTGAATCCTTCTTACCGCCTTATAATGGATTTTCTGCAAAGCCCTGGGATTAGTTGCTTGAATTAAACAAATATAAAGTGGAAACAAGTAGACCTTGTACTGTTTTGAAGTTAATTTAGCAATTTAAGCGTTATAACACCAATAAACATTTCCTAATGTTTCTATGTGGAGCTTTTCTGATCTACTGAATTTGAAAGAGTGTGCAATATGTATCTGGTTAAAAATATGCATTTCTAAATACGGGACTTTTTCTGAATGAAATGAGGAGTGTGAAATTTAAACTTACCTAATGACATGCAACTCCAAAAACAAAATAGAGATATGCAAAATCATTAAGGTGTATATGAATTTTATTTTACAAGATGTACATAAGCACAGTATATACATCAAATATCAGCCAGATGTAGATTGCTCGCTTGAAATTAATAAATATTGAAATGTACAACAAATGCTTATCATTCATTGAAAATTAGCTCTCAACACATACTCAATTTAGCACACCAGACAAAACTGTTGGTAAAATGCAACAGTTAAACATCTCGGTAATAATTATTGAAGTTAATTCTTAGCAGGAAGTCCTCCAAATGGGGCTGGTATCCTCGATTGACAAGTTTAGTCACCACTGGGTTAAAAACAAAACACAAATGATTAGAATCTCAACATTTTATAACAAAGAAACCTTCTGGCAGCTTCACTGACTTTATGAAATGTTTAAAAATATGAATAAATAGAATTAATAATTAAATTACTAATAAATAGAATTTCAAATTATTTGTTTCTGACATTAAAAACTCAAACAACTTTCTATACAAGTGTGTAAAAATCATGTGCAATTCTAATTGGAGGTTCTGGCAGACAGGCTTTGTTTGTACCTAGGATTTTCATCTCATAAAACCTGCAAGGCCTGATTTAGGCAGATTTTTATGACACTGTCTGAATCCACTTTGAGGATTGTAAATAAATTATTCCAAATTTTAAATGACATGAAGATAGATTAAGTAGCTTGGTCTTACTACAGTATGAAACATTATGTAAGGATAAACTGTAAACTCCACATTTCTGCATCATAATACCACATGCAGAATCTTTACCCCTTTATAAAGTGGATATAATAGAACATTCTGATTTCAAACAAGTGTTCATAACTAATGATTTCCTTTATCCTGTATTACCCGTAGCCAGGACCGTCTTATTTTAGACCAAAAATAAAAAGAAGAAAAATAACTAGAACGCAAAAAAAATTAGCTCCCCATTGGGCTAGCGAGAAGAGGCAGTACTGGAGCACACAGTCAAGTTTCAGTGCAAAAGCAACAAAATTTATAGCATTCTTACTGTCTAAGCAATATTTTTCGAAACCCTACCTTTAAAGAGAAAGTGTGAGTAGTGCTTAAAGGTTTTGTGTGACTGTTGCATGACAGTAAAGTTGGGATGCACGGCCATTTGCCTGTCAGCATCATACTGCCAGGCCTGTGAAATTAACTGATTGCGGAATTTTAGGATCAGGCTGAAGATATTGTGAATGATGTTCATCACGGGGGCAGCTTTCTCAGTCAGTAATCCCCTGTAATATAAAGGACAAACATTTTGTTTTAATTAGTCTACTGGCTGGAAAAATCATACATGTCATCCTCATTCATAAATTAGAAACCAGATTATAGCAGATGCTTTGAACACAAAAAAGTGCATGTTATTATTTAATTGAAGCATGTTGTGTCACACAATGGATTGAGAAGCTGAAAAGCCCATTCAGCTATTTCCTCTATAAATCAAGACTATTTGATAGATCATAACATACAGTATAAATTCTCTATTGTTATTCAATCTCTAATTATTTATTGGTCAAAATAGAGCATGAAACTAGAGGCACTCTCCCCAGAAAGTATTATTTGCAGTGTAATTTTTTTGGAAAATTCCAAGAAGTTACTTTAGTGAATGCATTTCTCAAGTGAACAATCATAACTGTTTTTCCTTCTTAGGATAAAGAAACTCACTACAGTTTGACGATTAAGTGTGTTGAGTTCATTTCTAGTATGCAGCAGTACCGCATCAATTGATTTTCACCTCAACTAAATAACATGGAAATATTTTGGCAAACATTATCTGGAATACTTGATACCACAAACTCACTTCAGGCAAAAAAAAGCAATTGCACCACAATTTTTCAAGTATGTTACTGTATAACCTGAAAATGCAGATTCAGTCTAATTCTGCACTACATCATGGCATATTACGTTCTTCAGCTGCTAGAAACAAAAAAGGCACGAAACTCTTACCTGAAAATACCCTTGTTGAGATACTCTGCATGTGTTCTGTGAAGTTCATCTAGATTTCCAACTGAAGACAGCTTGTGTCGAAATTCGCACCATGTAACATGCAAGATCTGGTTGGCAATATAACCTTGGATGACTTTGACAAAATGCTGCATTTCATGTCGAAAGAGTTGAAGTTGGCGAAACTGAACTGAATTTGGGGAATGGTTAACCAAAGCTAGAAAACAAAAGTCCCAAGTGTGATTCAATTTGTATAGATTGAAAAGAGGAACATGTTCTTTTACATTTTCGCCCGCGTTTCCTGCACAAATATACAGCCAATTTTACAGTATATTCTGTGAAGCGCTTTAAGATGTCTAGAAGACGTGAAAAGCGCTATATCAAATGCAGGGATTATTATTATTACATGAGGAATTCAGAAAAATAATAATCCCTTCACTTGATATATTGCCTTATCATATTATTGAGACATATCAAAGCGCTTCACAGAATATACTCTAAAGTGAGTTGATTGTATATCTTGTGGGCGAAACACAGCCTCCAATTTGTGTAGGAAAAAATAGATAATGTATCAACGCATTCAGAATAAATGTACACGACAATGTTCACTCGACAAAAATGCATGAGAAAATAGTTTCTGTGCTAATTAAAGCACTTAATCAAAGCCCTTCCAGATAAATAACGACTGTATCACTAAACAATCAGTTGTCCTTTATGGTGAATATGTAGCAGAGTACAAGAAAACCACAAGATTTCTGTATTCAATTACTCTAAAGGTGGAGTCACAATTACCACCACATAAAATATTAGGAACAATTTTATAATTACAAATTGTAACTTTAATTGAAAAAGTTAAGGCATGCAGTAAATAGACCATTTCATCAATTGGGTGATCAAATTGGATAAAGGCCAACTAAGCAGATGAATGCATTTTTACAGAGTAATCTTCCTTCAACAAAGCAAAGATTCTCACTGCATTTCTGTTCAAAAGTCTAGAAAGACATTCCTCTCACCTGTTCGTTTTAAATGGAACCAAACATCTTTTAGTGTCCAGACCATGTGCTTCAGTTGCAACAGAAAAGAAAAGATCTTGTTGTACTTATTCATGCAGCTCTCTGTGATAACAATGTTGAGGGGCCAATCAACCTGTAACAAAATAACAGAAGAGAAGATCTACATCAGTTAGACTGGTATGGCCTCAAGAATGTATTCTACTGAGGTGCTCATTAATTCCAAACCTTATTGAAAGGGATCTGTACACAGTACTCACGTCTCTCAGTGTTTCAGGTTTTAAAATGTCTGGTTACACAGGCTGGTGATTCACATTTCACACAGAACTCTCCGTTATAAGTTATTATGAATTTCCACTTCAGTGAGAGACATTGATGCTATATATTGTAAGGTTCTATAAGGTTTAGAATTAATGAGCACTTCACAACTTATCAGATGACATATCCTGTGCTCACAAGTCTCACGCAAAAAGGATACGGGGTGGGGTTGGGAAGAGAGAGAAAGAGATTGTCTGCTCAATGGTAAATGTCTATACCTCAATATGTTGGATTCTCAACTAGTCGGTAAAGAACAACAATCTAGGTTTGTATATATGACAAGTACAGAATTGTCACCCTATGTCTAAAGATTGTATTTTATCAGATTCAAATTGTTCTTTATTTTGAGAGCTATTCACAATGAACATTGTTAACTGCTCAGACTTTCTGATTTGCATCATATTGGTTTGTGAATAGTTCAATTTTTCTTCAGCAATGATCACAATTAATGTTGATTTGCACAACATTTATTTTGGATCCATCTTTCAGACATGATGTTAGACCAAGGTCATAGATGTCTGATCTGAAGGATTTTGAAATTGTGCCATGGGATCTTCAAAGAGGAACAGGGAATTCTCATGTCTTGCCTGATGTTTCTTCCTTATCTTACTTTACCCCCTAAAATAAACAGATTAATTGATCATTTATCCCACTGATGATTGCAAGACATATTGCTGGCGCAGAGTTTGCCTTCACAGCAATCATTTCACTTCAAAAACTCATTGTGCGAGGCAATATAATGGTAATAAGTCGCTCTTTGAAGCACAAGTGTTTTTATTTCATACTGTGCAATTCAATAAATTGCCCATTAATTACTAAATTGCTTTCAACACTTTACAGAATCCTTATAGTTACTAATATTTCGTTGCACGGAATCATTCTAACCTTGTATCTTAGTTCCAAACAGCTTAAGGCATCGGGTGCATTGGGCTTGAACAAGTCTGGGAGGTATTTAAGAGCAAACGTCAGATTTGACGCTAGTTGAGAATCTCCATGCAGACTGTACTGCAAGGCTTTGTTCAAAATGGAATTGAGAACCAAAGGATTCAGAATTTCCCCAGGCGTCTGCCCCGAACCGAGCTAATGAAAGAAAACAGAACAATTTAAATTATTTTTTGCAGCAGAATTCTCAACACACAGAGCTATTACTGCCACTTCCATTTCTTAAATATAATTTTAATCTGTGGTTAAATACAAAATATAATTAAACACCAAGTTCAGCCAGCTATTTATATCATGCTCTGTTTTCAATCTAATGTAGAGTCTCTAAATTTAGATGCCAACTTCATTACTTAAAAAAAACCCAGTAAAATTGGTCACTTCAATCCACGGCTGTTTGTGGGACATTGTTGTCTGCAATTGGCTGCCGCGTTTCGCCCACAAATATACAGTCACTTCACTTTACAGTATATTCTGTGAAGCGCTTTGAGACATCTAGAAGATGTGAAAAGCGCTATAACAAATTAAAGGATTATTATATTATTATTTTTACACATATACGTTAAGAAAACTTTAACCTAATCTCATCACGCAAGACTATTTTGTCTTAAAATTCAGATTGCAGAAATGGCAGAAAATTCTTAGATTATATCTTAAATTGGAAGCTGTCTTTTTATAAAGAAATGTGGATTAAGGCAAAATCTATAAATTTTCTACCATTCTGTACAATCTTCAAATTTAAGACAAAATGGTCCTCCAGACTAAGACTAGGTGACATTTCTGTAAAAAAGCAAGCTTGCATAATACTTGAGTAAAGGAACAAAAATACATCAATTATATTGACCCGAAGTTTAACTTTTTACAACAATTTTACTTCAAAGAATATTTGGAATAAAGAAATACTTTCCTTTGAAATGCAAAAAAGATCAAAACATGAATCTGATGTAAAGTGATACAATGTTCTACTGTGACCTTGTGAATGGAAGAAAATATAATATTGAGCTATTTGTTTTTCTTATACCTTTTCAAAGAGCAAGTCACTGAGGGACTGGGCAAACTCTCCATCTTCCATTAACAGGAAATGTCGCAAGGCTTCAAAATTCAGTTCAATGTTTCGTTCCACAAAGAAGTAATCTACTATGGCTTTGTTTACTAGGGAAACACTAACAAATGAAGGAAGAAAGGTTATTTAAAAATTAAGGAATATCACAAAATGCATAGATATCACAAACAAGATAACTTTCTCAGCATACATATTAACTCTTCAGGGAACACTGATCATATAATAAACTGAAAATACTGTCCTTTAAAAATGTCAACATTTTGCAAAGTAATAAGCTCTTATACAGTATATTGTAGAATTGGAAGAATGTGCATAACATATACTTTTATATTCTAATCTCACTGGATCTCTTGTTCATAACCGCCTGTTGTAAACTACAAAATATAGTCACTGCACTTTACAGTTAATCCTGTGATGTGCAATGAAACATTCTCGTGCAGTGGAAGAGAATCTTAATCCTAAGAGTTCAAAAAGTAAACGTTTTGGCTCTGTATTAATTTGGTATCAGTTAAAAAAAGTAAACTTTTGTCCTTAATCTTGAATATGCAAGAGCAAGTTTAGAAAACATTCAGAATGAAAACCTAAATGTTGTGGAAACCTAGAGAACATATGCATGGAAGAATATAAAAGACCATAAAAAGTATAAAAATATTATTTTCTATTTAAAATGGTATTTTATAAGTCACATGCAGATGATTAACAGCAATCGTAAAGCCCATGTACTATATCCTGAGCGAGCGAAACAACATTTGATTTAAAACTGAAAATGATTGCTGGAGCGGAGAAAACTTACTGGGCTACAAGTGGTGCTGTAATAGAATGTTTCATCAGTACAGGAAGGGAGACAAGGTCACTTGTGTGCACTGCTGTTTCATCTGTTGCTCTACGAATAGAAGGATCCAAGGGCAATAAATAAGACGCAGTTTTTATATTCTGCAGCAGGTGGGAAATGGGTGGATCAGCTGGAACAAAAATAAGTGTAATTTAATAGATTTACTATAAAAACTGCAAAATATCAAGTTCAAAGGTCAGTTATGCAAAACAGAAGTAATTGTTTTTAATTCACTATCATAGAATCATACACTACAGAAGGAGGCCATTCGGCCCATCATGTCTGTGCCGGCTCTTTGAAAAGAGCTATCCAAATCAATCCCCCTCCCCCACTAATTCTCATTTAGTTTTTTTCTCCCTTGTACCCCTTATTGTCCTATGGATACTGGTGGCTATTTTATCAGTTTGAACTTAAGACAACAAAACAACAAAAACTTGCATTTATATAATAGCACCCCTCATACAGGGTAGCATCCCAGAGTGCTGGACAACAGGTAAGGACGTGCAGAAAACAAAATAACCTGGACTCATGTGGAATATAAACACTGGCATAGACTGGTTGGTCCAAATAGCCTATTTTCTGTGATGTACATTTTTCAAAAATAAATAAGGCTACATTTTGTACTGTTCCATTGTTGCCAGTACATCTTTCATTGGTACTCCAAAGTACATAACAGGAAGAGGGGCATTTCACAACATGGTATTGTGAAATTTGCTATCTGTTAGCAAACATACATCTTTAAAACATTAAAACATCTTTCATTTGCCTTTCTCCATTTGCGCAATACCTCCTTGTTGATTGGGGCAAAATGAAGATCGGGGCAAAATGAAGTCGGCTAACAGAAAGAGGAGGGCTCTCTTGCCCTTCTTATTGTAGGACTTTCTCCTATCAAGTCAGAGGTATGGGTTCAAACCCCATGTCAGAACTTTCACCTCCTAGTCTAGGCTGACACTCCAATAGTGTTGGGGAGAGCTGTTGGGAGGTGTTGTCCTTTGGATTTGATGTTAACCCGAGGTCTCGTCTGCCTGTTCAGATGGTCATTAACAACCGCATGGCTGTCATTACCTGCGCCACACATTATCAGGACATTACCATGACTCACAGGAAGTGGTTTCCATGGCAACCGTAGGGAAATTGGCCTTTTTTTTAAGATTAAAAAAATTAAGGAGTGGAATTTTATGTTCCTTGATTTGGAGAAAATTGGAAAATCAACAAAATACCAATTTTTAACCAAATAAAATTGGAAACCTGCAAATTTATTGATGGTAAATACTAAACATATAGAACAGTGGTCACCAACCGGTCGATCGCTGCTCAGTGGCGCTCTCGCACAGAACCAAGAGGACAAGAGGAAGGAGTAACAGAACTGTACAGTTACTTAGTCCAATTCAAAACTAAGCCAGATGCATAAAATATTTCATGCATCTCAAAAAATATACTTTATTCTATAACCTGTAGTAAATAATCGCTCATTCCCTGTCTTTACTGAACATGCGCGAGATGACACTTAGCAACGATCGCCCTTTTCTAGAATCTCCTCTCTATCAGACAAAACAAATTTTGAAAGCTTTCCTACTCTCTTTAGTCGAAATCTGAAGACTAATAAAAATGCACCACCTATTGGCCTCTAATTTTGAATTGAAATAGGATAACTCAATAATTGTTCTTTCTCCCAAATATATTTAAAAGTCTGTTAGATTCTTATGGATACCACGCTGATATATACACCAAGAGCCAATTCAAAGCAAATTGCTATGAAGTGCAATGGATGCGTTTGTAGGCACGTACGATAGACAATTTGCACAAAGTACTCTCTATCCCACAAACAGCCATAACAACAAGATTACATTTGTATCGCGCCTTTCACGTTGGGAGGATGTCCCAAGGCGCTGGACAGAGTACAGCATTTCACACTCGAGCTGGATTTGGGTTGGGGGGGGGTAAGGGAGGGGAGGGGAAGGGGGGTGGCCGATGGCATGGTTGAAGAGGAGGGTCTTGAGATGGGACTTGAAGGAGGCTAAGGAGGGGGTGAGGCGGAGTGACTGGGGGATGGAATTCCAGAGGTTGGGGGCAGAGTGGCTGAAGGCTCTCCTGCCAATGGTTGGGTGGGTGGATCGGGGGACGTGGAGCAGGCCAGAGCCGGCTGAGTGGAGGGAACGGGCGGGTTGGTCGGGGTTTAGGAGGTCGCAGAGGTAGGGTGGGGCAAAGCCATGGAAGGCTTTCTATGTGAGAACTAGGATCTTGAACTGGATCCTCTGAAGGATAGGGAGCCAGTGGAGTCGGGCAAGAGTGGGTTATTTTTTTAAATAAATAAATTTATTGATTTACAGTAAATAACCAATTTATCTGGTGGATTGCTCGCCAGACACAAAGAGAAACAACCTTCTCTTTCTGAATGGTGTCATAGTATCTTTACCAACGTTCAAAACAGGTAGACAAGACCTCAGTTTAACATGTATTCTGAAACAAAAAGGCACCTTCAAAAATGCAGCACCACCCCACCCCAGCACTGCATTGGATTGTAAACTTGATTGTGAGGTCAAAGTCCCAATGTGGGATTGAACCCACAACCTTCTGACTTGGAGGCAAGCAAGCTACCAACTAAATCCAATGGACAATTTCACCAAATGAAAGCATTCAATGCTCTTCCCTAGCTGCTTAATGGAATGTTCTGCCTTAATATCAAAACAGCACCTAAGATCAATTAATTTACTAGGTCACTAAACAGGGAAATCTGGAATCTACGTTTGTGCCATGATGGTCAATCAGAAAGCTGAACTGCAACTCAGAGGGCATCTATATATTTCTGTCTTCTAACGGGAGGATGGGGAAAGGAAGTGAACAGCTCAATTTTTATAACATCTTATGAAGTTCTTCGCAAACAAGTACATAGTCACATACGAGAAACAAAAAAAGCTGTGCATTTTGTACTATTAAAAAGCATTATTTTGTTAAACTGAATTTACACTCAAGTTCTTTAAACATTACATTCTTACTTACACATCAACTCGTAACTGTCCTGGTATTGTTCTATGCAATAATGCTCCGTCAAGGCCTTAAGATAGGCCTGTTCCTTATTCCATTTAACATCTTCCTGTTCAGCAAGCTCAACTGGGTAAGACAGATCAACAACTGGATACATTAAATTCTGTGCTGTAGAATCTGAATGATGGCCATGTGTATTTTGTTTCTGAAATTGTTTCCTTCGTATTTCTAAAGGACTTTCCTTTTTAAGGAAAAGGAAAACAATTATTCAGCATTCGGTCATTGCTTTGACATCTACGTCAGAATCTAAACAGACTCAAAGAATTATCCTGATAGAATCCAAAAAAGTAGAATATTTTACAATAGAACGCATTGATGAAAGCAGTAAACTAACTCTTTCAGCACAGTAAATCAATAGCTATTTGTGCTGATTTGAAAGCTTTTGGGGTATGGGGTGTAGTGTTAGTGATACATAGGCAGTTATGGGAATAAGAAAACTTGATTTCTAGAAGCAACAGTTCAATCATATAACAGAACCTAAAGAGACAACACCAGGGCAGTCCACACAGCAATATAGACAAGAAGGTTGTATGTCTCAATTTTGGTCTGTTGTTCGTGTTGCTGAGTCAGTGGATCTCAGCCAGTGGACTATAAATGGAGTCAGTGCCAGGAAAGAAATAAAAAACAACCTTATTGCTCTATCCCTGACAGAAGATGTGCATTATTGGAGGTTAGGTTTGGCCTTGGCTACAATGCTCCTCCACTAACATGTGAATAACTGTGTAAACTTTGAATAGCATAGCTGGATGCATGACTCCCTTCCTTACTTCACGTTCTTAACACAGATTAGTATAAACTGGCTCAACAGCTTCAAATTTTAAAAATACCTCATCTTGAAAGTTGGTAAGTGCCTCATCTGCTTTGTCTTGGCATTTATCAGCAGCCTCATTACCACAGGTACCTAAAAAGACAATATTGGACAATAAAATTAATATGTTTTTGAAACTTTACCTGGAAATCCAAAATATCTATTGTACAGATAAAATAGCAACACCTTAATTATGAAATGATGCTCGTACATTTTTATACAAATATGAAATGTCACCAAATTTCAAATGCTCCAACAAACACATTGTAAATACCGTTTTTTTTCTCCCCCCACAAAGACTCACTACTTAATGTGTTTTAAAATGGAAGCTGGAGTTGGACCCGATGATGAGGTAAACACACAACTCAGAAAGTTTGAGTGAGTGTTCAGTTTTGAAAGCAGTTTTCAAAAAGAATTCATGAAAGCTTCATGAAAAGTCCTTATTGTTTGTTGAAACTTGAATTTGAAGAACATTATTGAAAATATAATTTAATATTTGTGTTAACATTTGTAAGGAACTAATTCAGGTGGAATTATCCTGAAATTAAAGGGTTTTTATGTTAAAGAGTGATTTTTTTTCATGGGGAATGTTAATCCCAATCAATTCCAGAATGTGATCGAGTCTCTGAATGGGTCTGAATTGAACGTTCAAAGAGGAGCCATTTAGAAGGAAACTCCAAAACCCGTCCACTCCTCTCATGTCAGGGTGTCAGAGCTAATGCAAAATTCCGTCCTCTTCACACACATTTGTCTCCCACTCCAGTAAAACCTATTAAAATAACTATGCAGAAAACTTTTGTACTTCTTACCTTGTAAATCTTCTGGTTGATCCTCAAGATTTCCATTAACCTCAAGATCAGTGTTTGGAAGAACTGTAGCATCATCAGCTGTAACCAGTTTGCTTCCTTCAGCATTTTTGGTTACATCTTTAGAATTTATGGGACATATATTTTCAGCATTTGCTGTTTCACGTACCACCTTCTGAACAAAAGACCTTCTGTTGTACAACAAATATTGAATGGTGGAATCAGATGAATGACCGAGAGTAGCTTTCTGCTTTGGGATCAGATTTGCTTCAACCTCAGGGCTCCATTGTCCTATTTTGATATTAGACTGGGAAACATGTCCAAAAGGAGTCAAACAAGGCTCTCGAGGCTCTATATTCGAAACATTTTCTCCAGTTTGAATGTGAGAATCTGAGACATGTCCATGAACATTCCATCGGGGTTGATGTGGTTCCACGTCCCACACATTTTCACCCACCTTAACGTTAGCTTGTGACACATGGCCATGGATGTTCCAACGAGGACAAGGTGGTTCTACATTTGAAGTGTAATTACCAACCTGCAGATTGGCTTGTGATGCATGTCCATGAATGTTTGATTGGGGCCAAGACTGTTCTACATCTGAAACATATTCACCAGAAGGTTGACTAACTGGTGCACACATTCCAACCTTAATATGTGAATCAGATGGATGTCCGTGAGATTTTCTTGAATTCACTTCTGGAAGTGACGTATGGTCAGGAGGTGACGTATGGTCAGGAGGTGACACTGGTAGAGAACTAAAGTCATATTCACCCGGACTAGTTCCAAGGCATTTTGTGCTAGGCTGTGATAACTCTGAACCGATTTCCTCTAGCGCTGCGTCAAGAACTGAGCTCTGTGTAACTGTTTCAGGAGAAACCTCAGTCTGTTTTTGCACTTTGGGAAGAAAATCCTCAATGCTTATATCAAGTAAGTATCCTACTTTTTGTTCAGAATTTGTGTCTTCTGGGAGACGATGTGAACCAACACCCATTGATGCTCCGAGTCGAGGTATGACTTTCTCAATTTCATCTTCAGACTGTTCAGCTTCCTCTTTAAATATCATTATGTCGTTCTGTGCACCTGCTGTTGGAGACAGACTTTGGTTTTCCCTAGTTATTCTGATGTTAGAATCTGTCGCTTGATATTCTTTTTCTTCAACCTGCAAATAATTACAACTTATAATTAAATGGATGAGTCAATTTTCCTTGTAACTGTAAAATTTCAAATTAAACAGTTGAAAATATAGTAAAATATACATGTAACAGTCATTATTTTTCAGGGGAGGAACACACATGGAAAGAGGATAAAAGAAACATGATCTATTTATGAAATATGACTATATTAAGTATCGCACCTCAATGCCTGTAGCTTGAGAGTTAAAATCTTTAATCAGTAGCTCACGATGCTGCAATTCAGTAGCAATATCCATTGTTCTTTGTTCTTCCAAAGGAAACATTTCCAGCAAGTCCTGAAGTTTTTTTTTGAAGAAAGCTGATTAAATTGGTAAGCGACTTTCTTACAGTGTCAAAGAGTTTAATAAGGTTGTTAATTATTCCAAAATGTATGTTACAAGTACCTCAATTTTTCTTTTGTCATCAAGCAGAAATTCAGCACGCAGAGGCTCTAATTTATATCTTTGCGTTTTCCACTTGGCTCTCTGTTCTCTCTTTGCTGCTTCCTCAGATAACTTTTCATAATGTTCAATCAACTGTTGCCTTAAGATTAACAAAAATAGATTACTTTTAATATTCGCCTACAAAAACACAGTCACTACACTTGAGAGTGAATCCTATGTCCTCCCAACATGAAAGGAATGCACCATGCAAGGATGAGCAAATGCAAGGATTATTATTGATAATCATTAACGTGTGCTCACCAAAAGCAGAGTGAAGTTTAAAAGATACATAAAACTCATATATATTTCTGTATAGTAGTTTTTATTTTCAAACCAAATGGAGTAATTTCACATGAAAATAATACTACACATGAATCATAAAATTCAGTTTCATCCACAATTTTATATGGAAATCTAGGATGCAAATCATGTGCAAGTCAGAGCAATGATTTTCAGGCCTAAACATTACAGGTACTCATGGGTCTCAGTTATGAATTTGCACTGTACTTCTAGATAAACGCAAATTGACAGATCAAAAAAGCACTTTTCATATCGTCTTGGGTTTATGAAAATTAAAACTATACTGCAAAATACACACATAGCTTCACTTGATTATTTTACGACAACAAAGGGATACATGTACATAATATGTTCACTGACGGAAGAAACATGCTGTATGTCAACCACACAAATAGGCCTTTTATTTTTAGGAGAGCTACTGAACATTAATCTTTCTTTGCCTAAATCTGTCACTGCATTAACGCCTTAAAAAAAATAATAAATTCGTTACTCAATCTATGAGCTTTGAGACGTCTCGAAGGCATGACAAGGCGCTATTTCAAATGCAAAGATTATTATTATTATCACCTTGCTTGTTTTTCCAGTTCTTGTTCTTGCGTTTTACGTTTTTCTTCACGTTCATTCAGTGCCTGGGTTCGCATGAAATCTTCTTCAGTCTCTTGGTTTTTAACTGCATTTCGACGCTAAGTAAAACAAAAATAAAGGCACTGACATTTATGCAGAATTTGTGTGCATTGTTTACAGAATGAAAAGCATAAGTGTGGGTGTTCTTTAATCCTAGTTACTGGGTACGAATGGGGAACTCCAGACAAGATTATTAAGTCTTTAAAATGTTGAAGATTATTTTTCCAGTGACTGTAATACAATTGAATAAATACCAATGAAGTTAATTTCGGAGAAAAAACATAGTAAGAACCTATATCTTAAAGGGGGAAATCTTAAAGGAATAGAAGAACAGAGTGATCTAGGAGTGCAGATTCACAGGGCACTGAAGGCAGTGAGCCAGGTGAATAAGCTATTAAAAAAAACAATGGAGCCTTAGGTTTATAGCTAAGGAAAAAGAGGTTATGTTGAATTTGCATGGAATGATGGAATACTGTGTGCAGTCAGTTGTTGGAGCAACAACCATGTGCACATTCAAAAAAGGAGAATAACGTTGAGGGTTATAGGGAAAGGGCTGGTTTATGGGCCTTGGGATAGAATTTATGATGTGGAGTAAAGCACTAGTCAGACTAGATAGCCCAAATGGCTTGTTTCTGGGCTGTACTTTCTATGAATCTGTTTTGATATTTACTTAACCTCTCTCCCCGCCTATGAATGTTTTTAGCGCATTATTTTCACAGTAGCTCTGCACTAGTTATATTTTCACATAATGGTGAAACTTCAAAAGAATAAAAAGATAACTTCCTCCCTGACATTGTGTGCTGTCGCCCAGAGAACAAATTCCAGCATAAACCCAATTATAAAAAATGTCCAGGTGTTTTATGTCAAACAGTTTTTAAGTAATGCACCTCCAGGTTCTTTTCATATTGCCTTTTCAGTTCCAGAAATCGCTCCCGTTTCTTTGCTTCCACAGCCTTTTTTTCAGCTATCAGCTGGTCTGCAGTTCAGGAAACACAAAAGTAGAAGAAAATGCTTAAGGCTTAATTTTTTTTTAATAACCTAATACTGCTGCCTTGCAGAGATGTTGGAGCATTCACAGGAATGAAACACGCCAGAGCAATTTTATTTCAGATTGAAATAAACTATCTTGTGTGTATAATAACCACACAAATATACAGTTTAATTTCTATGGATATTATCCCAACCCCCCGCCCCACCGCTCGGGTCCGATTCCCTGACTGTCCAGCACCTTGGGGCTCCTCCTGACATGAAAGGCACTATACAAATGTAATTTTGTATTGTATTTAGATATTCAATGGCAGTAAACAAGTATGTATTTTTGAATTACAGTGGGGACAATGGAGTGCTGATCACTTTTCTAATTTCTAAAATAATGACAAAATTATAGCACACAAAATGCATTCGAGTACAATATTTACTAGCGTGTTACAGTAAATATAACAATGCTTTATGTGCAATAAGGTGGTGGTTTAGGACCTTAAAACACGGACACTGCATTAAATAACGAAACATACTAAAATTGGCACCTTCTGGGTTCTCAGATCACCACTGATGACACTTCCTCCATGCACAAATTGATGTCAGTGGCACCTTCTGAGCGCAGAGAAGCCATCAGCAGGCCTGACGTCTCAGAAGACACCCATTTTTTAGCTGTAAAGCCAATCAATTGCTCCCAGAAGACAGTGTACTGCATGGGCAGGCATTGTCGTCTTCTCAACATGCTATTTAATCATACACCTGATACTGCGGTTTGCAAAGGAAAGAGGTTACGCTACTGCTAATCAAACCATACTCTTAAAGGTCTCCATGGCTCCCTTTGCTGTCCGTTGAGATTGGACAAACAACTCCTGTTGGGCAATTTCTGTCCTCAGTTTCTGGAAGAACAAATCATTGCTTTATCAGTACCACTGAACAATTGAAGACAACAAACTACTGAGAAATGATACTGCATCATAAACACCTTACAAAGGCTGAGAGTCCTAGCCAGACAGTTTATAGTTTTAGTAAAATGGTCTTTTTCAAAAGAACTGCAGCTTTTGAAGGAAGCAACACAATGGAGCAATGGAATGCAATATTTTCCATATTTGCAGGGACCAGTTTACTTTTAATCCTAGGGCACTGCTAATCCACCTAATACTGCCTCATTCCAGGTAAACTAGAGTGATATGCATGATTAAGAGTCTTTGACATCTTTCAGGGTTTCACATGGTGTCTGAATAAGTGTCTACAGTCTGCTCAGAATGGAAACAATAACCAAGGAGAGAGTACCGGGTATGCTGTTCTTTTTTTTTAAAAAATGTAATTACATATCTTTAAATTGGGACATCACAGTAACGGATAATGCTTAAAACATATGCAAGTTGCCTCTCACCATGACAAAATTATTGCAGAATTATTCACATTCAATTATAACTTGGACAAATGTCCTCTGGAGTAATTGATTATTTAGATCATGGCTGTTTGTCAGATTAAGCTGTGTGCAACATGGCTGTTGCCTTTTTCCTAAAAAAAACATTTCTACATCGGTTATAGATTTTTGTCTATATCAAATCATTGTTATATTTAATTATAACTTATAAAAGAAAACCATGAGTGCTTATTCTAAGAAAAACTATGCTTCTGTGACAACAGACATGCCCATTAGAACAAATCATAATGACATCATTAATATAGTTCAAAAAACTGAAACATGAGAATATAAACCACTGAACAAAAGCTTAAATATGAGTGCCATTCTGTCTTTTGTTTTCAAAATTGAATAAGAAAATTTGTTACCTATCATAAAAATGAAATTATACATTTTAACTGCAAACAAGAAAGCCATCTAAAACAATTTATTCACAGATGCCACTGTGTTCTCTTCTCTTACCTTCTCCTCCCTGGTAATGGAGCTATAATGGGCTATATTCTCCATTCGACTGAAATAAACAGCACACTCTCTTTCTATCTCCTCCAACTCCTCCAAGGAAAAGGTGACGGAGATGCGGGGAACAGGGATGTCAGACCAGCAGATGTAATGCTTTTAAGATACAAGCATAAAACAGCAAAACTATTTAAGTTACTTACCACAAAAAAACACCAACTTTTTTTACGAAACATTATATGACCTCATGGTTGTCTAATACCCAACATAAAATTACAGCTAACAGCAATCCCAAACATTTGTAATTTTCACATATTTAGTACAACTGTGAACATCATCAGAAGTTGAAAAGCTCAGCTTGTAGAACCTAGAAACAAAAGGCATGACAAGATGCAAAATAATTCTAGTAGCAACATCCCTAAATCATCAACTGTAAATAAGTTTCGCAAACACAAGACATTTAGCATAGATACTTCAGACATTTTAAGTAATATGGTTCAAAGAATGATAACCTACCGTTGAGCAGCACAATCTCAACAAATTAATGGTTTTCCCACATATAAAGATGTCATTGGACATGTGAGCAAGAAAAAGGGGGACGCTCTCTTCAACCTCTTTGCAAGCTATAACATACCCATTGGTCCAGTAGTGTTTATCTGATTAAAACAAAGAGTTCTCTCAGTTACTCTCATAAAATTGTTCTGTATACACATTCTCTATCTGTTGTCTCCTTATGTACTGAGCAATATTGACATGGAATAACAGTTATAAGTCAAATGCTAGAAGACTGTTGTGAGGCTCATTGCCTCCAACACCTCAATATCTAAGGAAAGAGGATGCTAACAATGTTCAAGAGATGCAATCAATATCAACAACAACAACAACAAGATTTCATTTATAAGCGCCTTCACGTCGGGAGCTAGACAGTTAGGTCAGGACCCAAGCAGGGGGGAAATGGTCAGGGTGAGGGGAGGGAAGGGAGGGAGCGAGGAGGGGGTAGAGAGTCGAGAGGGGAGCTGAAGGCACGGTCGAAGAGAAAGGTCTTGAGACCGGCCTTGAAGGAGGAAAGGGAGGAGGCGGCGAAGGCACTGGGGGATGCAGTTCCAGAGCCTAGGGGCTTAGAGGCTGAAGGCCCGGTCACCAATGGTAGGGCGGTTGGGGCGGGGGATGTGGAGCAGACCGGAGCCAGAGGAACGGAGGGTACGGGCAGGTAAGTAGGGGGATAGTAGGTCGGAGAGGTAGGAGGGAGCAAGGCCGTGAATGGCCTTGTAGGTGAGGATGAGGATCTTGAAGTCAATCCTCTGGGGGATGGGGAGCCTGTGGAGGTGAGCGAGGGTGGGAGTGATGTGTTCCTGAAGCCTGGTGCGTGACAGTACACGAGCTGCAGAGTTCTGAATGACCTGCAGCTTGTGGAGGGAGGTGCCGGGAAGGCCGGCGAGTAGAGAGTTCCCATAGTCCAGCCTTGAGGTGATAAAGGCGTGGACCAGTGTTTCAGCAGCGTGAGGGGTGAGGTAGTGCCGTAGTCTGGCGATATTCCGGAGGTGATGGAAGGCGGTGCCAGTTGTGGTTCGGATATGAGGAAGAAAGGACAACTCAGGGTCGAACAGAACGCCGAGGTTCCTGACTGGCTTTGAGAGATGGAGAGTGCAGCCTTGGATGCTGATGGTGTCAGCGCCTGAGGTGCAGAGGCGCTGACGCGAGTCAATCACGAGGGCCTCAGTTTTGCGCACGTTGAGCTGAAGAAAGTTGTCTCTCGTCCAGGACTCGATGTCGGACAGGCAGCTGTCAGGACATCGGTGGTCGTGGAGTTGAGGGTAGAGGAGGAAAGGTAGAGTAGGAAAGGTAGAGTTGGGTGTCATCCGCATACATGTGGAAGTTAACCCCATGTCTGCTGATGATGTCACCAAGGAGGAGCATATAGAGGGTGAAGAGGAGGGGACCGAGGACAGAGCCCTGAGGGACACCGCACGAGACAGTGCGGGGGCTGGAGGAAAAGCTGTTTGTGGAAACAAAATGAAGATGGTGGGAGAGGTTCGACCTAAACCACTCAAGGACAGGGCCTTGAAAGTTGAGGTGGGAGGACAAGTGGTGGGCTTTGAAATATTAAAAGGCAGTTTGATCTGAGCTTGAATTCATAACTTCTGACTCAGAAGTGAGAGTGCTGCCACTGAGCCAGACTGACACATATGGATGGAGATTTGGAGATCGCTATACGCATGGTCGAAGGGGCAAGTCTTAAGGAGGGATTTAAAGATAGAGGGGTCAAGGCAATGGATAAAGGATGGAGTTCTATGTTCTTAGGGACGTAGTGGCTGGATATCTGACAGACCAGTCAAGACAACAGTCAAGAGTAGAGACAGAGGGAACAAGTTGGGCGTCATGCGAGTAGAATGTGAAAGTTGATGCCTCCAGATGTCATCAAGGAGAAGTGCAGAGATGAGAAAGAAACAAGGTTGAAGAAGAAAGCCCTGAAGGATGGCGCAATCAATCCAAATGAGTGTTTGGTTTCAATGATACCTGAAATCAGGTGGATATTGTGTGTAACCTAACCTGCAAGTTATCATAGCTTCATACCTCTGAATCCGAGATAGTCCTCATTCACCTGGATCAGAAATTCTCCATAAGCATCTCTACAAATGCCGCTATAAACCCATTCATAGACAAACCTGAAGGATAATCACCGATACAATTATTTCTGAGAACAGAAAATGGTACAAAACTATACACAAAATTAATACTAATTGAGGTCAGGTAATCAAGCTAATTGCACACTCACCTCGTGTATGGTTCACAACTACTTTTCAGCAAAGAAAGCAATACCGGATAGTGCTCATTGCTACAATTACTCAGTGCTTCCTCATACAAGAAGGACAGAAGTTTTACTCCCTGAATAAACAAAATAAAATAACATTTCAGCAAAGTTAAGAAAACAAATTTGTTAATATCTGATGGTGACGAACAAGTTTTAGATGCTCAGGCATGTGATACCCCAGTGAGGTGAACCAACAAGGTATCCAAAACACCAGTAATTGCCTTTGACCACATGATAGTTTGTCTAACACAAAACACTTATCACAACGAGATGTGTGATATCAGAGGCGTAGCAGCAATAATGGATTTCTGGTATTGAGCACGGGAACTGATCCTTGATGTGCTAATCTCAGCTAATGTGACAGTTGAATTCTATATTGGTTTGACACAAGTTAATCCAGGCATAACCACTTCAAGCCCAGGATTCCTGGTGCCAATTTATTGGCAAATTATTCTTCAGATATTTTGATTGGATTTCTCTTTCACATTTTTCTGTTGAATATCCTGAAAAAAAGATGAATGTATTACTTACTGTGGGAAAAGATGAACTTCCTCTGTTTAATCCTAATACCCCTGAGCCTATTCCACATAGTTCAGACAAATATCTGCAAAGGATAGATGGAAAGATTACTTTTCAGTCTAAACACATAACAACATTGGAAAAAAGGTGAGATGCTGCAGCACGGATCATGCAGGTTGGTAATATACTGTACTACAATTGTCACAGAATGAAAAATAACTTTAGAAACAAATGAAATGAGTAATACAGTACAGAGTTAAACCCTTTCATGCAAGGGAAAGAAACACAGTGGGGGGAGGAGTAGGAAGAAAAGATCCTAGGATTGATTGACAAACAGACAGACAGACAGACAGACAGACAGACAGTACACTTGTGAACACAAGGCAAGTACACTTGTGAACAGAAGTGCACTTGGCTCATGTCCGTTCCACAACCTAATATCACCTCCACAGTAATAACCTGTTAATTCTGTCTCTCAAATCCAAAGAATGGCCACTGAAGCAAGGTACAGAAGGCTTGCTATTATCAGTGGTAAATCAAATCCATTGAAATCATTTATGTTTTACAATGGTATGCATTTAGTCATAACATTTGTGGAATTTAATAGAAAAGGCAAATTATATTTTTGATCTTATGCAATATATAAAATGAGCTTGGAAGCCAAAAAGTTAAATATTAAATGAATATTAGGCATTATTATTAGCCATGTGTAAAACTATGCACACAAAGAGAATTATGTGAATCAAAATTCAATTGTCGCTCTATACCAGTGAAACTAATACCCAAAGATATCAAAAGAGAATGTGCAGAAATGAAGAACTATGTAACACAAACTGAAACATCTGACCAATTTCAGCATGCACGTTACAAAATAAAATAGCCATACTAACTTTAGTTGGCGGCCCAATTTTCTGAAGAGAAAGGCAATGGTTAATAGGCTCAGTGATGGAGGTGTTGACAGCACACAAGCCCTGTAATACTGCACATACTTCCTCAATCCACTTGTAAAAGCCTGGGAAAAGAGGCAGAATAATATTCAAAGTATTCCTTTTTATTGCTCTCCTCGTGTTAATGTTTGGCACAATCTTCAGAATTATTCAAACTATTTCTATGCACTAAAGAGTGAGAACAGTTTAAGTTTTTAAACTTTAATTTTCAATGGGATAAGGTGTTATAAAAGACAAGATTTTCTTTCATTCTTTTATATCCTATCTTCTTTCCCTTGAAATAACAGTTCATTAGCATTAGATCTCCATGTTCACTGCATGCAAAGTTTTGTCCAAAGCTCCAATCAGTCTAACAGCAAAATTACACTTAATACACAAGCCAATAGCTTTATTTGAAAGTCTAGCTGAATTGATTTTGCTGTTAAGACTGACTGAATAAATTTAGATTATTGAATATAAATAAAACTTTTTAAAAAAAGCTTCAAAGATTTTCTTCTCCCTCTTTAAATGTTTTGTCACCAGGGCATCAATCATTCCCTGAACAAGGGAACATATAGGAAATTTGCAATTATAAATTTCAGTTTGTTTATAACAACAACTGGATTTGTTGTTTATTCAGTCTAAACAAAAGTTTTTTTAATGATTTTTCCAATGCGCTTTCTTCATTTGGAGCGTAGCAACAGAGAGCAGAGCAAAAATCTGTCCATCAACAAGTTGCACTTATATGGAAACTTTCATATAGGATGTTTTGAAGCACTTCACAGAGATGCTGAGGAGCCACACAGAGATGGCACAGCAGATTCATAGGTGTTTGACCAAAGGAAACTTTTTAAGCCAAGAGGGAAAGCTTAAGGCAGAGATTTCGGGAGAGAATTCATAGAGTGGCAGAATGGCTGATACCTTGGCCACTACAGATAGGACAGAAGGAGTGAGGAACATGCAGGAGACAGTGTCAGATGAGCGAAGGGCATGAGCAGGAAAACAAGGCTGGAACAGATTGTACAGACAGAGTTGAGACAGATTTGAATCAGAATTTTGACAATAAACTGCAATACTGTCAACTCAGTGTAGCCTGGTAATGTTGTAGTGTAGCCTAGCAATGTTGGTTGAGCAGGGGAGAATAGAGGCTGCAGACTTGGATGACTGGATTATATGGAGGGTGAAGTTAGGGATGAGAGTAGTCAAGACACTAAAATATCATGACTTTTTGTGGATTAGATGGGGTGAAACCTGAGGCAAGTTTCGTTACTCCACACGTCACTGTAAGCAATAAGTAGGAACCCGGTTGTTAGTCGATTGAGGGACTTTTCTGGGGGTAATAATCCCTAAAGAAAACTCTTTGCTAGTGATGTCCTGAATTTTACAATTTTACAATCAATACTTAGGCTTTAAAGTCATTTTGAATTCACAAAGTCGAAAAGAAACTTATAAAAACCTGAAAAACAAGTCCTTTTTTATACGTGGAATCAAGAATTGGCTGGAGAGAGAAGCAGCTGAGCCTAGTGTAGTATGTCGCATATTCAGCCAGTTCAGAGAGGAGGCTGTACATGCTTTCGGGAGATGTTCCTGAAACATACACTCCTTGTTTCACTATAAACGCATGGATCGTCTGAAATGGTAAGAACAGTAAAGTGCATCAAATTATTTACAGAGCAATGTCAACTTAATAATGGTACTCAGAGCCCAAGATGCTTTAACCTCCAACTATTTAGACTGAATTACAAAGTTAATCTTTGTGCAGTGCTATTGTTTGTTTTTGCAATTTGACTGTAATGCAGTTCTTTAAATAGTACTCAAGTCAAAGATTTCAAAGTAAAATAGATACAGTATATAAGTTCCTGGATATTTTTAAATGTTTATTTCACACGTTCATGTTGATTAATTTTACTGAGCGCTAATGAGTAGTTTCAAGCTTAAACTCAATAAGTAGATCAAACATTTCAAAGTGTAGGATCCTGATAGACTACAAGCTAGGTTGACTACCACAACTTGCATTTATATAGCGTCCCTCAAGCAGGGTAGTGTCCCAGAGCGTTTGACTGCAATACAGTCAAATATTACTCTAACTACATTTAATACACATAAAAGCAATACCTGATTCAGCGAAAAGGTTTCGGATGCTACACCAATCAGGACATTCAGAACATCCTTGACTAGTTCAGATTCTTTGAGCACAACTGGTGTTGGTTGTAACTGTGTACCACTGATGAGCTGTAGCTCACCTTCGCGAAGTCGGTAGAACTTGTCAAAAGCTTCTCGACCTGCTTCAGTGAGATAAGGTTCTTCTTTTTTCCCTGGTGGGCTAGAAGACAAAGAACATTTTTAATTTTGCCAAAGGATTTTAGCTATTTTCACCCAAAAAATACACAGTCAATCCACTTTTTGGTATTTCCTGTGAAACACTTTGAGATGCCTCGATGACATGGTAAGGCACTATATTAAATGTAAGAATTATCAATTATTATTAGCTACTTGAATTACAAAAAATAGCAATTACTTTGATTTAGCTGAGCAATGAGTCAGTCAGTATATACCCACCCACTACTATGGAATGTTATAGAAAATGTGTGACCAACTAATGATCACTTAATTGTTGCAATTCTATGCAATTATTTGTAATAGATATTATTTGGCAAAGAGCTTTAAAAATTCATGCATAATAAAATGTAAGAAAACATTCAGCTTAATTTATCTGAAAAGTGCTTGTGTTGATCAGGTAAGATCTGACTCAGCTGTGATTCCCAAGCAGCCGAACTGCCTCACAACCCTCGCTATCAAGGGCAACACATGAATAGCAGCTACTGCAGTGACACACTGGAAAACCATATCAGAAACCATACTCTCAGTAGAAGTATCAAATCAATCCAAATACTTTCTGAAGAGGTGGAATGAGAGAAGATGGACAAAAGGGAAATAAGTGAAACATAATGGAATCACCGCGGTAAGCTGCAAAGATCAACGTTTCCTCACCGAGGTTTAAAGCCAGACATTAAGGTGAATTTCCTTGGATACAATTCAAACATAAGTGCATCCAAAAATGATACGCAATTTATATTCCGACTATCAATGAACGCAGAAAATAAAGGAATAGAAACCCTTGTTGCATGAATAGATTCCTTTTTTCTACTGTTGGTTCCAGCCTAGATCCTCCTGTTTTCTCGCAAAGGGCCTTGACTACAGTGTGATAGCTCAAAAGCTGAAGGTTTAATACTTCTTTCACAGATATCCATCATGTCAGCTGAAAGCTAAGGTCAATACACTAATGGATCTTAGTACTTAGCTAATGTATTTAAAACAATTTCATGCATTAAAATACAGTATCTGGTAGACAGCAAAAATATTTTTTGGCGAATTAACTGCTAATGTAAATTAAATGCCAATTTAACTATATCTTACCAAATGGAAGACAAGCTTTCCATTTCAATTTTTATTCATTTCTTTTTGTAATATTTTAAATTATAGGAATTACAGGCAGATTGCTTACTTTCTTCCTCCTTGTATTTTGTATAGCAGGATAACGTCTTAAAGCCGCTCAAATGAGTTACTGTAAAGCACAGTGACTATACATTTTGATGGCAAACATAATAGCTAATATACGCAAAGCACTGTCCCACACACAACCATGAAGGGAGTGACTAATTTTATCTGTGGAATTGTTGGCCAGGATGCCGGGAGAAATTCCCTTCTTTTTCAATAGTCCTGTGGAATATTAAGATCACTGAGATAACCCCCACTCACCGCCTACTTAAATGTAAACTGCATAGGCACACGGGACCGTGGTTTCATGTTTCATTCAAAGGACGATATATCTGACAATGCAGCGCTCCCCAGCACTGCAGTCTAGACTATGTGAGTTCAAAGTCATTAAGAAGTGACTGGTGCATAGCTGTGCATTTATGGGAGGGGGTGTTGGTATGAAGAAATCTAATTGCAATAAGCTAAAAAAAATTAGTAGAAAATTCAAACAGATTTATTTTTTCTGGCTATACATTTTCAACAACAGACATTTTAAATATTTGTCGGGGGAGGGCATTCTATAGTGAATTATCTTAGGTTGGTGATTTAACCATACATATTGTTGAATTGGACTATTTAAAAAATATTCAGATGAATGCAAGTCATGTAAACATGGTTTATCGTTAGGTTTGGGCTTTAGCAGAGAAAAAATAACTCAAAAGCAAAGCATCTTCATAATACTGTACATTTTTATTCATTTAATGAAATAATAAATGGACCACAGTACTGTCCTCCTAATGAGGATCCACAACCATCTTAGTTACTTACCAGCCAATTTGTTCCCAACATCTATATTTGCTCGGTTCATATGTAAGCACTGCATTCCAAAGATCAATATCAGGAGTTGAACTGGGCTCTGACTGGGAATCTGGAGTAAGATTGGATGATGACTGAAATCCTTCATCTTCTGACTGATCAATGCTTTGAGGAACCTGAATACATTTACACTATTAAGCCATTCATCTTCAGAAATATATATGATTAATAAGTAAATATTGTGCACCAACCACCTTGAGAATTACAATAACAGGCTGATGTTTTACTTCAGTAATTTCTAGCATGAATGAAGGATATAAACTTGTTAAGTTTCTATTTTTTTCAGAGTTGAGATCACATAGAATGATTTATCAATACCTCTGCCTACCTAATATTTTTTTAAAAATGAAAATAAATAAATGTTTGAAAACTTAAGTCCAGACAATTTATCTTCAATTAGTTCTTGTTTAGAAAGCTACAAGAAAATATGACAAAAAGCAGTATAATATTTGCAAATGATCCAGCGCTTCATCATTTTGTTGATAAGTCTCAAAGCACTTCATAGGATTTTACTGTAAAGTGTAGTTACTGTATTTTTGTAGATAAACACAGCAGTCAATTTGTCACTGCAATGTCCCACAAATGGCTATAAAGTGAATAACCAATTTTATCTGGGAATTTGTTGGCCAGGAGACTGGGAGAAACTTACTTATCTTTGAGTAGTGCCATAGGATCTTTAACATCCACCTGAAAAGCCAGATGGGACTTCAATTTAATGTCTGATTTGAAGAAGGAGACCTCCAACAATGCAGCACTCCCCCATTACTGGACTAGAGTGTCAACCTAAACTGAGAGCTCAAACTTCCTAAGTGGGACTTGAATCCTTGCAATGAATTAAGTTATCTACATTTTAAGGTTTACATGTTGGAATGGTAAAAATATTGTGCCTAAAGAACCAAGATTTTTTTTTAAAAAAATTGGAAACAATCCATTCACAGGAGATCTTGATAGGAGGAAAAGGTTATTTGTTGTTAGTTAATAGTTAAACGTTACCTTGCCAAGGTATCTCGCGACTGAGGACAGATGAGAAAGAGCAAGGGCCTTGCAAGGGCCACCTCACAATCATATCAATCCCTTTGCACGAATTATCTGCTGTATTCACCTACAAAATAATCATTAGACTTAGCAGTAAATTTTGTGACGTGCTTTGAGATGTCTTTTGACATGAAAAGGTGCTATATCAAATGCAAAGATTATTGTTTATAATGGCCAGGTGGCAATTTTCTACTTCCAAGACAGATATAGAAATCCAACAGATTGCCAGTTAAGAAAATAAACATTACGATTTCTGCTAATAAGTAGGAGAGATTGTTCTCTCTTTCTTCCCCCTGTCTTTATCCTCCACCCATCCTCTACTGGAGAGGAGAGACAGCCTTTTATAAGCTACTCTTTATAAATTGTTATAATATTTTATATTAAGTGAGAGACCTGAGTTCAATTCCAGGCAGAGCGAAACCTTGGGCAAGTTTACTTACTCCACACAGAGCCTAATAATAATCCTCCAAAACCAAAAACAATAATAAATTGGTCATTTTCAATCTACGACTGTTTGTGGGACATTGCTGTGCGCAATTGGCTGCCGCGTTCGCCCACAAATATACAGTCAATTCACTTTACAGTGTGTTCTGTGAAGCGCTTTGGGACGTCCTCCCGACGTGAAAAGCGCTATATCAAATGCAAGGATTATTATATTAAGCGAGAGAACCTGAGTTCGATTCCCGGGCAAGGTGAAACGTTCTTTACTCCACACGCCTGTTTACCTAGCAGTAAGTAGGAACTCGGTTGTTAGTCGATTGGCGGATCGCTTTTCGGGGGTAATAGTTCATTACAAAAAAATTGGTCACTCAATCCATGACCATTTGTGAGACACTACTGTGCGCAATTGGCTGATGCGTTTCACCCACAAAATACAGTTACTAAACTTTACAGTATATTCTGTGAAGTGCTTGGAGATATCTCGAAGATGTGATAAGGTGCTATATCAAATGCAAGGATTATACTATTTTTTTTTTAAAATTTAACATTTATGCATGAATTTATAAATACAATATAAACAAAATGTTAGTATACAAATTATGTAAAAATATTTACAATCGAAAAGCTAGTTTGAAAAATGTTACTCATTACAGAGATCAAAATAGTACATATGGAAAGGATTTTGTTTCACTTACCCTAATTTTTAGACCAGTCATATCTACGTTATCTGGCACTGCAGGTAAGTCCAACTTAATTTCCATTTCATAAGTACGACTATGAACCAGTGCACCGAAGAGGGACACTCGTGTATCTTTCTCGTGTTTGTCACCAGCTAAGAAGTTCTGGGAGAAGAGCCCAATACCAGGCAGTCCAGTGCCAGGTTTTGCATCCATTAACTGGAGTGTGCGCTGTACATCATCATGAAATTGCAAGTCTTCGCTGGACAGTAAGGAATGCAGACCAGATTCAAACAAGCTCACATCATATTGGTCATATCCTTGAAGTTTTACATTTCTTCCAACATATTTATTGTTCAGAAAATAATCTCTTTTCGGTGGTTGATTTTCATAGGATCCAGTCCCTGCAAGTTCCACCAGTAGTTCCAGCACAGAGTTCAGATCAGACTCCGGTAGGCACTTTAACTTCTCTAGTTGTTCAGTTAGCTCTTCTAACTGATCGGCCTCTGTGCCCATACCGGCAACCCTCATATTGAAGGACAGCATCAAGATTTTATTTTTCGCAGGTAGTTTATGCAACACCGATTGAGATGTCGGTGGCATTTCTTCTCTGAAAAGATTTACAAATAGAGCATCGTAAGCTATTCTTTTTAATTTTTCTTTGAACTGTTCTTGATTGAGTCTTCTTTTTCCTAAATAACACCTCCATGACAAGCCAGTCATATGTGCTTCACAGAGCTCGCCAAACAACTGTGTAATGCTTGCCATTGTTATCTGTCAAATATTGAGCACTTGAGAAATACGTCAGTTTTGTTCTTGATTAACAGCTCTGGCCTTTAATGTGTTATAATGATCCATGAATTGAGGTATAAGAGTGGACATCTGACCCAAAATGTTTCCTTCATCCCTGAAAAAAATTCAAACATTTTAAGAGAATAACAACTTACAGTTGACAAACATCTAGAACATTCTACACTGCACTTTATAGTATATATCCTGTGAAATGCTTTGAGACATACTCTTAACATGAAATGCACTATACCAAAAGTAAGTACAATTTTTAGATTGGACTCTTGTTAAAAATAATCTCTCCTAACTTCTCCAGTTAGTTTTTGATAAATATCTGACATCTATACTTCCAGTTATCAATTTACCGACCAGTGGAAATAGTTTTGTCTTCATCTCCACAGAGTGTGAATTTTGAACACCTCTAAACTGTCTATTCATAAAAATACAATACAAAATACTGTACATTTATTTAATACCTTCCAATTCTAGAGGACATCTCAAAATAATCTCTTCTGAAAAATGTAATAATAACCCTTACATAGCACCCATGAATGTCTTGCAGAGCATCATCATTACTGTCAAATGTAGTAACTGTGTACTTCTTGCGGCAAATGCGGCAGATACATTTTTGAATACTGGGGCACTACTAGAGTTCAACCAGCTAAAACCGCATACTTTGCACTGTCTGGCAAGCTTCCAGGTGCTTGTCCAGCTAGGACCTCACCACACATTAGGGCTTTGGCTTGCAGGGTTCACTGAAGCTGAGTGAAGAATTCCATGCTTCCAATCTGCCTCCAAATATTGCCAGTGAACCAGGCTGGCTGTGTACCTGCCTAATTCAGGAACCAGACTACTGACTCCGCCATTTTATTGACAACAACAAAATTACATTTTTATAGCGCCTTTCGCATCGGGTGGACGTCCCAAGGCGCTGGGCAATCAATGTTTCGGATCCGAGCCGGGGGTTGGGATCAGGGACAGTGAGGGCGGGGGGGAGGGGGGAAGGAGGGTGACCGAAGGCTCAGTCGAAGAGGAGGGTCTTGAGACGGGTCTTGAAGGGGGCAAAGGCAGAGGGGCTGTGGGTTGGAGCTCCAGAGGGTGGGGGCAGAGAGGCAGAAGGCCCGCCCGCCAATAGTGGGGCGGCGAGGCGGGGACATGCCCGCTAAGCGGAGGGAGCGGGTAGTTGGCAGAGGTGGGGGGGGGGGGGGGGAAGGAAGGCCATGGAGGGCTTTGATGGTGAGGACCAGGATCTTGAACCATATCCTCTGTGTGATGGGAAGCCAGCGGAGTCGAGCGAGGATGCGGGTGACAGGGCTGTGGAGCCTGGTGCAGGAGAGGACAGCGAGGGAGGAGTTGGGGAGGCCGACAACAACAAGACTTCATTTATAGAGCGCCTTTCACGTCGGGAGGACGTCCCGAGGCGCTGGACAGTCGGTTCGGGAGTTTTTGAGTGGCCTCGCACGTTGCCTTGGGAGACGGCTCAACTCAGCTCCAAAGGAGACCTGACTTACCTCCTCCTCTCCCCACCCCCTCCTCACCAAAAGGCAAAAAAAATAGGTCAATGTTTCTGGGGGAGAACGACTTCAACATTAACTTTCTCTTTCAGCCGCTGTGCCTTTCCAGCATATTCTGTGTGGGGGTTTTTTTGTGTGGGGGGGGGGGGGGGGGGGGGGGGGGGGAGGGGGTTAAATTAGTACAGCAGTGAAGGACATTATACGGTATCACATTCTAGTCTAAGATGCTGACAGGGGACCCCGTTACCGTTAGCGGCAAAAGGATGCCCGGCCTCTCCGGACGTGCGGGAGCTGTTCGGGCTCATGCGAAGGACTTGGGCTGTCGTGCGCTGCGAATAACTCGACCTGGAAAGCCACCGACCCTTAGCTTTTCAACCCCGACCCGTCTTGTGAGGGAGGAGCTGCCGGGGGCCTTTTGACCGACTTATCCCCTTTACCCTAAGAACAGCGCCCTACGATCAACCCGCCAACCTGACCAGAGACAGGGAGAGAGAGGGCCTCTGCAACCCGTGTAAAAACAGGCCCCATCGCAGCACCAAACCCCCCGCGCCTCATCCTCCCACTCACCGTCTCCCGGGGACCGCCGCTCCAAAACAACCTAACGTGCTCACGCAGCGCGTCGGGGAGCGCCGGCCGCCGATGGGCCGCCGCGCCGTCCTCTGGTTGGTCGGTCGCGCTGTCAATCGATGCGGCCCCGCCCTCTCCCCCCCCCCACCGGCGAAGCGTCATCAAGTTAGGTTGAGAGGAAGCGCGAAAAAAAAAAACCGCCAATGTTGTGGCGCGCGGGCGGCGGCGAAGGGGCAGAGCTGCGCATGCGCCAGGGTGTGGGTGCGCGGAGGAAGAAACGATGAGGCGGGATTGGGCGGGTTCAAGCCCAATTGGGCGGGTTTTTGTTGTAACCAGGCGTGAAGAAACGGCGTTGGGCGTTTTGGTGCCTGATTTTTATTTTTCTTAACAATTTAAACTTGCAAAACTTGCCCCTCCCCCCCCCCACCCCCTTTAAAGACCTTCTCGTGTACAAGTTTCAAAAGCACTGACCTAAACCCGGCACGCTGCTGCATAGGAGGCAACCCATAATATTGGGCCACTTTTGGAGGCCAGACTGGGTGATTTTGAGCTACAAGTGTACAGTATTGTAATGTCTGGCAACCTGGGGTGGGCGGGGGAGGGCGAGAGAGCAAAGCCCTGATATTCATTGACTAGTTTGGACTAGGTGTGATTTCAAATCTCCTACCTGAAGCAACAACAACAATAAATTGCATTTATACAGTGCCTTTCATGTCGGGGGGATAACCCAAGGTGCTGGACAGTGAAGGGTTTGCACCCGAGCTGAAGGTTGGAATGAACAGGGATGGGAGGATGACCAAAGAGGTACGGTCAAAGAGGAAGATCTTGAAATGATCCTTGAAGTTCACTATACCACTGGCTTGGCACCCAAGCCGGGGGTAGAGGCCGAGGGGGTCTGGGTTGGCGGCGGGAAAGTTGACCGAAAGCGCGGTCAAAGAGGTAGGTCTTGAGGTGGACCTTGAGGGAGGTTGTGAGTCATTGTGTTTACTTAAAGGAGTCAAGAGACTGGAGGGCATCGATTTAAGATAGCTAGCAAATGAGGGAAGTTAAGAGTATATTTTTTTCACGTCTTGTGTGGTTAGGATATGAATGGCCTGGCTGGGCATTTTGTACAGTTGGAGGTCCCTAAGACTTGGTTCTTGCCCACCTGCGCCGAGTACTTGAAATTGAAAACTTACATAAAGCAGAGCTCTCGGTGCTCCGTTTGGATACCCTTACGCTCGGTGATGGATTTCCATGAGTATCAGACGCCCAGCTGAGCCAAAAAAAAAGGTGCAGTAGAGAGCTGATTATCCGCACAAATTGATACCCACCCCATTGTGGATAATACACTTGAGCTCAGGGTCCATGCTGACATTTAGTCCAGTGCCCGGGAAGCGCTGCAGGGTTGGGCGATAGCCGAGTCCTCGGTTTAAACGCCTCATCCAAAGGCCCGGTGAGACCTCTGACAATTGCTGGAAATTCATACGATAATCCTTGCACATGTTTAGACCCAGGCGAGGCGAGGGTGCGGCCAATTTGAGCCAACCTAACACCTGCTGGCAGTACAAATACCAACATTTAGGGTATGTCCCTCTTGTAAATCCCCATTTTATCTTTTGGCACGCGCAGGGGGGGGAACACAGTCACTGCACTTTGACGGGGAATTCTGGTGAAGCGCTTTGAAAGGTCTCACGGTCGTGATAAGGCGCTATATGATTGTGCGAGGATTATTAACAGCAAAAGCAGAGGTCGCTGGCAACACTCCGCGGGTCAGGCAGCGTCCACGGAGAGAGGAAAGGGAGACAGCGTTTCAGGTCGATGACCTTCTGTCAGAATTAAACTAATAATCAATGAGGATTATTGACATTATTTGAGCCTCCCCTGAGCTGCTTCTCCATCAGAGGCTCAGATTGTCTGAACTCCCCCATTTCGACCCCAACACCCCTCCTTCAGCCGGATGGTAACCTAGCAACCAGCCGCTTCTTCAATCCCTGCCAACCTAACCTGCTGGCCTGAGCTCCCGGTCCGTGATTGGATAGAGCTTGAGCCACGCTCCTTCTGATTGGCTGGCGGTGCTGCCCATCAGGATTTACTGGCGGCTCCCGCCCCGTCTCCGCGCCCATCACGTTTGACTGACCTTGAAGAGGCGGGAGTGCTGCGCCTGCGCACGTCAAGGTTGCGCGGCGCGCTGTGTCCGTGGCGCGTGTTTCGGGACCGGTCAGTGCCCCTCAGGCACCTTCCCCGGCGCTCGGTTGACCCGGAGTTGTATTAAACCGTATTTTTTTTGAAAAAAAACCCCCCCTCCAGAGCCGAAGGTACGTTCCTGAAGTAAAAGTTTCCACACGGTAAGTCCTGAAGATGGTAAGAGAGCGCCTGGAGGCCAGTGAGTGATGCTCACTCCAATCCTGCAAAGCTTTTACAGGTATAAAAGTGTATATATATATATATATATAAAGTGTATATATATATATACACATATATATAATATATACTCACACCGGGTGTAAAACTCACTCGAGCTTTACTTCACCGCCTTGCGATGCCACTCGTGTCAGTCTGGCTCAGTTGGTAGGTCTCTCGCCGCTGAGCCGAGAAGGTTGTCTCTCAAGACCCTCTTCGCTCTCTTCGGCCGAGCCCTCGGTCAAGCCTCCCACCCCGACATCTCCCAGGCCGCCCTCCACCCCTCCCGTTCCCGACCGCCAGCCAGCCCGGGTGCGGATCCCAGACTGTCCGGCGCCTTGGGACGTCCTCCAGACGTGAAAGGCGCTGTACAAATGTAATTTGTTGTTGTTGTTGTTGTGGTGGGTTTGAGCCTCACATCTGTTTTGGATTGTCTTCATCGCGGTGGTGGGTTTCCGCGTGTGTCAGGCGCACAGTCACCAAAAAGAATAATGCGCGTGACTCACGACTTGGTATTGATTTGCGTTTTACTGAGAGCTGAGTTGGTAAACCCACTGCTGTAAATGCTGTGAAACTGAGCCAAAATATTGACATATTAAATATTACATATATTAAATATAAAATATTGACCCCACCAAGAATATTGACATACCAGCCGGGATTTCTATGACTGATTTCTATCCAGTAACCCTTGCTGGAAAGTGTGTACTATAGTTTGCATAGCAATTCTGTCTGGATTAACATATGAAGGATGCTGCCATTGGTGAGAGTGGCGAGTTCCAACTACTAACAAAACATTAATCCAACACAAGCCAGTCCCATCAGGCAAGGAGAACAGAAGTAAGAAGGCAAATCAAGTGGCACATTTTCATTTTTACAGTTGTGGACCAAGGCAACAGAGAGGGCCATGGAAGCAAACTTCATAAATAGGTTCAAGAGGGAGTTAAATGTGTTTATAAAGGAGGATTGAGATTAAAAAATGGATGAGCTTGTTGGACCTTTTTGGACTTTTCTTGACCCTTAAGATGAGTACAGTATTTTGTACATAGTTCTATGGCTAGAAATTACATCTTGACAGGATTTATTTTGAAACTAATCCTTGTAAATTTGGATTATGTAAATGCATTTTTTTCCCAAACTTCAGATATGGCTTCAGGAACGGGGTTGATCTATGATGAGCAAATGACCAACTACAAACTATTGTGGAATGAGTAAGTTCTGTAAAGATTGTTTTGTGTTTGTAAAGTGGTTATTTTTCTTTTGTATTGGTTATTTATAATGCTTTTCCTTTTCTAACTTCCGAACGTGCTAATTTTGCTGTGACACAGATGCCAACATGCCTCAGGTATCTTTCCCAAATAGCCAATTTTTATGTGTGGGCCTACGCATCATAAACTAATTGACTATGAAAGACATTGAAGCCAAATCCAATCCTAATAATAATCTGGTTACTCAATCCATGAATGTTGGACACTGCTGTGCACAATTGACTGATACGTTTTACTCACAAAATATACAGTCAATTCATGTTACAATATTTTCCGTGACGTGTTTTGAGACGACTCGAAGACGTGATAAGGTGCTACATCAAATGCAAGGATTATTATTGTGTCATTCTAGAAGGCAGCTTTAGAGCAAATTATCAGTTGTCTGTCAGCTCTTCCAACTAAAGATGAACCGTGATAGGGAGGAAAAAGTGGAAAATACTGTAGCCGGCCATTAAAAAGACTCAATTTGGAGCCGATTTGCAGAAATGAGCCAATATAATATTTGTCCACAACGTAGACAGTCACTACACTGAACAGTAAATTCTGTGAAGCACTTTGAGGCGCAAAAGGTGCTATATTCAAATGCAAAGATGATTATTATCATTATTATTCAGAGTAATAATAATAGTAAACAGTTGTAGATTGAGTGACCAAATTATTATTATTAATTAATAAGTAAGTAGCAGATCTTACATGGAGGTTTCTGTATAGTTCATGGAGTCTTATGGTATAAAGTGATTGGATGGACAGAGTGAAAGACTTGGCTGGAGAATAAAACACGTTTTGACTTTGGGAATCAAATGTGAGCAGTAAGCACTCCTCAGTGAGATATAGAACAATCAAATGCACTGGGATTTAACCCTTAGCTGTTTAGTGAAGCTTTATTTATTTGAAATACTATGTGGTATCTTTGAAAAAGAGAAAACTTACAACCATTTTTGAATTTGTTATGAATATTTGTGTAAGTTGGTATCACAGTCTATTTCAGCAGGTGTGTTAACATTCTCTATTCAATATGTTTTCAGCCCAGCTTGCAGTGTTGAAATTCCAGAACGATTGTCCTCTCTGTATGAGAAACTGAAACACTATGGTCTTGTGGAAAGGTGTATCCCACTGCCTATTAGAGAAGCTGTTGAAGAGGAAATATTGTTAGTTCACAGGTTGTACACTTTTTTTTTACAAATATTTTTACAAATAAAATGTCCTTTGTTTATGCTTATTATTATCCCTCTAACCTCTCAATACGTTTGGTTCCTGATTGAACAAAATAAAAGAAAAGACATAGTATCAACAGCTTTTGTTGGGTGTCTGTTCCACATATGTGACCTTTGGTGTAAAATTCCACTTGTGGCTCGAACTTACTCAGTTAAATGTTCCATTTTAGAGCGTCCAGAATTTGGGAAATTGTTGAACTTAAACTTTGTGGTTCTTAAAAGACCATATAGAAAACTGGCTTGAACAGTAAGGCTGTATGTAATAATTTGCCAAATTCTGCCCACACTGCAATGTTAATAAAGGAAATCCATGTCTACGTGTGTGTGCGTGTGTGGCAGGGGATGTTGGGGGTTTCTTTCAATATCTTCCAAATTTTCATCAACATCTCTTTGTCATTACCTGTAGTTGTTAGGATATGGATAAGTAAGTGCGTCTTCTACTTTCTGTTCTTGGAGTCCTGTAGTGAGAAGACCCGGGTTTGTTTCTCGGGCAGGGCAAGTTTCCTTACTCCACACACTTGGGAGTAAGAGGAACCTGGTTGTTAGTCGATTGGCAGATCACTTTCTGGAGGTTCTGTTCAAAACAATAATAATAATACAATACTAAATTGGTCACTCAGTCCGCGACTATTTGTGGGACACTGCTGTGCGCAACTGGTTGCCTCGTTTCCCTCACAAAATATGCAGTCAATTCACTTTACAGTATATTCTGTAAAGCACTTTGAGATGTCTCAATGATGTGATATATCAAATGCAACGATTATCCTATTATTACATATTATGTCTATTCTCTACCCACACAGAAGAGGTCAGAAACAAAGTATGTAAGATATATGAATGTAAATTCATGTGGTACTCAGTATTGATAAATTTGCCAATTCAGTGAAAATTCAATGATTTTCATTTCTTGAACTTGTTTTGAGCTGGATCCCATTTATTTAAATAATTTTCTACCTTTAGCCTAGGTTACCTAGAAGCTGTAAAATCTACACCGTCCATGAATGTTGAAGATTTGAAAACCTTTTCTAATAACTACAATGATGTATATTTTCACCCTGTAAGTAAAACTTTGCTCATAATAGCTAGATTATTGTACATTTCAAAATTAATTGAAAATTAAATTAATTAAGAGGAACAATACTGAACCTAATATTAGAGGGATGAGCTACGAGGAATGACTAAATAAACTGGAGCTCTTCAATTCCTAAAAGAGACTCACATATGAAATGGGCATATTTACTACTGGATACTGAACCTTTTTAAGATAATACTTGATAATGCAATTCAGATTTACAGTAAATTAGCACCTTTCACATGGGGGACATCGCAAAGCACTTAACAGTACTGGATGGGCACCTGAGACGAGAGTGGTAACCGAGGAAGGTGGCTACTTATGATCTTGTGAGGTAAAACGGGTTTAGTCCCCATTTTTAGTTCTTACTTCCACTCCAAGGAGACTCAAGCTGGGGCTTAAGTTGAACTTCTCGTGATCTTGAGTGTAAAGGAGAAATGTTAATTGTTCCGCTTTTTNGTTTGTTGCTATAACGTTTTAAGTTCCCATTCAGAACTCTTACCACTGTGCCAAGTTGTCCCTTGGAGGAACTCTGCAACTTGTTGATGCTGTGATGTTGGGGAAAGTGAGAAATGGGATTGCATTGGTCAGGTAAAAGTTAATTTTATGTTAACTTTTATGTTCAATGGTTTTATGAAGTTTGTCCTTATAATTAAACAATACACAGTCAATCCAATTTGCAGTGTATTCTGTGAAGCTCTTTGAGACGACTCAATGACGTGACAAGGCACTATATAAAATGCAAGAATTATTAATATATTATTATTTTCTCATTTCCTCCTCAGACCTCCCGGACATCACAGTGAGGAGGGTGAAGCCTGTGGGTTTTGTATCTTCAATAATGTAGCAATAGCAGCTGAATATGCAAAAAAGAAATATGGAACTGCAAAGTAAGGATTTTTTTTAAATATCATTAAGCTGGTTTGTTTATAATGAACATCATTTACTTTTTTAATTTTTTTTTGCAGGATTCTGATTGTTGATTGGGATGTGCACCATGGCCAAGGAATTCAACACAGATTTCTGGAGGATCCAAGGTTTGTACCCTTAAGTTTGTTCAAGGGCAATCAGTCTTGGAGTAATGGTTTAGATGAAGACCATAGAAGACAAGCAATGAAAGGTGTTTTGTCATGGAGAAGTAATGTAAATTTGCATATAAAATTGATGGACTGTCAGTAAAGAACAATGGTAGAGCTTTCTACCATCTTAAGGTATTTTCTACCATCTAAAGGTATTAGAATAATAAGTGAGGTGACGAATTAGAAGGCCTTATAACTGTTAATAACTCTGGTTTCTTTTAGTGTGCTGTACTTCTCTTGGCATCGTTATGAACACCAACAGTTCTGGCCCAATTTAAGGGAATCTGACTACGATGCTATTGGAGAAGGCAAAGGGACAGGATTCAACATAAATGTGCCATGGAACAAGGTTTAGAATGAGATGCATTTTGATTTTTAATTCCCAAATTAGTGTTTTAGAATTTGCTTCAGAAATACCATGGAAGCCGCTTTAGCTGGACACCAGTTAACCTCGGACGCCGGGTAAAACGCCTAGCCCTGATGCATTTGTATTCTTACCCATTTTAAATATGCCGGTTAATTCGTACAGCAAAATACCACCCTGGTCGCTGCTGAATGTACTTCTGTGTCTCGAACGACTCCATTCAGCCATGAGCGGCTCCACGAATGAAAACTACTACAAATTCATTTTTGGTTTGGTTATGAGATGGAGATGGGAGAAGTCAAGTTGCGATTGATTGATAGCGGACTCCAGCCATTCACAAGCGCTGGAGTTGGGCTGTCAGTCAGTGAGTGGGCAGAGGAAAGGGGAACATACAAGGGAGAGAATAGGAGGAGTCAAATCACAATTGATTGACAACTGGAGCCGCTTGTGAATGGTTGGAGCCCATCTATTCACAAGAGGCTTCAAGGCTGTCAATCACCTCGGAGCTGCTGGTAATTGGTCTCTTTCCTGTCCAATGGGAATGGCAGTGGGAGGGAGGGGGGGCACTCCTGCCGCTCCTCTGCTGGGCGGGAAGAGGAAATGGAACTTCGGCTAACCTCGGATGCCGGACAATCCCGATGTGTCCAGTTTAACCGGCTTCTACTGTACTTGATCTTTGGGTGTTGGTGTGCTGAGATCTTGAAAGCTTCCCGAATATTGATTTTTGGCATTAAAAGAGGAATTGTGCTCAAAAACATAGTTTCGCTGGAGTGATCAGCTGAAACTACTGCAAATTCATTTTTGGTTTGGTTGTGATTTGAAGGTAGTTGATTTTCAGTGCTCCTGTCAATGAGGGGTTACCTTTGCATTCAAAACATTTGGTATTGCTTATTAAATTATTTTCCAATTCCCATTCAGATTCAGTCTTTAAGCATTGATAATATATATTTTGTATTAGTCATTTATTGCTCTTTTTCATTACATTACAGATTGGAATGGAAAATTCTGATTATTTGGCAGTATTTTTCCACATTCTGCTCCCTATGGCTTATGAGGTAATTATTTCTGCTTCACAGTTGACTCAGTTTTGTTGTTGCTGAGCGCCAATGGCTTGCACTAAGAATTTTGTTTTACATTTCCTGATGGGAAATGCCATTCTTCATATTTTATGAAAATATTTCAAGTGTCAATAATTGTCACCTCATAGACCCCCATTCTGTATTTAATGTGACCTTGAATTCCAGACTTTATTAATATTATTATTTATTACTAAATTAGTTCATTTATTCCTACTGCAGTTTAACCCTGAATTGATTCTGGTTTCTGCTGGATTTGATTCTGCTATTGGAGATCCTGAGGTAATGTATGAAGGCTGACAGAAATACATAACACAAAATGAATTGGATCATTTATCTTCTAATTGTGGCCAATTGAACCTATGTTTGACCATAACAAACCATTTAAGTGGACCTTTTACATTTGTTACCTGATGGTCGAGTTTACTATAACTTCCTCAAGAGAGGATTTTATTTTTATCTCCTGCATTTTCTTTTAAAATTCTTTTTCGGACTTAACGTGGATTTTATGTGGATAACGTTCTTGGTGCCCCCGAGTTGTAGCTCAACAAGGCAGTTGCTAATCTCAAACGTACAGGTAATCTCAAACATGCATTTTCATGCAAGAGGACCTGGGTTCAATTCCTGGTTGGGGTAAAATCTTACGGAAGTTTCCTTCTGTAGTAGTAAGTACGTACCCAATTATTAATTTGTGAATCATTTTTTCAGGGGTAATAATCCCTTAAAAAAAAAATATTACTTTGGGCACTAAGTCCACGAATGTTTGTGGGACACTGCTGTGCGCAATTGGCTGCTGCATTTCGTCTACAAAATATACAGTCGATTCACTTTACAGTATTTTCTGTGGCCTGCTTTGTGACGTCTTGAAGACATGATAAGGCGCAATATCAAATGCAAGGATTATTATTATTTTACATTACCTACTACATGTACTTAAATTCATATTAAAGTTAATTCTGTAGGGAGAAGAAATTACAGCAAAATTTGACATAACAGCTTTTTGTAGAATCCAGTGAATGTGGCCTCTAAACGTGAAGTTTTATGATATTTCTATTTAAACAATTGGAAACAATTCATAAAGATTGGGTTTAGTGGTACAAAGTCAGATTTATTAAATCCACCATTCTTCTCTGTGACACACAGTCTTTTTTAATTTAGTTCTCTGCAGCACTTGTGACTCTGAGTCACAAGATTGTGGTTTCAAGCTGCAAGTTGAGACTTTGAACTCATACTCTAGGATGACACTCCAATGCAGTGCTGGGGGGTGCTGCTTATCCTCCTGACATGAAAGATGCAAATGCAAAGATTATTATTTTTATATTATTTTTATCAAGCTAGATGAACCAATGCTACTTTTATGAAGAAAAATACATTAACCAGATCCAGGTCAACGGGAAGTTCAGTACGATTTAATAATAATAATAATCCTTGCATTTGATATAGCGCCTTATCACATCTTCAAGGCATCTCAAAGATACGTTTGAGAATTGCATTTGACCAACTGGAAGTCGCAAGAGCATCATCAAAGCAATCTGACGATTTGCTTTCTGTTTCAGGGTGAAATGTGTGCTACGCCTGAATGTTTTGCTCATCTCACTCATTTGCTGAAGTCATTAGCTAATGGGAAAATCTGTATTGTTTTAGAGGTATGTCCTGTTATGTTTGTATTTTTTCTTTTCTACTTCTTATGACTGAGGACCGGGTATTGAAATAGGCTGATTGTGTTACATATTCACATGGTGGATATGTTTTTAACCTTTGATTAGCATATTAGTACATACAGTATATATAGTATGTTTGGTATATATGTTCAGAGGATTTGAAAGAATGTTTGGATTTTGTTTTTCCTCTCCCTGTAATAGTGGTGCTGGTTATATTTGCAGAGGTGGTTTCCTGTTGAACCTGGAAACAACTTGTACATTTATTTATCTCACTTCTGACAATGCAATGAGAATTCAACCAGTGGGGGCAAGTGGCAGAGCAGCCAGCTTTGCAGCTACAACATTGTGCTTTTGTTATATACAAAATTACTACCCTTTATACTAGCACCAAAAAACCTTTAGTCAATATGCACAATTCAACCTCTGAATATCTTGTTTTTAGGGAGGATACAACTTGTGCTCCCTTTCAGAATCTGTTTGCATGACTGTACGTTCGTTACTGGGAGACCCGGTACCTCAACTGGTTAGCCAAATGGCCCCATGTGTCAGGTCATTATTAATTTTTTTCTTTTTTAAGTATCTTTCAAAAATTTGTGCCACATATCGTACAGTCGAGCATTCCCTTTTACACTTGTTGGCATTCCTGAATTCAAGACCATGTAACTTTTTTACGACCCAGGTTAATCAATTTCATCGAATATTATGACTCAAGACATATCACCTTAGAGTCTCTTCAGTGTTATTAATACTGCTACAAGATCATAACTACATGTTCCCAACTCTTTGCTAATGTTACTCTTCTTAACTGATAGGCTTAAGGAAATAGTGTATGTTCATTTTCCCTCCTGGGAAATTTACTGGAACAACCAGGCTCCTGAATCTAGTATGCTATAGTAACAAAATTTCACCGTTAAGAGTTTCTCGTATCAGAATATTTTGCGCAGCGACACACAATCATTACACTTCACACTTTGCCACTTTATAATATTTCCTGTGAAGCACTTTGAGACGTCTTAACGATGTTATAAGGTGCTACATCAAATGCTAGAATTATTAAAGAAAAATAGTCATTACACTTCACTACACATTTTTGAAGCGCTTTATGACATTGTCAACATTAAAATTGTCTACATCAAAAGCATGAATAATTATTATTTCACTGGAATTCTATCTCATAGCTGTAGCCGATTGGAACATTTGATTTTTATTTGCAATATTAAAATCAAATAAATTGTAACCTTAGTTTTAACTTTTTACATTGTGTAGTGTATATACTTAAATTAATATAGCTCCAGTTACTTAGATATAAGAATAATATTTTGTTATCAGCTGTTTACTGATGTGACAGGGAATTGTGGCTGTAGAAGATTTATGTTTTGCATTTCAGAAACTGGAAATCACAATTACATTTTTATTTTATTATTTTCTCCTAACAGTGCCATAGAAACAATTCAGAATGTCAGAGCAGTGCATCAAGATCATTGGAATTATTTGAAGTATCAAGGTAAAATAATGCGTTATTGTAAAATGAAAAGAAGGGAAATTTTCCCGGTTTTCCGGCCAACAGCCCCCAAATAAAATTGATCATTCACTTCATAGCCATTCGTGGGTCTTTGCTATGCACAAAACTGGCTACTCAGTTCTCCTGCAAAATTAGTCACTACACCTCATGGTAAATCCTGTGAATTGCTTTGAGACTTTGAAGTGCTTTCCCATTGAGAAAGGCACTGTATAATAATAACAATCCTTGCATTTGATGTCGCGAGGCGTCTCAAAGCACTTCACAGAATATACTGTGAAGTGAATTAACTGTATATTTTGTGGGCAAAACGCAGCAGCCAATTGCACACAGCGGTGTCCCACAAACAGTCGTGATTGAAATGACCAATTTATTATTTTTTTTAAGGAATTATTACCCCCAGAAAAGCGATCTGCCAATCAGCTAACAATCGGGTTCCTACTTACTGCTAGGTAAACGGAGGAGTGTGGAATAAGGAAACTTGCCCAACATTTTGCCCAACAGGTGATCAAACCCAGGTCTCTCACTTGCGGGGTGAGTGCTCTAACCACTGAGCTATAGGTCTCCACAATATCACGTGATAGGATTATTATTAAATTGTAGTTGGAAAAAAATGTTGTTCCTTGAGGTGATGAGTCAACTGCTCCATCTGTCAACTCAGGAAACTCCTCTCTTTCATTAGAAAAGCCTAGGAGTGAGTAACAAATAATAATAATACTTGCATTTGATATAGTGCTTTATAACATCATTGAGGTGTTTCAAGGCACTTCACAGAATATACTGTAAAGTGAATTGACTGTATATTTTGTGGCCAAAATGCAGTAGCCAATTGCGCACAGCGTTGCCCCACAAATACTCGTGGATTAGGTGACCAAATTATTATTACTATGTTAATATAATCCAGACAATGTACAAAAATTCCTCACTGCACATAAACTACACTATTATAACAGTTTTTTCTGCATCTAGGATTAATACTTTGAAGAGGGAGTACTCCTTATATTCTTTATCTTTAAGTCATAAATCTAGTTTCTTAGTGACCTATTTCCATTCCAGTGCTGTGGAATGTAACGTCACCAGTCCAGAAATGTGCTGGAGAGTAGGTCAAATATTTGAATAAAAAATCTACTTTGAATTCAGATTGTCATATGAATTTCTTTATTCTTTCACAGAAAATATTTTGTGACGTTAAATTGATTACAAAACATTTTTCGCTCAGTTTCTAATTCTGAAAATATTTTAAAAATCAATTTTTACCCCTCGTGGGAACTTCCTGTGGACGGACCACAGTTATACCTGTTTTCTCCAGTCTTTATCATTGTTTTACCCTCCCCACCACCACCATGTCATGCCTGTAGGCATTCACTTGTGATCTTAGACAGCAAGTGTTGACAGATCAGTCAACTGTGTTCAACAGTGTGTAGGGGAACAGCAAAGCCTGATCCCGCTGAGGATTTGTGCACTGTCCAGCAGGGGTCATTGGATGACAGCTGCCTGATTTTACTTTCCTTCCTTTCCTCTAGCCCAGATGGGTTGAATTCATTCACAGCAAATCTACAACCATCCTCCTAAGATTAGCACAGACTGAAAGTCAAATCTAGGACCTTCCCAGTTTGCATGTCTGTTTTATACAGGGCTTCATTGGTTTCTCATCCGACAACAACAACAACTTCCATGCAGGGTAACATCTCAGAGCGCTTAACAGTGGCGGAGCCTGACTCCGAGCTGGAGGGAGGTGGCCCTAAGCACGATCGAAGAGGAAAGTTTTCAGCGCGACTTGAAAGAGGGAAGAGGGTGGGGGGGCAGAGAATCGGTTTTAGGATCCCAGTCCTCACTTTTAAAGCCTCCATGGTCTTGCCCCTCCCTACCTCTGACCTGCTAAAACCTTATCAAGCTGCTTGCCTGCTCCCTCTCACCTGCTCCATCGGCAATTGTGCCTTCCTCCTTTCTCTGGAACTCCATCCTAGAGACCCTCTGCCTTGCTCTCTCCTTTGCCTCCTTCAAGGCCCATCTTTGACCTTCCTCTTTGGCCATGCCTTCGATCATCTTTCCACCCCCAACGCCCTTGCCCTCCACCTCTCTTGATTCCAATCCCCAGCTCAGTTGCAAACCCTTGAGTGTCCAGCATCTTGAGACATCCTCCCAATGTGAAAGTGCTATTTAAATGCAATTTGTTGTTGTTATTGTGCAATGGCTTTATTAGCTTAACCATTGGAAAATGATTGAAAATAATAACTGCAGTATAAGCCTGCATATAGCATATTGTTCAAGTATATTCTTCACAGAAAATATTGGCTGCATCCCAGAAAAGGGTCTGAAACCTGATTTGTTTAATATACTGTACATTATTACTTGGTTTTCTTTTTCTTGTTTCTTCAGACAATAAGTTTGTTAAAGAACCCAGCACCAAAAAAGTAAAACTCGGTAATGAAAGGAGTCCTGCTGAATCTGTTGATCAGGCTGCAAGTGGTGATGCTAAAAGCGTAGAAGCAAAGGAAACGACTGTGGACAAAGATTTTGATGATTTCATGGATTCTCACATGAAGAAGGTTCTGGTATCTGCTCCCCCTGTCAGGACTGCTTTAGCTGGCTGTGGAGGCAAAATAAGCAAGCTGGATCAATGCCTCCAATTGGAAGGGAAGAAAATCACCAGGGAGGAAGTTTCAACCCTCATGAGGTATGCAAAATCATACAAGAAACTCGAGAGAATAGAGGTCAACATGATACAACTGTTCCATAGAAATGGGCACAGTTCACGTTTGTCGCCCCAATTAGAGGCGACAATGGAGATGTAAAATAACTGGGGAAAGAGTCAATTGCAAAATGATGATTTCCAATGAAGAATATTGTGTGAATGGTTATTCTAGATGTGAGTAATTGTGAAAAATATCCTAGAATTCTGGTATATGATCTTCATGTCAAAGGTCAACCAACATCCAGATCTGGAGATGCCGGTACTCCTAGTTTTATATCCTTGTCAGGAAAAAATTGAAACTTATAGCAGAATTATAAATCGAACAATTCAAAGAAGTTAGAGAAGAATAAAATCCTTGGGTATTTTCAAATTAAATATTTCACCCCTAATAATTTGAAACAAATCAAGTGTTACTTTCTTCTCCCTATTAGGAAATAATCCTGCCTATTGAGAGCCACTAAGCAACTTGTGTAACATTTGTACGTGCTGAATTGGATGGAATACACTTGATTTATCCTCAGCCAGCTCTCATCACATGTTGTTGGGATTGTCAGGGACCCAGGGCTGGGTGCAAGTCATGGCACACCAAGCAGGAATGCTTGCCAGACAGCGATATCAATGGCAAGCTATGTGGTTTTCTGATTTTTGTCTCACAGGATTAGTGACCGAGCAAACATGAAGGATGATGAAAGCTTCTTACCGTCCCTGGGGAAGATGTTTGCAGTAATTGATAAAATCACAAGAAAAGAGGTAAATTAAATTCTGGGTTCTGTTATGGTAATAGGAACTGAGGAAAAAAACAAACAAGAGGTTATTCAGCTCTTGGAGACAGAGTTAGTTTATTGGATTTTGGCAGTTTTTTTTAATAGCCCTCAATACCTCTACTACCTCTTGTTATTTATGGAATTCATTGGTTAGGACTTTACTGGAATCAGTGTGACAGTATTCATTGTGTTCTTATGTCTTTTGTTTCTATTTTGCAGGTGAGGAATGGAATTGTGGTGTCCCCTACTCTGTTACCCTCTGTCTTTGCAGCACAATATTGCACAACCGTTGGAGTAAACAGGTGTATAAAGTTGAACTCTACAAGAAATATATATTCAATATAAAATGTTTCACAATTTCAACAAACCTTTTTAAATAAATGCCATTTAGCCCCTCATAGGCTTGTGCTTAGCTTAATACCATTGCCCTAAAGTTTAAGGCAGTGCAGAATTTGAGGAAATTTTTTAGTCTTAAAAAAAACTTCCAAATTGAGAATTAATTTAGGAATTGGATTGGGAATTTCAGTTAGTCCTATGATGATGCATTATCCAGTTATCCTTCGCTCTTTAGATAGATTTGTTTGGTTTCTGTTAACACTAATTGCATTCTTCAAGAAAAGGTTCATCAATCTGAAGAATAAAATATTGTTTAATAATTTTCAAAATATTGATGAACTGCTATTTAATTATAACAATGATGTTTCCAGCAGTGTAATTCTTTGGGAACACTCAGCAGGAAAGTGAGTCAACATTTTAGGTCCACGACTTTTTGTCAGGCTGTAGACCCGAAATGTTGACTCACTTTCCTTTCTCCATAGACGCTGCCTGACCTGCTGAGTGTTCCAGGGACTTCTGTTTTTGTTTCAGATTTCCAGCATCTGCAGTATTTTGCGTTTAGTGTAATTCTTTGTCTTCTTTCCTAAAGGGTATTACTATTGCTGGTTGGAGAAGCTGATATTCCTACTGATATTAAAGATAATGAGTAAGTCTCCTCTATTTTTACTGCTGGCAAAATGTATACTATTAATTTATCAATTATTCAGGTAGTTTTTTTTAAATCAGGATAATGAAGTTTCTTCCATTTGAAGGTTTTGAAAATGTACAAAGGTCTGTTTAAGAGGAAGACATATTCAGATAAACTTTGGGACCAATTTCCGTATTTTAATGCAATTTGTGCTTTGTGTGCTGGGTGGGCACCTGAACTGGGGGTGGGAGCCAAGGGAATGGGGAAAGGAATTTATTCCACATATTCACCACTCGAGTAATTAAATCTCATCCACCCTGTACATCTCTTTTGAGCTGAGTCTATGTGTGAACAAGATTCAAGTGTCTTTCGTCCAAATTTGGGGATTCAGTGGCACAATCTTGGTTTCTAGATTCTGGATTTAAATTCAGCCCAGTGCGTCAGTGCAGTTAAGGATTGAATAGTTCAATAGCCGGTCAACTGCCTCTGCACAAAAGTAATCCTGGCTTTAGTGAATTCTTCTCAGTAGAGCTTCATTATATAATCTTCATTAGATAATCTCGGAGGCCAAGGACAACCCCAGGCTTCTCTTCTCCACTACCAACCGGCTTCTCCGTCCACCCTTTCACACCTCACCCATCCTCTCCTCCAACTCCAACTGCGAGGAGATGCTGGATTTTTTCGAGACCAAAATCGAGGGGATCTGTTCAGACACCTCCGCCCTCCCTTTACAAACTCCTCCAATCGCGTCTCTGTGCTGCCCACAGTACGGAAACAGCCCTGGTCAAGGTGACAAATGACATTCAGTCCATCTGTGACCAGGGCTCCCTCTGCCTCCTTGTCTTCCTCGACCTCTGCTGCTTTTGACTCTGGATCACTCTATCTTCCTCCACTGTCTCTCTTCTCACCTCAAGGTTCTGTCCTTGAATGATTCAGATCCTATCTCTCACGCCGGCTCCACTTTGTCTCCACGAATGGCTTTTCCTCCAGCGCCCGCACAGTGTCGTGCGGTGTTCCTCAGGGCTCTGTCCTCAGTCCTCTCCTCTTCAACCTGTATATGATCCCTCTTGGTGACATCCGCAGACATGGGGTCAGCTTCCGCTTGTACGTGGATCACACACTATTTCTCTGCCTCCATCCTCGACTCCAGGGCCACATACATGAAGTCCTGGATGAGAGCCAACTTTCTACAGTTGAACATCAGGAAAACCGAGGCTCAAGCCAGCACCTTTGCAACTCAGACACTGACAGCACCAGAACCAAGGATGCACACTCCACCTCACTGAGCCAGTCAGCAACCTAGGCGTCTTGTTCAACCCTCAACTGTCCTTTCTACCCCACATCCATGCCATGACCCTCTCTGCCTTCGCCCGCCTCCGCAACATTGCCCGACTCTGCCACTGCCTCACCCCTCAAGCCGTCAAAACCCTCATTCATGTCTCGATTACATCCAGGCTTGATTATGCCAACGCCTTTCTTGTCAGCCTTCCCGACAAGCTGCAGATTATCCAGAATTCTGCAGCTTGTGTCCTCTCCCACACCAGGCTCCATGACCCCATCACACCCACCCTCGCCTGGCTCCACTGGCTCCCTATCCCTCAAAGGATCCAGTTCAAAATTCTGGTCTTGACCTTCAAGGCCCTCCATGGCCTTGCCCCCTCCTACATCTCCGACCTGCTAACCCCTTATCAACCTGTCCGCTACCTCCGTTCAGCAGGCTCCGGCCTGCTCCATGTCCCCGCCCAGCCCACCCCACCATCGGTGGTCAGGCCTTTGTCCTCTCTGCCCCCACCCAATGGAACTTCATCCCACATTCCCTTTGCCTTGCTCCCTCCCTTGCTTCCTTCAAGGAATGCCTCAAGACCCTCCTCTTCGATCGTGCCTTCGGCCACCCGCCTACCCTCTCTGCTCTCCATCCTCCCGATTCCAACCCCACCCTCTCCGCTCGGGTCTTAATCCCTGATTGTTCAGTGACTTGGGACATCTTCCCGACTTGAAAGAAGCTTTACAAATGTGATTTTGCATTGTATTATTCCATTTATTTGCCTGGTCTGTGAATACTTGAAGTCTGTTTCCTCTCACATGGATCACCCTTTCTAAATTAACTAGTGCCATGTCTTCTCAAACAATTTTAAATGTAGTAGTAGTTTAATCGCCACCAAGGAAAGAATGTAAAAGAGTTCACAGAAGGAGTAAGGAGTTGGCATTAGAAAAAGTAACTCCAGTACATGAGCTAGCATGATTTTAAGTTGTTTCCTGCAAACCAGTCTTGCATAAAATTCCAAATAATAAATAATTTAGACATCTCCATTGCATCAATTTTCTTTTGGATGATATGGTGCTTATAACTGTATCACATTATTCCAAATAATAGTTTGAGTTTGTTTTAGATTCTGGTCACATTTTAGTTTCTGCCAAGAAATTGGAAATGAAGCTCAGTTGAAAATATTGAGTTTGGGAAAATCTGCACATCCAACCCAGATACATTGTAGGCTTCTTGTAACCCTCCCATCCAGTGGGGTAAATAAGTAACTCCATCATAAAATCATTTTAAAAAACAAATCTAAGCTAGAGTGTATTACAACTGACAAGTATATGTAGTATTGATAATTTGCGCCATCTTAATATCTTTGGAATATAATTTTCAGATCAATCCTGGTAGTACAGATCTGCAGGAAACTGGATGAAAAGATGCAGACAAGTCATTACATTCCAATTTGCTGGAAAGAGGTAGGTACAGAAACCATTATTTGATTCAAAAGTTAATATTTATCCTGAATATGCTGCAGTCTGACTACTGTGTCATATAGGCTTAATTATGTACACTTATCTATGCCGCTCAACATTGTAAGGACCTAGATCATGATCATGACCCAGTCAATAACAATAAGAGTCCTGTAGCTCAGTGGTTAAAGCGCTCGCCTCGCAAGCGAGAGACCTGGGTTTGATTCCCGGCAGGGCAAAATGTTGGGCAAGTTTCCTTACTCCGCACGCCTCTGCTTACCTAGCAGTAAATAGGAACCTGGTTGGTAGTCGATTGGTGGGTCACTTTTCTGGGGGTAATAATTCCTTCAAAAAAAATAATAATAAATTAGTCACTTCAATCCATGACAGAGTTGTGAGACACAGCTGTGCGCAATTGGCTGCTGCATTTCGCTAACAAAATAGTCAATTCACTTTACAGTGTATTCTGTGAAGCACTTTGAGGTGTCACAAAGATGTGATAAAGCACTACATCAAATGCAAGGATTATTATGATTATTGTTAATAGTTCTAGTTCTCTGTGAGCCTTTTATCACAACAAGATCATCTTTAAGTGGTGGTAGGAGTCCTGTAGTTCAGTGGTTAGAACACTCGCTTTGCAAGTGAGAGACCTGAGTTCAATTCCAGGCAGGGCGAAACCTTGGGCAAGTTTACTTACTCCACACGCCTAATAATAATCCCTCCAAAACCAAAAACAATAATAAATTGGTAATTTTCAATCTACGACTGTTTGTGGTACATTGCTGTGCGCAATTGGCTGCCGCGTTCGCCCACAAATATACAGTCAATTCACTTTACAGTGTGTTCTGTGAAGCGCTTTGGGACGTCCTCCCGACGTGAAAAGCGCTATATCAAATGCAAGGATTATTATTATTATTATCAGCCTGTTCATTTGGGCATCTCCATTGCATCAATTTTCTTTTGGATGATATGATGCTTATAACTGTATTACATTATTCCAAATATTATTTCTCTGTTGAGTGTCACCCATATAAGGAAACATTACCATCTTAGCGTAAAATGAAAACAGAAACATTGCATTTTTTTTCTTTTCTATAGGATGGTAAAAGGGATGGGGACCTTCTCTATGCACTCTTCCAATTTATTTTGCCTCTGGCTTATGGACATCAGCCTGACCTGGTGATATTGGCAGTGGAATCTAACAGTGGTATTCAAGTAGTTACACTAACTCACTTGACTCATCTACTCCAGGGGTTATCTGAGGGTCGGATCCTTGCAATATTTCAGGTATACTGAACATTATTGGGTTCTGAGATGTGGTAAAGTTGTTTGTTTGCAGATAGAATACTTCTTTAAATCTTCAACAGTGTTATACATCTTGAACCTTCCCATGATTAAAGACAAGTTAAAATTAACTTGTTAATGCATTAATAATTTAGTAATGTATTGCCAATAGTTGCACAATAAGGTGATTGATTACATAAGACATGGCTTTTTTCATTACATATTCTAAATTCAATGGAAGATGCTAATTTTGTATTACGTGTGGGGAAAGTGAGTTAAAGTGAAAAAGTGTTATTTCTCTAAAAGAGATGGACAGTCGAGTGTTGCTGAACGTACTAAATTTTTACTGAATAAGAATAAAATATTTTTAATGCTTACAAAAAATACACTTATACCTGAATTAAGTTTTGAGTAACTAGACAAATGGAAGAATAATTGAAGTTTAAGAATACATTATTAAGAAATTACAATTTGTCATGTAATAGCCTTCTGTAGAAATGATTTGAACAACGGTAGATGAAGCATGTTAATAGGTTGCTCTTTTAGAGAACGGAGATAGGTACGATGGTCTCAACTGTCTTCTGTGCTGTAGCTTTCTGTGAATCTACACTGACGTTGTATGTTGATCGGTGGACAGTCACTCCCTACATATTTAAGTGGAAAAACTACAGTTATGTTACATGAGTGACTGTTGGCAAAAAAAAGTTAGCAGAATTTTTTAAAATTGCCAGTAATGTGTTGCTGAGTAGATTTTCACTGCTCCTATCAGGATTCTGATGTAGATCTCATGGAGGCCATGGCCAGTTCTTTGTTGGGTGATCCTGTAATTCCAGTGGAATCTTTTGTCTATAAACAAGAAAGTGTCCTTGTTTTGGAGAAACTCAGACAGGAACTTAAGAAGCCCTGGAAATTACTACAGAACAGAGGTAAGCAGAGTAACTCCTACAGCAACAGAAACTTATTTTCTTGCAGATATGAAGAGAGGCCACGTTCCATTCCAAACATGGGGATTTTTGTGTGTGGGTGGGATACATGGATCTCTCAGTTTGGTTTGGATACACTTAAGCATGGTGATGGGTTTCCACAAGTCAGACACCCGCCTGTCCAAAAAAATGGAGATATTTGGTCCAGCTGCTTTTATGGCCTGTTATATTGCAGGAGCCCTATATTCATCTTTAGTGTTGTTATATAAACATAGGAGCTTGGTGATATCTATAACTACTACTTGAGTTATTATGTGTTGATGATGTATGTAAGACAGTACATATTCTTTTTTGTGCTTTTGCCCCTTCTCACTAAATTATAAAATGCTGGGGTATGCCTCATTGGTCTTGGCAACCCCCAGATAGGACACATTATTGGAACTTATTCATGTGTGATTCTAGGCAATGAATGTCAGTAGGTTATTCCCACCTTTATACAATTTTTTTCTGTTGCCTATTTTGGAAGCACTGTGGACAGGAGCCACACCTTGAGTTCATAGTCCAGATTGACATTCCCAATGCAGCATTAGAGGAGTGCTGTATTATCAGACGTTCCATCCTTCAGATAATAAATTAAGATGGATTTTAAAGATCCCATGCTACTGTTCGAAAAAAGGAATTTTTCCAGTATCCTGGCCAACAATCCTCCAAATAAAATTGGTCATTTGCTTCATGGCTGTTTGTGGGACATTACTGTGTGCATAATCGCTGCCTTGTTTGTTAACAAAATATGCTCTAAACCCCTTACAATAAATTCTCTGAAGCATTTTGAGACATCCCAACGAAATTATACAATGTTATATCAAATGCAAAGATTGTTGTTATTATACGTCCACTATCACCCTAGCTGAAATCACCTCACCTAAATCACCAGCATAAACTTGAAGTTGTAGTTGATTGATGTTTGGTATTTAAGGTTTAATATAGCACCTGGCAAGGCATTTCAAGTTAGTGCCATCTGTAACATATTTATTGCCCATGTAACAGATGTCTCCTTGTTTTCTTCCTCTTTCCTAAATGCAGTAAACTGAGCTTTTGGTTCATTTGGAGTATCTTGGAATTCAAGCTTGAAGTAAACTTAAACCAATCCTGGAAACCTTAATAAAATGATAGTATCAAGAATCTCACCATGGTCATTTGACTTTGCTGTTCTACTCAGCGCCTTGGGATGTCCTCCCGATGTGAAAGGTGCTATGCAAATGTAATTTTGTACTTTTTTTTTGTACCAGAGGTTTTCTATGTGCTGAACACAATTTTTGTAGAAACTGATGGTATATAGAAAGATTGTCCTAGTCTGCACTAAATTGTTATGTCAGCCATTTCATTACAAACCGCTTCATCTTTAGTCAGCCTTCTCAACTTCCAACAGAATTATTCTGGTGGCTTACATGCTGTGCACAGAATGACCTAGGACCTGGGTTTTCAAACTTTCTGGGCTCGGGTTAGGTATCCTGACTGAGGGACCCCGCACACACACACACTCGGACTGTGCAGGCTTCCAGCAGAATAGCGAGGCCAGCCTGGCTCCCTCGTTCCCTCACAGCCTCCACAAAAGGCTGCCCGTGAAATACCTTACACTGGAGCCAAGGGAACGCGTCATTCTCATCCATTCCTTTGGCTGCGTAGCCATTACACGTCCAGTGTGTTTCCCGACTCCACGGTCCCCCCCTGAGACCTCCCCGGGGAACCATGGGCCCTAGCTTGGTAACCCCTGATGTAGGAAATACAAACACTTTATATCCAGAGTTTCACCCACAGAATATACAGTCAATTCACTTCATAGTATATTCTGTGAAGCGCTTTGAGACGTCTCAAAGATGTGATAAGGCGCTATATCAAATGCAAGGATTATTATTATTACAGAGATAGAGTTAAGTTTGCACATGGAGATACATTGCACATAGTTGTATATCTACAGTAGTTCATGATCCCCTATTGTATATTGTGGCAATGATCCAATTTTGGCAATATTTAATGTCCTTAAATTCTAGTGTAAATCTGGGATTTTCAACAGACCGAGTGCCTTAAATTCTAATATAAAAAGAATCTGCTAGATATATTTTAATTCTAAATATAGGATCACCCTGGTTGTCCATTACATGTGGGGAGGCTAAGCAGATTGTCGCTGTGTGTTCCTGACAATTAACTGTGCAGTATCAGCATATGATTTCACATTAGTCCTGTTGACTGGAGAAAAAATGAAACCAGCTCAACCAAACCAGATGGTAGATAGATACATTGCTTAATTTTAAATAAGAGTAGAATAAATTAAACATGTTTCAAGTGCTTTGATAAGACATATCTTCCAGGTGCCTACAATACTGTACTGTTTTTTCTGTGAACTGCAAGTAAACTTAATATTTCCTGTTTCAAATGTTTTCTGTTATATTTATAACTGATTAAGAAACATCAACTATGCAGTCTGCCAAATACCTTCTCCAATTTATTTAATCTATAAGGAAATAATTATACAGTTCTTCCCTAATCCCTAACAATAATGCATTAAAAGACACAGCATTTCATTTATCAACCTTTGAACAGTGTAAATTTCTATTTACAGAGCCTTGGGACGTCCTCCCAACGTGAAAGGCACTATATAAATTTGTTGTTGTTAAAGAGCAGAATGAATCTACTGGATTCAAACTAGCACCTGGAGCCTGGGACATGACAGGACCACTTCTATTTAAACTGGCTCTGTAATATAGATAGGCCTTCAGAAGACAGAAATTTGCATGTATCTCTTTGTTGTTCATTATTATCTCAAGATTAAGATACTATTATTTGAGACAAACTCCAGCTATCTATCAAATGGGAAAATAAATTAAATTGTTTTTCTTGCACAGATTAAGTGATAATAATTAATTAGTACAGACATTGAACACTGAGCTTTATTTTAACTACATTGCAATTTTTTTTTACAATGCATGAGTTATTTAAGCACAGACAGAATTGATATCAAAGAAAAATCTTTGATGCAATCTTCACTCAAAAATATTGCAAGACCAAGGACAGTTTAGTTAATAAGCATTTATATATAGTGACAATACGTTTACACACTAACATATACAACACATTCCATTCATGATAACTACAATTATTACATTCGTCAAAACGAGTACAAATTACAGAACGTTTCCAAACAATGTAAACTATAATTTTTTTTACAACATTATAAATCCATATTTACAATCACTTGGGAACCTAAAAGAGTGCATTAATGTGTTGTACTTAAGTACTTGATTACAGGTCATTATTCTAGCATTTGTGTTGTTTCCATTTGCGAGCGGCAAGCATCAGCTGCGTGTCTTTCCGGTGCCACAAATACACCTTATTTACTATTATGTTGGAGTCCTGCACGTCCCCTATCAGCACATACTGCACAACCCGGTTGCCTCGCATCATCTTATGGGCACAATTGGTGTTGATAAGGAGCCACTGCTGAATGATGGTGTGCGTTCCAAAGGGAAACAGAGAGCCGGAACTGATCATCTCCACCCGCCCGTCAATCTCCAGCTCAGAATCTCCCGACGCACTCTTCCTTTTAGCCAGTTTGACTTTCACAGCTGGAAGGCAAACGTAATTTATTTGTAATGGATTTACCATGCTGACACAAGACTTAAAAGCAACTTGGTTGATTGATATTACCAAAAACCAATTGTGAAGCGCAAATCAAGTTTTCAGGAACCTTTTTGCAAAGAAAGAATTTTTTTTCTTCTTTTAAAAGTATAAATTTAGCAGATGATTAACCAAACCTTACCAAAATTGTTCTGACAGAATGTCTGCAGAACTCGTTTGTGAGCACTGAGTTCCTCCGTAACTGGGCAGCCCTGACAGATAGGCTTTGGAAAAACTGGAAACAGAAGAATACAGAAAGTACACAGTTATACTTCAAATAATAATAATCCTTCCATTTGATATAGTGCTTATCACGTCTTTGAGAAGTCTCAAAATGCTTCACAGAACAGACTGTAAATTGAACGGACTATATTTTGTGGGTGATGTATATTTTACATCATATAAAAAGGCGTAAAAGAGGTAAGAAAAAATTGGAACCACCAAAACATTTTAAATAAGAAAATCAGGCGCGATGTGTCATCCCAAAAATACTCAGTGTAAAATACGATTTTTTATTTGGGGCTTTATTTGAATCCTGTTACCTCCTGCCCTACACACGCTCAAAGTGCTATCCTAAAATACTCAAGTGTAGAGTACAATGTAATGTAGTATTTGAGTCCTGTCTCCCCCTCCTGCACAAACAGACACACAGATATACAAAGTGCTTAAAGCCAGCCTTACATTTTCGGTATGTAGGAGTCTCCTTGGAGATGGATGTCAGGCACGTGTCTTCATCAGCTGGGAACCTGTCACAATCAAGTGCTTCCGGCCAGGAGTGTCCATGGCAGGTGAGGACTTGAAGGCAACTGTTACGAACAGCTGTGCACATACTGCGGCAAGGCTGGATAAACCTGCAATGCAAAGCCATTCAGTGAACACTGGTTACTCCTCTGCAACACAGAGCCATCAGGTGGCCCTCTCTGATGTGTAGGTATCTTTTCCAAATATCGAGCTAGTCGCTACCCACACTTTTGAACAAGCCGTGCATTACTTTAAAGCGCTCTGAGACGCCGTCCGGCGTGGATGGTGCTATATAAATCCAAGATGTTGTTGTTAATAATAATTACTTATTAATAATAGATAATAAGTAGATCAGTATGGATTAATATTTACTTATTATTTACTTGTAATAATTACTTATTAATACTATTAATAATTATTTATTATTAATGGTGGGTGGGGGGGGAGCATAAAAATAAATTACTACTTACGTGTCTAAGCAGATCGGGGCGAACAAAGCACAAAGAAAGGTCCTGGCCTCTGAATGACAGCCAGTCCTCAGCAAGGACTCCCAGGCAGCTGATTTGGGAATAACTTCTCCCAGTGTGGTGTGTCCCATCAGGTTTGGGAGCCTCATTTCTGAATAGCCAACGTCCTGGCACAACCCCATCTCCTCCGGGATGGCCACACACTTGGTGGATATCCCTATATCGAAGCATTGCACTGCAGTCACAACGAGGTGCAACAGAGCGTAAGAGGCGAAGAGACATCTCTTTTGACCAACAAACATCTCCTCCTTCTTGCAGTTGAGCCTCTAGACTTGACAGTAACTAGTCCAGCGTTAGTCCTGGCTGTATTTATATCCTTCAGAACCAAGCTATCACTTATCAATAGCTTGTCAAAAGCACTTCAGACAAGAGGTTTAAAGCCTATTATCCATTTAAGTGCCTTTTGTTGTAATCACTGGAGAAGGCGGAGGCTGTAAAACACACAGCGTTTCACCAGACTGCATTCATTGGGAACTCGCCTGGATGTTGTCCCAATCTTCGCTGTCTTAATTGCATCGTGTCTCTGTGAGAGTTTCACTCAACACAGGGAGCGAAACACATACACACACACAGAGGCTCAAATCCGATTTAAGAATATTTAAGTTCTGAGCAGACTGACAGACTCCAGGGACAGTATTTGGTTTCCTTTGTATTTGGGCAAGCGAACAGAAATTAAACAAAAGAATGAATTGTCCATGGGGAGGTGGGGGGGGTGGAAAAGCTTATATCTAGGCTTCAGCAGATTGATTGTCTCTCGTCTGCTGTCTTGAGTATTACAATGGAGACAAGTTTCTGGGATCTGTCTGGTGTTTCAGATATAGGTTTGAGGAGCCAGTGAACCCAAGAACAAAAATTCATTTCTTATAAATCCCAATCTTCCCCATCTCATTTCTTGGCTATAAAATTATTGGTTGCATTTTCAGCCTGGAGATTATATATTATTATAATTATATATGGGGCAATATTTAATAATCCTTGCATGTGATGCAGCACTTTTATCGCTTTGTTGAGACATTTCAAAGCGCTTCGCTGGATTTACTGTGAAATATAATGAACAACTTCTATCTAGAGGATTGTGTTTTTAAGGGATTATTAACCCCGGAAAGTGATCCGCAAATCCACTAAGAACTGGGTTCCTACTTACTGCTAGGTAAACAAAAGTGTGTGGAGTAAGGAAACATGCCTAAGGTTTTGCCTGAATCAAACCCAGTTCGCCTCCACATTTATCTGAAGAATTGTTGGCCAGGACACTGGGAGAAATGATGTTTTATCTGAAGGACGGCACCTCCGACAATGCAGCTCAACCCCAGCACCGCACTGCTGTCAGCCTAGATTATGTGAGTTCAAAAGTCTCCTGATACCAAGGGAATGTGGCTGACACATAGTTAACAGCTGACATTGTTAAAAGTATTCAAAATAGGAAGAGAGGAGACACATTTTGCAGGGAAAAAATGTTTATTTTTTCAAACAGCTTGTTATTCTGGCTAATAATTAAAACCAGCTATTGAACTATTAAATCCTGTTCTCATCACAGTTACCATATAATATATAAATAATAATAATAATAGTAATCCTTGCATTTGATACAGAGTTTTTCATCTCTTCGCAAAGTCTCAAAGCGCTTCACAGAATATACCGTAAAATGAATTGACTGTATATTTGTGGGCAAAATACGGCAGCCAATTGAGCACAGCAGTGTCCCACAAACTGTCATGGATTGAAGTGACCAATTTTTTTTTCTTGAGGGTTTGTTAAAGTAAAGAAACTTGCCTGAGGTTTCACCCTGCCGGGAATCAAACCCAGGCCTCTCGCTTGCGAGGCAAATACTCTAACCACTGAGCTACACGACGCCACTATATAAACTACAGAAGTATCAGGAAAAGGCAGGTAAATGGGACTGAAAGGAATGATTTTTAAAAGAGCCAGTATGCGAAAGACAAGGATATTTCTATGGTTTCTATGGACTGGAAGGAGCGAAAAAAAAGCCAGAGATCCACCTGAACAGGCAGATGGCACCTCGATTTAGCCAAGATTCACTACTGAATTTCACAAATGAATAATTGCCACCTGGGCAAATATCCCCATTCATGATTTGGTGTAAGTTTCTGTCCAGTGATATTGTTCCACCTTTTCAATTGAAGAATTTGCCTACAGTTTGGGTACAGATAATGTGTGGGGCACTGGAGCCTGCTCCTCTCTGACTATGTATGTGAAAGACAAGGATCAGATAGGAGTCATTGATCGCCATAGTGTTGTATTGTGAAAACAATCCAAAAATACCTTGAATAGCGTAGATGTTTGAAGCCCAGAATTACGCCCAATCTTAGCCTGTTAGACTGACTGTCTTTCTTAAAATTTCACAGACAAAAAGTGCTGAATGCCAGACCTCCCTGTGTGGAAAGCATTGTTAAGTTATAACAGGTTACCTGCAGTTTGAGATCTAGAGAAGTCCATACTGAAGGTTCCTGAGAGTATAAAAAATATATTTTTTATTGGTTGTTATAAATGGAAAAAGTTTGGCAAACTGTAATCAAAAATCAAAGCACAGAGACACCGGCAAATATTGCTGACAACATCACGTTGAGTAAAAATGGCTCCAGACAAATTGCCTCACACTTACATTACAAGCTATTCGTTCACCTCAAAGTAAACAACAGGTACATAAGAATTACTTGTAATACAATCAGGAAAGTAAGCACCATTAAGTTGTCTGCTACTCACGGCTTCTTTTGACTGATGCTTGCAGTCGGCTATTGATTACTAGTGATAAGACATGTGAGCAGCAGAAACCAACAATGCTGTCTGGCATTAGGGATGTTAAAAAATAAGCATTCTTTCACTGTCTCAGTTAAGCCTCCAAGTGATCAGCCACCTTGACTCCAGTGTGTTGGTGCTTTAGGCAGTGAAACATGGTTTAAAAAAAACTTTTGAATTTGGTGCAATTAAAATCTTCACAACCTGCACAATACAGTACCTGCAAATCAAGCTTATACAATTACACAATGCTGCTTGAGAATACACAGCATTTACACAGATATGGTACAATATTTTTGAAATAAAAACTATCAAAACTTTGCGAGAAGCTTTAACTCTTGTTTATTGAATGATTTGACACTCAAACAGAACTAAAACAGTAAATCACTTAAAACAAATCTACATTATGGTGAAGGGGAAGGTGATAGTGCAATTCAGTGCGCAGTAAGACATGTTCATCCGGGCATAAACCAGGACTTTGAACTCATAGTCTAGATTGACACTCAAGTGCATCTTTGGGATGTGCTGCATTGTCAGAGGTGCTGTCCTTCAGATGAAACATTAAACCAAGGCTGTTCAGGTGAATGTTACAGAATCCATAGTATTGTTTGAGAACAGAAGGGAATTTCTCCTGGTTTCCTGACTGATGATCTTCCAGTTAAATTGGTCATTCACCTCCTGGCTGTGCACAAATTGGGTGCTGCGTTCACCTACAAATTCACAATGTACTTTACAGTAATTACTGTTAAATGCTTTAAGATTGGCTGCCACATTTTGCCCACAAACATACAGTCAATTCACTTTACAGTATAAAGCGCTTTGAGACGCCTAGAAGACCTGATAAGGCGCTATATCAAATGTAAGGATTATTATTATTATTGCTTTACCCTTCAAGTCAGAAATCATCTATTCTGATACAGTCTCCTCAAGACAGAATCCTATTTATTTCCAAAACGTTGCTCCCTTTTCTCCCTCCTCTCAAAGGGAGTGGCTCACTCAGCAGGAATCCTGACCAAATTCCTCAGCATCTCTACCCCACCCCCCACACTCTCTCTCTCTCTCTCTTCAGTGTGGAGGCATTGTGCTTCAATGCTCCTTAACAACTGCCCAACTGCAAAGGCTGAGGTTGGGTTAAAAGAGAAAGCAACATAATGCATAGGTGGAAGATTCCATCATAACCCATCCTTCCACAACGTTACATACATAAAAGCGGAGGAAAATGGAGCGACTTGTTTTTTTTAAAGTAAAGGACAATCTTTTTAAAAACACAAGATAAAGGATGAGAAAGCACCATTCAGCTCATCCCACTTTACCATATGGTCCCAATTTATTTCTGAAATTCCCCATTGTCTTGTTTGCCTCCATTGTCGGCAGCTTGTACAATAGTATTGAGTAAAATCTGTTTTCCCCAATTTAGCTTTAAAATTGTGTGTTTTTTTATTGCAATTTTAGATGTATGTGTTCAGCGCTCTGATACCCTCATACACGCTTTCAGTACATCGAGGCTTGACTATGCAAAATCCTTGCTTGTTGGCCTCCCCAACTCCCTCCATAGGCTGCAGATCATCCAGAACTCTGCAGCCCGTGTCCTCTCCCGCACCAGGCTCCGTGACCCTATCACTCCCGTCTTCGCCCAACTCCACTGGCTTCCCATCACACAGAGGAGACATTTCAAGTACCTGGTCCTCACCTTCAAAGCCTTCCATGGCCTTGCTCCCCACTACCTCTGCAACCTCGTAACCCCCTACCATCCTGCTCACTCCCTCCGCTCAGTGTGCTCCGGCCTGCTTCATGTGCCCCACCCCGCTCGCCCCACTATTGAAGAGGAGGGTCTTGAGATGGGTCTTGAAGGAGGCAAGGGAGGAGGCGAGGTGGAGGACTGCGGGATGGAGTTCCAGAGGATGGGGGCAGAGTGACTTCTGCCACTCTGCCCCCATCCTCTGGAACTCCATCCCGCAGTCCTCCACCTCGCCTCCTCCCTTGCCTCCTTCAAGACCCATCTCAAGACCCTCCTCTTCGACCTTGCTTTTGATCTCCCTGCTTCCTCCCCTGCCCTCCACCCTCCCCTATCCCGACCCCCATATAGGGTCCGGAACTCTATCTGTCCAGCGCCTTGGGACGTCCACCCAACCTGAAAGCACTATACAAATGTAACTTTGTTGTCATGCTTTCATGGATCAGTTTGATAAACCTTTGAGTCAAGATTTACATTTGAAAGATTTGCAGACTGTCCAATAAAATCAGAACAATTCTCAAAAGCACTCCATATCAAAAATGTTAAATTGGAATTCATTGTGCTGTATCCTATTGCAACTCATTCTATCTCAGGAACTCCAGGTTATGCCCTGTCCCCTTTGCTCCTATAATCTATGCACTTAAAAAAAATTATCAAACTATTTCTTCATTCAGCTTGACTCAACTTGTAGCATTCGTCTTCTGGATCAGTAAGTTGCGGATTCAAGTCCTTTGTTGAGGTCGTCAAAGTTATGAGTGCAGTCTTGGAAGGAGCATTGCATTGCCATCAATGCCACCCGTGGATGAGACATTAAACTGAAGACTCGTCTGCCTGTTCAGATGGATGATAAAGAACCTATGGCATTATTTGAAAAGGGAAGGGAGTTTCTCCTGCTGTCCTAGCCAAGAATCCCCCTGATAGAATTGACCATTCACCTCCAGGCTGTTTATGGGGCATTTGCTGTGTGCAAATTTGCTGCTGTTTTGCCAATACACACCACACCCATGCAGACACCACACTTGACAGACATCTGTAGGCGCATCTTATGTTCCGATATCTCATTGGAGCGATATCGTATGTGAGGATTAATATCATTCATTGCTTCTGAGAGAGAAAGGTGGAGGGAAAAAAAGTTTTTTTTTTGGTGCGTACGCACTTGTATATGTTGGGTGGGGTGGAGATAAGAGAAGAAAAAATCCCACCAGGATCCCACCTTGCGGGTGTCAAGCTGGTGGTAGGACTCTCATTTCCAAGTCAAAAGGTTGTGAATTAAAGCCCCATAATGATCAAACTCAATAGTCTAAGCTGATACTGCAATGCAGTGCTATCCTTTGGTTATACCGAGGTCTTGTCTGGCTGATCAGGTGGACGTTAAAGATTCCATGGCACCATTTGAAAAGAGAAGGGAATTTCTCCTGGTGTTCTGGCCAACAATTCCCCCAAATAAAATTTGTCACTCACTCCATGGCTGTTTGTGGGACATTTGTTTCTGTGTGTAATTGACTGCCGCATTTTGTCCACAAAACAAATAAATTGTCAATTTACTTTATAGCAACATGAATCAATTTACTTTATAGCATCATGTATCATGAAACGCTTTCAGATGTCTCAATGACATAATAATAATAATCCTTGCATTTGATATAGCGCCTTATCACGTCTTCGAGATGTCCCAAAGCGCTTCACGGAATACACTGTAAACAACAACAACAACAAATTACACTTGTATAGCGCGCTTCATGTCGGAAAGACGTCCCAGGTTGCTGGATAACCAGGGGTTTTAGATTCGAGCTGGGAGTTGGGATCAGAAGGGGCGGAGGGCAAGGGCGCAGAGGTGACCGAACGCATGGTTCAAAGACGGGACTTGAAGGAGGCAAGAGAGGGGGTGAGGCGGAGGGATTGCGGGACAGAGGGTGGGAGCAGAGATGCCCGATGCCCGACCGCCAACGGTGGGACGCGAAGTGCCGGGGAAATCGAACCCGGGTCCTCTCGCGCCTGCCAGGCGAGCGCTCTCACCACCGAGACTTATTATTATTATCATTGAGACGCTATATCCGATCAGATGAGATCTGATATAACCTGGAGTCCTGTCGCTCAGTGGTTAGAGCACGCGCTTTGCAAGCGAGAGACCTGAGTTCAATCCCAGGCAGAGGGCGAAACCTCGGGCAAGTTTCCTTACTCCACACAGAGCCTAATAATAATCCCTCCAAAACAAAAACAATAATAAATTGGTGATTTTCAATCTACGACTGTTTGTGGGACATTGCTGTGCGCAATTGGCTGTCGCGTTCACCCACAAATATACAGTCAATTCACTTTACAGTGTGTTCTGTGAAGCGCTTTGGGACGTCCTCCCGACGTGAAAAGCGCTATATCAAATGCAAGGATTATTATTATTATTATTATTATTATTATTATTATCATCAGAGAGGACGGTGTGTCGGTATCAGGTTGGACTGTGGTGGAGCAGCCAATCAGCGCGGGGGCCGCTCAGTGGTGGTGTAATACCGCCGCGGGGCTGTAGGGGGCGGCAGCCGCCGCTCTCACCCGCGTCACGTGACCCGCGTCACTCCTCGCCGGCGGCGCAGAGAGAGAACATGGCGGCGGTGCGAGCGGAGGAGGAGCTCAGGCCCGGGGCCTGCGAGCCGGGGACCGAGCGGGGAGCCAGAGCCAGAGCCGGGGCCGGGGCCGGGGCCGGGACAGGCGCCCCGAGGGGTCACCGGCCACACACCTGGAAACAGAGCCTGGAGGTGAGCCGCTGACCTGCGGAGCCCGAGGCCAGAGAGGCCCCGACACAGCCCTCGGCCGTCAGTCAGTCAGTCACAGTCAGTCAGTCACAGTCAGTCAGTCACAGTCAGTCAGAGTCAGTCACAGTCAGTCACAGTCAGTCAGTCACAGTCAGTCAGTCACAGTCAGTCAGTCAGTCAGTCACAGTCAGTCAGTCAGTCACAGTCAGTCAGTCACAGTCAGTCAGAGTCAGTCACAGTCAGTCAGAGTCAGTCACAGTCAGTCACAGTCAGTCAGTCACAGTCAGTCAGTCAGTCACAGTCAGTCACAGTCAGTCAGTCACAGTCAGTCAGTCAGTCAGTCAGTCACAGTCAGTCAGTCACAGTCAGTCACAGTCACAGTCAGTCACAGTCAGTCAGTCACAGTCAGTCAGTCAGTCACAGTCACAGTCAGTCAGTCACAGTCAGTCAGTCAGTCAGTCAGTCACAGTCAGTCAGTCACAGTCAGTCACAGTCACAGTCAGTCACAGTCACAGTCAGTCAGTCACAGTCAGTCAGTCAGTCACAGTCAGTCAGTCACAGTCAGTCAGTCAGTCACAGTCAGTCAGTCAGTCACAGTCAGTCAGTCAGAGTCAGTCACAGTCAGTCAGTCAGTCACAGTCAGTCAGTCAGTCACAGTCAGTCACAGTCACAGTCACAGTCAGTCAGTCAGTCACAGTCAGTCAGTCACAGTCAGTCAGTCACAGTCAGTCAGTCAGTCAGAGTCAGTCAGTCACAGTCAGTCACAGTCAGTCAGTCAGTCACAGTCAGTCAGTCAGTCAGTCACAGTCAGTCAGTCAGTCACAGTCAGTCAGTCAGTCACAGTCACAGTCAGTCAGTCACAGTCAGTCAGTCACAGTCAGTCAGTCAGTCACAGTCACAGTCAGTCAGTCACAGTCAGTCAGTCACAGTCAGTCAGTCAGTCACAGTCAGTCACAGTCAGTCAGTCACAGTCAGTCAGTCAGTCAGTCACAGTCAGTCAGTCAGTCACAGTCAGTCAGTCAGTCACAGTCAGTCAGTCACAGTCAGTCAGTCAGTCACAGTCAGTCAGTCAGTCACAGTCAGTCAGTCAGTCACAGTCAGTCAGTCACAGTCAGTCACAGTCAGTCAGTCAGTCACAGTCAGTCAGTCAGTCAGTCAGTCACAGTCAGTCAGTCACAGTCACAGTCAGTCACAGTCAGTCAGTCACAGTCAGTCAGTCAGTCACAGTCAGTCAGTCAGTCACAGTCAGTCAGTCACAGTCAGTCACAGTCAGTCACAGTCACAGTCAGTCACAGTCAGTCAGTCACAGTCAGTCAGTCACAGTCAGTCAGTCACAGTCAGTCACAGTCAGTCAGTCACAGTCACAGTCAGTCACAGTCAGTCAGTCACAGTCAGTCAGTCAGTCACAGTCAGTCACAGTCAGTCAGTCAGTCACAGTCAGTCACAGTCAGTCAGTCAGTCACAGTCAGTCAGTCACAGTCAGTCAGTCACAGTCAGTCACAGTCACAGTCAGTCAGTCAGTCACAGTCAGTCAGTCACAGTCAGTCAGTCAGTCACAGTCAGTCAGTCAGTCACAGTCAGTCAGTCAGTCACAGTCAGTCAGTCAGTCAGTCAGTCAGTCAGTCAGTCAGTCAGTCACAGTCAGTCAGTCACAGTCAGTCAGTCACAGTCAGTCAGTCAGTCACAGTCAGTCAGTCACAGTCAGTCACAGTCAGTCAGTCACAGTCAGTCAGTCAGTCACAGTCAGTCAGTCAGTCACAGTCAGTCAGTCAGTCACAGTCAGTCAGTCAGTCACAGTCAGTCACAGTCAGTCAGTCACAGTCAGTCAGTCACAGTCAGTCAGTCACAGTCAGTCAGTCACAGTCAGTCAGTCAGTCACAGTCAGTCACAGTCAGTCAGTCACAGTCAGTCAGTCACAGTCAGTCAGTCAGTCACAGTCAGTCACAGTCAGTCAGTCAGTCACAGTCAGTCACAGTCAGTCAGTCACAGTCAGTCAGTCACAGTCAGTCAGTCAGTCACAGTCAGTCACAGTCACAGTCAGTCACAGTCAGTCAGTCACAGTCAGTCAGTCAGTCACAGTCAGTCAGTCACAGTCAGTCAGTCACAGTCACAGTCAGTCAGTCAGTCACAGTCAGTCACAGTCAGTCAGTCACAGTCAGTCAGTCAGTTAGTCACAGTCAGTCAGTCACAGTCAGTCACAGTCAGTCAGTCACAGTCAGTCAGTCACAGTCAGTCACAGTCACAGTCAGTCCGAGATTGTGGGTTCAAGGCCCAGGGATTCACATGGTCGAGGCTGACATTTCACTGCAGGGCAGGGGCTGGGGGGGGGGGGGGGGGGGAGATGGTAATAATAATAATCTTTGCATTTGATACAGTGCTTTATCGTGTCTTCGAGACGTCTCAAAGCGCTTCACTGAATATACCGTAAAGTGTAGTGACTGTGTATCTTGTATCACCACCACAACAACAACAACACAGTTATATGTGTACAACACCTTTCACTGGGGGACAGGGACAGGGAGGGGGGGAGACGCGGGGTGACTGGAAGCCCAGTCAAAGATCAGGGTCTTGAGGTGGGTCTTGAAGTTGACGAGGGAGGGGCCGAGAGGCGGGGACTGCGGGGCTGCAGTTCCAGAGGCTGGGGGGCAGGGTGGCGGATAGTGGGGCGGGGGAGGTGAAGCGGGCCGGAGCCCGCTGAGCGCAGAGAGCCGGCAGGATGGTAGCAGGTTGGGAGGTCGCAGAGGTGGGGGGTTGGGTGGGGAGGGGGGGAGTAAGACCGTGGAGGGCTTTGAAGGTGAGGACCAGGATCTTGAACTGTATCCTCTGTGGGATGGGAAGCCGGCGGAGTCGGGCGAGGATGGGGGTGATAGGGTCGCGGAGCCTGGTGCAGGAGAGGACACGGGCTGCAGAGCCGGGCCATGTTGCGGAGGTGGGGGAAGGCAGAGCGGGTCATGGCGCAGGTGTGGGGTAGAAAGGATAGTTGAGGGTCAAACAAGACCCCAGGGTTCCGGACCGGCTTAGCGAGGTGGAGTGTGCAACCGTGGATGGTGACGCTGTCAGCGCCTGAGGTGAGGAGGCGCTGACGGGAGCCAATCAGGGGAGCAATGTTGCGGAGGTGGGGAAAGGCAGAGAGGCTCATGACACAGGTGGAAAAGATAGTTGAGAGTCAAACAAGATGCCAAAGTTCCGTAAGGTGGAGTGGGCATCCATGGATAGTTATGCTGTCAGCGCCTGAGGTGGGCCTCGGTCTTGTTGACGTTTAACTGAAGAAAGTTGGCTCTCATCCAGGACTTGATGTCTGACAGACATTCTGTCAGGACAGCAGTGGTCCTGGAGTCAAGGTGGAGGCAGAGAGGTAGAGTTGGGTGGCATCTGCATACAGTTGACCCCATGTTTGCGGATGATGTCACCAAGAGGGAGCATATAAATGTTGAAGAGGAGGGGACCAAGGACAGAGACCTGAGGAACGCCTCAGGTGACGGTGTGGAGGCTGGAGGAGAAGCCGTTTGTGGAGATGGTGGAGGTGGTGTGAAAGGTACGATCTGAACCAGTCAAGGACAGTGGCGGGAGAGGAAGGAGCGACGCTGAGAAGCAACAACTCGTTCCAGGACCTTGGAGAGGAAGGGGAGGTCGGAGATGGGGCGGTAGTCTGGGAGTAGAGAAGCATCCAGGGAGTAGAGGGCTCGGCAGACAGTCAGTCACAGTCAGTCAGCCAATCAGAAGGTTGTGGGTTCAAGCCCCAAGGATTCACAGTGGGAGATAATAATCATCCTTGAATTTGATACAGTGCTTTATTGTGTCTTCGAGACGTCTCAAAGCGCTTCACTGAATACACCGTAAAGTGTAGTGACTGTGTATCTTGTGGCAGCCCCAATTGCCCCACAGCAGTGTCATGGATTGAGTGACCAAATTATTATTATTTTGTTTGTTTATTTATTGGAAGAGAATATTATTCACAAAAAGTAATCTGCCCAATCGAATAACAACCGAGTTCCTACTCACTGTGGGTAGACTGAGACGGGTGGAGTCAGGAAACTTGCCTAAGTTTGTGCTATGCCCAGGAATTGAAACCGGGGCCTCTCGTTTGTGAGGTGAGCGCGATAATCACCAAGCTACGGGACGTTAAATCGAGGACACATCTGCCTGTTCAAGTGGACGTGAGAGATGCCAAGGGAACAAGGGAAGGGCGTTTCTCCCTCTTCGCTGGCTCTGGCCTCCTATTTGTCCCTCGTGCCCTCTGCTCCACCATCGGTGGCCGTGCCTTCAGCCACTGCGCCCCAAAACTCTCCCTCAATCCCTCCGCCTTAACCCCTCCCTCCACACCTTCAAATCCCGCCTAAAGACCTTTTTGATCGTGTCTTACGGTCACCTCACTCCTTCTCCTGGCTCGTTGTCAGACTCTGCCACCGTGAAGTGCTCCGGGATGCTACCCCACTGAAGGGTGCTATATAAATGCAAATTGTTGTTGTCGTCCTGGCCAACAATCCCACAAATAGAATTGGTCATTCACTCTATGGTTGTTTGTGGGACATCACTGTGCAAATAATTGGCTGCAGCGTTCGTCCCCAAAATTCAGTCATTACGCTTTGCGGTGAATCCTGTGAAGTATACTTAGATATCCTTAAATCCCACTGCGCTGTTCTTACATTCATATTCCTTTATCTTTGTCTACTTCCCTCTTGATGAAGTCTGCTTCTATCGCTTTGCTTATGGAATCACGTGTTCAAATATTTGATTCTACATATACTGGAAACCTAATTTGTTCATTGTCTTTTAGATGCTGCTTGGGGACCCTACTGATGAAGTAATTAAGCATTTTATGCGACTTATTCTAGAAGACAGTTATGAAGCCCAGTCAGAACTTCAAACTATTATGTTGGATGCGTTTGATAAACTTGGTCTCAACAGAGCGGAGGGCTGCTGTCCAGTTGCATATTTGTTCTTGCAGCGGTTTGCTGAACTTGCCTGGTCTGAGTTGGTGGATGAGTGCTTTGCAGAAGGCAGCATGAAGTTGATCCATTCCCATTCCACCTTTTTTCAAGCTTTAGGCTTTTTGCGTCGAATATCTTCGTATATGCCTTGCGCCAGACGTATGTGGGACAAGCGATACAGAATCATTACGAACATTGGGATCATGATGGTCTTCGATGGTGAGATCACTCACTTGCGATTCTTCATTTGGCAGGAATGCCTGAAGATTCTTTATAACTGTCTTGCTTTGTGCACTGAAGATGACATGAGTTATGTTTGCCAACTGCAGATCTTCAACTGCCTGGAAGTAGCTTGGAAAATATCTGATAACGGATTGAACCTTGGATTACTTGTAAAGGCCTGGTTGGTCCTAGCAGAGCATTATCACAGGGTCCCGATTTGCAAACAAACCTGGGATAGGTGTTCCTTCCCACAGATAATCCGGTATTTAGCTCAAGAAGACGAGTATGAAATGTCAGGTGTTCTTTATGCCAGAAAAGCCATCATGGCTGTAGACCACCCAGAAGAATACAAGAAAAATCCATTTTCACATTATAAACCCAAAAGCAGATACATCGCCTCAATTTCCGATGACGAAAATGACCCAGAGGACATCTTTCCAGTTATATGTTCTTCCCCCACCTGCAACGAACTGGAAGTGGACGACTTTCATTTTCGATCTTGTGAACGCTGTCGGCTTACGATTTACTGTAGCCGAGCCTGCCAGAAATACCACTGGAAACACGGTCACAAGATGCAATGTGTTCCCCTCGTGTCAAAGGAAGAGATCCTCCAGTACTACAGCGAAGATGTGATCAATGACTTCCAGCTGTACTGTATAAGCCTGTCAAATAACAAGATGCTGGAAAGTATTATGGGGCAGAGCATTCCCAAACGAAAGAAAGGAGACGGAATCCGCTGTGTGGGGGTTCTTATTAAAAATGACCAGGGTCAGTGGGTTACCATCGATGAGGAATTCAAGGGATCGAGAAGGTCTGGAGCACTTACCAGAAGGAATAGGCACAGAGACTGATTTAAATTTTTTTTACACTATTTTCCACCCCAAAGTGATTCCTTAATTATCATATGTAAATTATGTACCAAATTGGAATTCACTTAATCGACAGACTTTTGCAGTTTGCTGAAGTGTTCTCTTTGGACCTTAGGGAAAAAAAACTTGTTTTTTTTTAATTAGAAATTAATGTTTCCGTAAACAGAATAAGGTTGACCATTATTTTGTGGTACAAATTAGTAATTGGTTACTGACTATCCTCTCTTCACCATCACGTCTTATCACTCGTATTTCAGGTTATTTGAAGTTTTACCTGCAAAATATACAGTGTATTCAATGAAGCACTTTGAGGGGTCTCAGCGACGTAATAAGGCACTATATCAAATGGAAATATTATTATAAATTTCACCAACATCCGTGTTGTGAGGTCCTAGTTATTTATGATACACAATTTTGGAGCCAGTTCAGCATTTCGTTACAGAAATGATGTAAAGATTCATTGTATAGGCTTTATCAATCTCCAGATTACATTTATTGATAAATTCCTTTTCAGGTTCTGCAAAAATGCTGATTTAGGCCAATTTATTATGTAAACTGTACATCATTGTTTGCTCCCAGATTCACAAATTTTAAGGAGAGTTATGGATTCATGTTTTGTTCTGAAATGGCCCTCGGAAATCTTGGCTGCTTTCTAAAATTTCTATTGTCCTAGATAATCTAGTAGGAAAAGCAAATGAAACTCAACAGTATATTAATCAATCTTTGGATGCATTTCTCACTATCTGTTTTGTGTATACTGTCTAAAGATTTATGCTTAATATCCTCTTGATGTGAAAGGAACTATACAAATGTAATTTGTTGTTGTTGCTTAAGAATTATCGCATTTTAAATAAGCATTGCAGACATCAATGAGTAAATCGATTTGGTTAACTGTTAAAAAGTATTTTAAAGATGCAATGTTTACTTAAAAACACTTTTCTGTTCTGTTTTTGATTCATGTTATATTTAAGATGATCGGTTTGATGGTTTAATTTGACTTTGACTGCAAGTTAGCTCTTAATATTTCATATCAAAACATTCCAATACATTAAATATTCTTGTAAATTGCTCTAATTTTCTCCACAAGGCAAACTTTCATAACTTTATAGTAAATGTAATTGTTTGTGGAACGAAAAATAGAGACTAGTAAATAAACCGTGAAGGCTATGTCACTATCTAAACTAAACTTTAAGAATCTGAACATTCAGAAAGTGCTGAAAAGCAAATGAGCCCTAAAATACAAACAGGAGAGTAGATTCAGCAGAAGATTCTAAGTTTGGGAGTTTGGGTTTAAAATAAAACATTTCACCTGGTTTTGGAGCCGGCTTTCCCTTTGCTTCTCTCAATATAGTAAAATAGTTCTTATGCATGACAAATAGAAATATCTGGGAAGCAATACTTTGGAGGGGGTGAGTCTAAAATATATGAATTGCACAACGACACATGATGGTAACTGGATGTGGATTACTCTATCTTGTGTGAACTTTCCTCCAATGTGATATACATCCAGGCATATCAGAGTGAAGTTTGACAGCCTGGCTCAGGTGGTGATGCTCTTGTCACTGAGCCAACAGTTTGTGGGTTCAAGCCCTGTGTTGGAATGTTGAATTCCTATAGTTCAGGTTAACACTACAATGCAGGGCTGGAACAGAGTTATATTATCAGAGAGGATGCCGTCATTTGGATGAGACGTTAAATTGAAACCCAACCTGTTCAGCAGCACTATTCACGGCACTATTCAAAAAGGGAAGGGAGCTTAATCAAATACGAGTTCCCTTGGGTCAGTGATGCAAATATAGGAGTCACTATTTGCAACTTGCAACTTTTACAAATTTCCTGCCTCCTGACATGAGAGGCACTATACAAATATAATTTGTTGTTGTTTTTGCTGCTATTGTGATTGACATGAAATGCTGTACATATACTGTATTGTGTAGATATTGAACATTATAATTAACTTGCGCATTTTCATAAAGAGGGCTAATCAAGCACAAATTCTAGGTGATGAAATCATGAAATCTTCACAATATTATAAAATATTCACTTCTTAAATACAAATTGATCTTGTTTTTATTCTGTATTAGGATCCTGATGCCTACAAAAGCTGTGCTATTCAATTGTAGAAGTGATATTTTGTGCCTACAAACCCAGAAGATTTCAGTATTATAATAATAATCCTTGCATTTGATATAGTGCTGTTCACGTCTTCTAGACATCTCAAAACATCTCAAGAAGTTTTCTAAAGTTGTTTGACTCATTTTTTTCCTTTTATTTGAGTACTGTTTTCAGTAGCATCAGTTGCAGTTTTTGGTCAGCTGGGTGTCTGACACACGTGGATACCCATCACTGTGCTTATGAGTATCCAAACTGAGAAAGATTGTTGGAATGGAATGCGCACTCTCTCCCTAGAGGGACGTGTCCTGCTTACCTATTCCAGAAAATATTAAGCGCAGGTTGGCAAGAGCCAAGTCTTGGAGACCCCAGAGTGTGAGTTGGGGTACTGCTGGAATCTAACCAGCTATATCCACACAGCTTTTCATTGGTATTGCCCTCTGGCAAGCTTTCCTGCTGCTTGCCCGGCTAGGACCATGTTACCTGTTAGGGTTTTGACTTGCAGAGTTAACAGGAGCTGAGTGCGATGATTCCCTGCCCGCCATGACTGGTCTGTCCTTGCAAGTCCTGATGAGCCAGGACTTTGCTGTCATCACCAGTGCCCTGGAATGTATTCTTCATTCAATGGCCGTGATTGATGTGTGAATTTAGACAGTGTTTGCATTCTACTTGACCACAGGGAACACAATTGCCGGGCCTTATTTTGTCTTTATTGGTCGTCCATACTACCAAACCTTCCAGACGGAGCCACTGGATAAGAGTGTGAATCTGACTGATTTTCACATCTTTAACCCAGGGACTGCAGCTCAAGATCCTGGTCCTCACCTTCAAAGCCCTCCATGGTCTTTCTCCGCGCTCCCACCTCTGCAACCTCCTAACCCCCTACCATCCTGCTCGCTTCTTCCGTTCAACAGGCTCCTCCCTGCTTCACGGACCCTGCTTTGCTCGCCTCACCATTGGAGGGCGGGCCTTCTGCCAATTTGCCACCACCTTCTGGAACTCCATCCCGCAGTCCCTCCGCCTTGCCCCCCTCCGTTTCCACCGTCAAGAGCCATCTCAAGACCCTCCTCTTCGACTGCTTTTGATCACCCTGCTTCCCCCCCTTGCCCTCCACCCTCCCTGATTCCGACCCCCAGCTTGGGTCCACAACTCTGTCTGTCCAGCGCCTTGGGACATCCTCCCGACGTGAAATGTGCTGTACAATTGTAATTTTTTTTGTTGTTTTAAGAATTTCTGTTTTTTAAGCGCTATATTAAATGTAAAGATAAATATTCAGTTTGGCAGCAGTAAAACTTATTTAAAAAAAAATAATTTGGTCACTCAATCCATGACTGTTTGTGGGACACTGTCTGCCGCATTTCGCCCACAAACGTAGAGTCAGTTCACTTTACAGTATAAAGTAGTCATTTTGAGACATCTAGAAGACACGATAAGGCGCTATATCAAATGCAAGGATTATTATTATTATCGCTTTACCCTTCAAGTCAAAAATCATCTATTCTGATACATTCTCAAGACAGAATCCTATTTATTTCCAAAAAAAGTTGATCCCTCTTCTCCCTCTCAAAGGGAGTGGCTCACTCAGTTGAAGGAATTATTACCGCTCCCCCCCCACCAGCCCCCAGTCGACTCACAACCGGGTTCCCACATACCGCTGGGCAACCAGAGGCGTGTGTGCAGAGTAAGGAAACCTGCCCAACGTTTCGTCCTGACCGGGAATCGAACCCAGGTCCTCTCGCGCTTGCCCGGCGAGCGCTCTAACCACTGAGGCGCTCTACCAAACGCAAAGACTTATTATTATTATTATTGAGAGATGATATCGGATCAGATGAGATCAGAGAGGACGGTGTGTCTGTATCAGCTTGGACTGTGGGGGAGCACACGGATCCCCCCCATCCCCCTACCCTCCGTTCCTCTGGCTCCGGTCTGCTCCACATCCCCCGCCCCAACCGCCCTACCATCGGTGGTCGGGCCTTCAGCCTCTCAGCCCCGAGGCTCTGGAACTCTATCCCCCAGTGCCTTCGCCGCCTCCTCCCTTTCCTCCTTCAAGGCCGGTCTCAAGACCTTTCTCTTTGACCGAGCCTTCAGCTCCCCTCTCGACTCTCTACCCCCTCCTCGCTCCCTCCCTTCCCTCCCCTCACCCTGACCATTTCCCCCCCAATGCTCGGGTCCTGACCCAACTGTACAGCGCCTTGGGACGTCCTCCCGACGTGAAAGGCGCTCTATCAATGCGATCTTCTTATTGTTGTTGTTGTTGTTGTGGTGGTGGGGCCGCTCAGTGGTGGTGTAATACCGCCGCGGGGCTGTAGGGGGCGGCAGCCGCCGCTCTCACCCGCGTCACGTGACCCGCGTCACTCCTCGCCGGCGGCGCAGAGAGAGAACATGGCGGCGGTGCGAGCGGAGGAGGAGCTCAGGCCCGGGGCCTGCGAGCCGGGGACCGAGCGGGGAGCCAGAGCCAGAGCCGGGGCCGGGGCCGGGGCCGGGACAGGCGCCCCGAGGGGTCACCGGCCACACACCTGGAAACAGAGCCTGGAGGTGAGCCGCTGACCTGCGGAGCCCGAGGCCAGAGAGGCCCCGACACAGCCCTCGGCCGTCAGTCAGTCAGTCAGTCACAGTCAGTCAGTCAGTCAGTCACAGTCAGTCAGTCAGTCAGTCAGTCACAGTCACAGTCAGTCAGTCACAGTCAGTCAGTCAGTCAGTCACAGTCAGTCACAGTCAGTCAGTCAGTCACAGTCAGTCAGTCACTGTCAGTCACAGTCAGTCAGTCAGTCACAGTCAGTCAGTCAGTCACAGTCAGTCAGTCACAGTCAGTCAGTCAGTCACAGTCACAGTCAGTCACAGTCAGTCAGTCAGTCACAGTCAGTCAGTCAGTCAGTCACAGTCAGTCAGTCACAGTCAGTCAGTCAGTCAGTCACAGTCAGTCACAGTCAGTCAGTCAGTCACAGTCAGTCAGTCACAGTCAGTCACAGTCAGTCAGTCAGTCACAGTCAGTCAGTCAGTCAGTCACAGTCAGTTAGTCACAGTCAGTCAGTCAGTCACAGTCAGTCAGTCAGTCAGTCAGTCACAGTCAGTCAGTCAGTCACAGTCAGTCAGTCACAGTCAGTCACAGTCAGTCAGTCAGTCACAGTCAGTCAGTCACAGTCAGTCAGTCAGTCACAGTCAGTCAGTCACAGTCAGTCACAGTCAGTCAGTCACAGTCAGTCAGTCACAGTCAGTCACAGTCAGTCAGTCACAGTCAGTCCAGTCAGTCAGTCACAGTCAGTCAGTCAGTCAGTCACAGTCAGTCAGTCAGTCACAGTCAGTCAGTCACAGTCAGTCAGTCAGTCACAGTCAGTCAGTCACAGTCAGTCAGTCACAGTCAGTCAGTCACAGTCAGTCAGTCACAGTCAGTCACAGTCAGTCAGTCACAGTCAGTCAGTCACAGTCAGTCAGTCACAGTCAGTCCGAGATTGTGGGTTCAAGGCCCAGGGATTCACATGGTCGAGGCTGACATTTCACTGCAGGGCAGGGGCTGGGGGGGGGGGGGGGGAGATGGTAATAATAATAATCTTTGCATTTGATACAGTGCTTTATCGTGTCTTCGAGACGTCTCAAAGCGCTTCACTGAATATACCGTAAAGTGTAGTGACTGTGTATCTTGTGGCAGTCCCAATTGCCCCACAGCGGTGTCGTGGATTGAGTGAACAAATTGTTATTATTGTTTTGTTTGTTTATTTATTGGAAGAGATTATTATTCACAAAAAGTAATCTGCCCAATCGAATAACAACCGAGTTCCTACTCACTGTGGGTAGACTGAGACGGGTGGAGTCAGGAAACTTGCCTAAGTTTGTGCTATGCCCAGGAATTGAAACCGGGGCCTCTCGTTTGTGAGGTGAGCGCGATAATCACCAAGCTACGGGACGTTAAATCGAGGACACATCTGCCTGTTCAAGTGGACGTGAGAGATGCCAAGGGAACAAGGGAAGGGCGTTTCTCCCTCTTCGCTGGCTCTGGCCTCCTATTTGTCCCTCGTGCCCTCTGCTCCACCATCGGTGGCCGTGCCTTCAGCCACTGCGCCCCAAAACTCTCCCTCAATCCCTCCGCCTTAACCCCTCCCTCCACACCTTCAAATCCCGCCTAAAGACCTTTTTGATCGTGTCTTACGGTCACCTCACTCCTTCTCCTGGCTAGTTGTCAGACTCTGCCACCGTGAAGTGCTCCGGGATGCTACCCCACTGAAGGGTGCTATATAAATGCAAGTTGTTTGTGGGACATCACTGTGCAAATAATTGGCTGCAGCGTTCGTCCCCAAAATACACAGTTATTACGCTTTGCGGTGAATCCTGTGAAGTATACTTAGATATCCTTAAATCCCACTGCCCTGCTCTTACATTCATATTCCTTTATCTTTGTCTACTTCCCTCTTGATGAAGTCTGCTTCTATCGCTTTACTTATGGAATCACGTGTTCAAATATTTGATTCTACATATACTGGAAACCTAATTTGTTCATTGTCTTTTAGATGCTGCTTGGGGACCCTACTGATGAAGTAATTAAGCATTTTATGCGACTTATTCTAGAAGACAATTACGAAGCCCAATCAGAACTTCATAATATTATGTTGGATGTGTTTGATAAACTTGGTCTCAGCAGAGCGGAGGGCTGCTGTCCAGTTGCATATTTGTTCTTGCAGCGGTTTGCTGAACTTGCCTGGTCTGAGTTGGTGGATGAGTGCTTTGCAGAAGGCAGCATGAAGTTGATCCATTCCCATTCCACCTTTTTTCAAGCTTTAGGCTTTTTGCGTCGAATATCTTCGTATATGCCTTGCGCCAGACGTATGTGGGACAAGCGATACAGAATCATTACGAACATTGGGATCATGATGGTCTTCGATGGTGAGATCACTCACTTGCGATTCTTCATTTGGCAGGAATGCCTGAAGATTCTTTATAACTGTCTTGCTTTGTGCACTGAAGATGACATGAGTTATGTTTGCCAACTGCAGATCTTCAACTGCCTGGAAGTAGCTTGGAAAATATCTGATAACGGATTGAACCTTGGATTACTTGTAAAGGCCTGGTTGGTCCTAGCAGAGCATTACCACAGGGTCCCGATTTGCAAACAAACCTGGGATAGGTGTTCCTTCCCTCAGATAATCCGGTATTTAGCTCAAGAAGACGAATATGAAATGGAATGTGTTCTTTATGCCAGAAAAGCCATCATGGCTGTAGACCACCCAGAAGAATACAAGAAAAATCCATTTTCACATTATAAACCCAAAAGCAGATACATCGCCTCAATTTCCGATGACGAAAATGACCCAGAGGACATCTTTCCAGTTATATGTTCTTCCCCCACCTGCAACGAAATGGAAGATAGCGACTTTCATTTTCGATCTTGTGAACGCTGTCGGCTTACGATTTACTGTAGCCGAGCCTGCCAGAAATACCACTGGAAACACGGTCACAAGATGCAATGTGTTCCCCTCGTGTCAAAGGAAGAGATCCTCCAGTACTACAGCGAAGATGTGATCAATGACTTCCAGCTGTACTGTATAAGCCTGTCAAATAACAAGATGCTGGAAAGTATTATGGGGCAGAGCATTCCCAAACGAAAGAAAGGAGACGGAATCCGCTGTGTGGGGGTTCTTATTAAAAATGACCAGGGTCAGTGGGTTACCATCGATGAGGAATTCAAGGGATCGAGAAGGTCTGGAGCACTTACCAGAAGGAATAGGCACAGAGACTGATTTAATTTTTTTTTACTATTTTCCACCCCAAAGTGATTCCTTAATTATCATATGTAAATTATGTACCAAATTGGAATTCACTTAATCGACAGACTTTTGCAGTTTGCTGAAGTGTTCTCTTTGGACCTTAGGGAAAAAAAAATTGTATTTTTGAATTAGAAATCAATGTTTCCGTAAACAGAATAAGGTTGACCACGCCGTCCGGCATGGAGGGCACTATATAAATCCAAGTTGCTTTTGTTGTTGTTGACTATCATTTTGTGCTACAAATTAGTAATTGGTTCCTGAATATCCTCCCTCTTTTCACCGTCATGTCTTATCACTGTTATTTCAGGTTAGTTGAAGTTTTCCCCATAAAATATACAGTGTATTCAGTGAAGCACTTTGAGGGGTATCAATGACGTAATAAGGCGCTATATCAAATGGAAGTATTGTAAATTTCACCAAGATCTGTGTTATTTACGATCCACAATTTAGAGCAGTTCAGCATTTCATTACATAAATGGTGTTGTAAAGATTCATTGTACAGGCTTTATCAATCTCCAGGTCACATTTATTGATGAGGTGCCGAAAAACATTGCTTTGAATGGAACTATCGTGCCTTTTAGCATATTTTCAAAACATGTAGATGAAAGCTGTAGTTACTGGAATGATGTTTGTATTCATAAATATACGTAATAAAAATATGAAGATATAGAAGAAAAATGTCTGACGAAAGTCTTTTAAATTTACACGCTGAGTGCATTGGTTTTGTATAATTCACACGTTCTTGTTTGAATTAAATTTTATTGTGCTGAATATTCAAAATAGCTTTCAATCTAATAAATAGATGCAGCGCAGCTGTGTGACATCTTAGGAAAATTTCCTTACTCCACAAATCTCTGTTTACCTAGCAGAAAATAGGAACCAGTTTGTTAGTCGGTTGGGGGATCACTTTCTGGGCTAATAATTTATGGTTATTTAATCCAGGGCGTTTTCTGTGACATTGCTCTGTGCAATTGGCTGCCACATTTCGCCCACAAAATACACAGTCAATCCACTTTAGAATATATTCTGTGAAATGCTCCTGAGACGTCGCAACGACGTGAGAGGCGTCATATCAGTTATGGATAGACTAATGAACGTATTGTATTATCCAAAGATATCCCTGATACTGTACTTAAGAGTTTTTATCGGGTACCTAGGTTGGCTGGTAGGGAATTTTAAGGGAGATGTTCATTGAATTGATAGAGGTTTTGTAGAGGAATGGAATATATATTTTTGAGGACCCACCATTGTAAAATTTTCATCTTTGTCTCTTCCAAAAGCTTAGTAGTCAAAGATACCAGGTTTGTTATAAAGTTGTTTGACTTTTATTTGAGTACTGTTTTCAGTAGCATCAATTGCAGTTTTTGGTCAGCTGGGTGTCTGACACACGTGGATACCCATCACTGTGCTTATGAGTATCCAAGCTGAGAGAGATTTTTGGAATGGAATGCACACTCTCTCCCTAGAGGGACGTGTCCTGCTTACCTATTCCAGAAAATATTACGCGCAGGATTGCAAGAGCCAAATCTTGGGGACCCCAGAGTGTGCGTTACGGTACCGCTGGAGTCTAACCAGCTATATCCACATAGTTTTCCATTGGTATTGCTGTCTGGGAAGCTTTCCCACTGCTTGCCCGGCTAGGACCACACTACCCATTAGGGCTTTGACTTGCAGAGTTAACAGGAGCTGAGTGCGTTGATTCCCTGCCCCCAGTGACCAGTCTGTCCTTGCAAGTCCTGATGAGCCAGGACTTTGCTGTCATCAGCACGGCCCTGGAATGCATTCTTCATTCAATGGCCATGATTGATGTGTGAATTTGGACAGTGTGTTTTTGCATGTTACTTGACCACAGGGAACATCATTGCCGGGCCTTATTTTGTCTTCATTGGTCGGCCATACTACTAAACCTTCCAGACGGAGCCTCTGGATAAGAGTGTGAACCTGACTGATTTTCACATCTTTAACCCAGGGCCCAATTGTAGCTGTCTCTAAATATAACGCCCTAACCGTTGTGCTGACTGACAATAGGGAACTCAGCACAGACCAGTATTTAAAACAACCTTGTCTGGTTGACATTAAGGCTAAACATAGCAGTGACTTTAGCCATGGCAGAGCTGCCTTCAGATGCTTTTCAAATAATTTGGGATATGGACAATACCACAGATCCCCATTGGAGATGGACTTGTAATTAATGTCATTGTGGCTCAGTTGGTAACACTCTTGGCTCTCTCTGTGTTAGAAATTTGGTTCAAGCAATGCTGGGGGGAGCTTTGGATTGTTAGCAATGCTGTTCTTCAAATGAGACATTAAACTGTGGTCCTGTCTGCTTATTTGGATGTTAAAATATTCCAATGGATTCCAATTCAAAAATAGTTGACTGTTTGCAGGATTCTGTGTGTGCAAATTGAATGCTGCATTTGCCTACCAATGAAGTCATTATCATCTGCAGACAAACCTTGAGATATTTCGACGTGATAAGACCCTACATCAAAGAATTATTATGTTATACATTTATACATTTATTATTGTTCTTACTTCCTGCTAGTTGTAGATCTTGTTTAATGTTCAATGCTGCATATTTTAAATCTAAGAATTAGCCACATGGTGGTGCCCTTAAAGGTATGTAACAAGCAGTTTCCTGATTTCATAGAATTATACAGCACAGAAGGAGGCCATTCGGCCCATTGTGTCTTTGCTGTCTCAAAGACACAGCTAATTACATTGATATTGCTCTCCATTGGGCTAAATTCTATGAGCGCATTTATGAACTTGAGATTCAAGGCTTCAATACCTCTTTTATTTTTGAATATTTTATAGACTTCATTTAGCAAAACTGTTAAGTTTCAGTGTTACTATGTTAGGGACTTTTTAGATGGTTAAATCCTTGGAAAACAAGAACCTGGTTGCATTCAGTAAGATGACACTTTCCTAATTGTCTTGCAAACGCAGTCACCGATGTAAGTAAATAACATTGACTTCCATTATGAGCAAAGAAACTAATCTTGTTGTGGAGTCCTGTAGCTCAGTGGTTAGAGCGCTTCCCTGGCAAGTGAGAGACCTGGGTTTGATTCCCGGCAGAGCGAAACACTGGTCAAGTTTTTTTACTCCACACCTGTTCACCTAGCAGTATGTAGGAACCCGATTGTTAGTCGATTGGCGGATCGCTTTCCGGGAATAATAATCCCTTTAAAACAATAATATATTTAAAATAATAATTTGGTCACTCAATCCACGACTGTTTGTATAACACTTCTGTGTACAATTGGCTGCCGCATTTCACCTACAAAAATATACAGTCAATCCACTTCACAGGGGCTGTGAAGCACTTTGAGACGTCTCAAAGACGTGATACGGCGCTAAATCAAACGTAAGGATTATTATTATTTCAGAATGACTTACAGTGTTTAGTGCTTTTACTTGTGAGACCTGAAAGGCTTCACTGCTAAACTGTCTCGGCCCATTAATCTACACCGTTGTACCTGTAATCATATCAAATAACTTGTGTATTAAAGAACCGGCTAGAAAATGTAAGAGATGATCCTTTGTGTGGGGTTTTGCACGCTGATCACATGTGCTTATAATAGGGAAATCGCATGCACATGTAAAGCCTCATTCCATCGCTAGTGGTTCTCATTAGCTTGTAACCTCGTCAAAAGTCAAATTTAATATCTATAGCATCAACAACAATGTCATTTATATAACATCGGTCACATAAATGAATATCTCAAAACATCTGAGTGGGAACAAGAACCCAACAGATGTGTGTCCAGTGAGAATTACATAACGCTTTTCTCTGTAAATGATTTTTTTCCAAACCCAGTGGCTAGGAGATCCAGTGAAGCCAAGACAATAAACAGGCAGTCCAAATAAACCCCCAGAAAGGTGGAAAGCAAAGTAGCTTGGTAAAACTTGCTTATTGTCAGGGTGAATAAAGATCCAGATCTAGGTGTCAGACTGAATGTCTGAATAATTATTATTACTCATCAGTAATAATAGTAATCCTTGCATTTGATATAGCACCTCATCACATAGTCAAGACGTATCAAAGTGCTTCACAGGATATACTGTAATGTGAATTGATTGTATAATTTGTGGGCGAAATGCTAAAGCTAATTGTGCACAGCAGAGTCCCACAAACAATCGTGGATTGAGTGACCAAATTATTATTTTTTTGAAGGGAGTGCTCTAACCAAAACAGTACAGAACTCCACTTAGGAATGGCAGTAAGGGCAGGTTCTTGACTGGGTGCTGGAATTTGATGGGTTTCGTTTTATTTGGGTGTGAAAAATGCAACAATCATTATAATTATAACAGAATACACATTTCCCCTCCTGACAACCCAGTCGATGTTTATCTACGATTGAACATTGCCTCTCTCCTCTCCCCGCCCGCCCCCGACATTGTGCAACTGGTTGGGGCCAAATCTTCTTGCAATGGCCACTGTGTCGATCCAAACTGACGCCTGTGGATTGTGTGGCGTTTTCGAGCTGGTTGGTGGAATTCCAGTTAAACTCAACTTGAAAAGTTGCGAACTGTAAAATCAAACATTGCATTTTTTCATCCTTTTATTTGTTTGCTTGAGCCTGCAAAAGGATACCTATTAAAATAGGATCTCCTTGACAGTGCATGTTGCTACAAGCTGAATAGTTAATATACAAAAAGATTCAAATTGGCACTGATCATTGGGTAATTTCCTGCAGGCATTTTTATTTGTTGCTTTGGATTTTCACACCGGTTTGGATTCAGGATATTCAGGTATCTATGAAATAGATGTCAGTCAGCAATCACTCCACTTCAAGATCTGTTCATGTACCTAAGCAATGTTGATCTCATCTCCTTCAATCAATCTCCTTCCCATCCTTATCACAATGATGTGGGGCTTAGGAAATTTCTGAGTTTATTTTTATTTAGCCTGAAGTCTGTCATGTAGCTAAGTGCTTGCACCATCCATCCACACAATCCTCCATTAAATAATGTTATCAATCTCAGCAGCACTATATTGTTGAGGTGCTCAGTGGAGGTTAAGTCCTTCCCAACAGGAACAAATCGAATGGGAGAATTAACCCAGTCGACTACTCTTGTGCATCTTCCAGTTGGGCATTATTCAGTGCCTGTTGCAGCTTGCCCTGAATATTGAGTACAAAGTCCACGCCAATGGCTGAATGAAAAACAGGGTGGTGTTGAAACCACGTGAGCTGCAGAGTATCATTTTCCTCTTTTGCAACTTTATACAGTAAAATAAGCTTTTATTGAGGTTGAGAATTAATCTTTTGACCTCTATGGGCCGCATCTGGTCAGGGGGATGGAAGGAAACCCTATTCTACCACTGGCTGTGATTTTATTTCATTTCCAGTAGTTTAAACAAGGCATTAATCACAATGCTTTGGATATTTAACATAACATGTAGGAGCAGGAGTAGGCCATTCGGCCCTTCGAGTCTGCCCCACCATTCAATCATGGCTGATCTTCTAATCTAACTCCAGCTAATACCATAACCCTGCCTTATCCCCATATCCCTTAATTCCTTTTGCAATAAGAAATCTATCTATCTCAGTCTTGAATATGTTCAAGGACTGAGCGTCAACAGCCCTTTGGGGTAGCAAGTTCCATACATTCACCACCTTTTGAGTGAAGAAGTTCTTCCTCAACTCAGTGCG